ATTTTTTACTCTTGTCATATTTATGTCATTTTGACTTTGACAGCAGATCAAAGCGATGATTTAATTAATTACACTTAGTTCAATTAATAAATTTCCTAAGACAATTAATTAACAACAAAAAAAGTAAGTCTAATTGTCAAATGTCAGTCATGACAGTAAAAGGTAGTTTGTGAAATTTTTAAAGTGACAGAAAAAACTGCCCGAAATTTTAATTTCGCAACTGTACAACGGTGAGCATTAAATTTTAGTAGTCAATGTCATTCCCTAATATACCCTCTTGTCAAAATTACACAGGGAAACTACTTTTTTTTTACAAAAAGATGAAGTTATTCCCTAATATACCCTCTTGTCAAAATTACACAGGAAAACTACTTYTTTTACATAATAAAAAATTAAAATTCAAAATGACATTACCTATCAAAATTTTATACTCGCCATTGTACATATTAAATCATATTTTAACTGTGATTCGTTATGTAATGTTGGTGGGATAGATTAAATGTTATAACGGCGCTACTATAGTAAAATTCAGTTCAAATCATGATCTAGGTTCAGTAAATCCACTATTTAGAGATAAGTGCGTGGTCGTTTGAAAAATTTATTTCATAAAAAAATCACACCCTTTTTGTATTTTTTGTAGTTCACAAAGACCATTTTAGATTCTTTTGGAATTATTAAGAACCAGCGATAAGCGCTTGCTAAAAATTATATTATTATAGAGAACTTTATTTAAAAGCTTTTACATATTTATAAAAAAAAAATATTAATAGTACATTATACAACGAGCGTAACTTGGTGATTTACACCACTCGCCTGCGGCTCGTGGGCGTAAACTTCACCTCGTGAATAATAACCATTATACGCGAGTAGTATACTATAGTTTATTAACGACTACTAAATATTTTTGTTAAAGCTTTTGTGTTGGAAAATTTTCTTACATTAAGTATGTTAAGAAACAGATATACGACACACACATTCGAAGTTGGTTATGGCTCTGTGTCGATGCTGGTTGCCTTCCAACCGCGAGTCCCGGATTCGAATCTGGTCAAGGAAAATTATTTTTTTTAATTTTTTTTTATATGTACAGAACTGAATTGAAAATATTTAGTGGTTTACACGATAAAATTTTAAAAACCAATAATTGTAGCAAAACAATATAATATTATAGCTAAATCAAGGAAGCTTCTGACAGCAGTGATTAATGAGAGTGATTAATGACTCATTAATCACTAGTGATTAATGGGTGTTATTAAGATCGAGCAAACAGACGTATACGGAGTACATTATACAATAGTCGTGGATAAAACCATTTTTACGTCTAAATAAAAAATCATTAATGTGAACTAATAAGTAAAAATAAGTATAAGGTTATGAAATTATGTAATTGCATTGTAAAATTAAATATAAAATAAAAAACATAAATATTGTTAGTTAGCTGTGGTAAGGTAATTAGATATTTATTTTTCTACACTGTCAAAATTTACAGATTTTCTCCCGTGTAAAGAAGTTTTGACAACTGTTTGGTATTTCCCAATAAGAAACGTCAATTATTATTAACAGATTTAAAGTAAGTTTAAGTCTTGTTGAGTCTAATTCAAAGAATAAAATGTTGCATTCAACTCGTCTCCGTGTAAATCGGTTCATTTATTCCACCTTGGGGTTTAAAAATTCACTCGTGATATAAAGCGTCCGATTTACACTCAAACTCGTCGAATAAATAACTATTATTACAAAAATGTAATACAATTTTAAAAAGTTAAAATTTAAACTAGTTATTAACGGTACTATAATACCAACAAAAAGCAAATAACAGAATTAACTGAGTCTTTTATTTGCTCTGCCGTGTGGCATTCAGTACTTTTCGTGATACTAAAAAATTCTGACAAATTATTCAAAATCGTAACGTACAGTAATGGACAGTGAATTTCGTCCACCCAATTTCTGTGAATTCACAAAAATTCACTGTAGTTTGTGCTTTATTGTCAGGTTGACTGACATTCAAATACGTATTGTCAAATTTAATCAAATTCGAACATGCCAGCAGAAAGTGCGTTTAATAAAAATTATCTCTCTGGTACAAGAAAGGAATGTCTCAGAGAAGTGTCTCTATACTTTTAGGCATACCAAGGAGTACCATTTCAAAGGACAAAGGTAAAAAGTAGCAAGAATTAACGAGCCTTCTGTCAACATGACAAACGTTAATCAAAATTCTGAAACAAGGTTAGTAAAACCTAAAGATTAATTTACACTTTTAATCTGTCAAGGAAATTGGGTGGACGAAATTCACTGTCCATCACTGTATCATAATGTTAAAGTAGCCTTTCGAGTGTGTCTACAGCAACGTGCGTAAGAAATAACAACATAGGCTGTTATTGTTAACGCTCCTATAATAAGCATGGAGACAATACGAATCTGATCAAATATGCACCAACCGAGTATCAAAAAAAAATATTGTGACTATCAATAACAGATTATAACAATAACAGTTTTTGTGTAACATTACGAGTCTGACCTACTTTATTACCATGCCGGACAAAAAAATAAGACAGAAAGGTCTTCAATTACATGTGAAACCGCCCTTAGATAGTAACCTCACTTTGAACTTGTCACTGATGTAGTTGTCAGTGTTGTTCCTAGCATTTTGACGTTTTGGAGGTTTTGAAAAGTCAAATTTGACATTAATCTGTTTTACAGTAAATTTTCATTGTCAAAAATTTGATGTCCCATTTTTTTGTCCGGCATGGTACTATGTAGTTTAATCCAGCTGAGTTTTATTATTAATTTTTCTCTAAAATGTTGCATTAAATAAAAACTTAGAAGAAAAAGGTTCGAAATCAAATGACGTAACTTTGTTTCAAAAGGATTTTTACATGTAGACAATTGAAGTGTTTACGAGATAGGTATTATGATCTGAGAAAAATACTAAAATTTTATAATACTTTGTGGAGTAAACACTTTTTATGTTATGTATTTGAAACCAAAATCATTCCTGAACGCAACTTTTGACTTACTATTCCTTCAACTAACTTAACCACACTTTCAAGCACTGGTTGCGTCAGAAGTTGATTATTTTCCTATAAAATGTAGGTTGGGAATCCATCTGATTAAAATGTTTGTTGGTCAAAGTTTCAAAACATGGCGATACAAGGTGCAAAATAGCAGGTAGAAAAGCATGAACAAAACAGAATTATGGTAAAATTTTATAACAAAAACTTGTATCTGAACTGATTATGAAAAATACAATCTTGCATTATTATGATAACAATGTTTCAGGAACAAATTTAATGTTGTAAAGTTATAAGGCCGACTTTGTGGCAAAACATGTTTTTCTACTTATAGATTCACAATGAAATCCTTAATACGAGTAATATGAAACAAAACTTTATGAAAGGGTGGCACCACTAAGTCCAAGTTCAGGTACGATTTTCCATCAGTTAAAGTTAAATGCTATCAGTTCCAGAATTGCTTTCAATCAGATCAGCACTACCTTCGTAATTAGTAAGCCATAAAATTTTACTGATGTTAAACGGTACCAGAAACATTAATTTATCGCAAGTATTCTTTAATTTTCTACGTAAAACGTAGAAATCACACACGAAAAGTAAACGTTCACGATGGAATCTTATTTTAGTAAATGCCACGTGGAAAATGGAGGTTTGCTACATCAAAGTGATTATAGAAGTTTCGAGAGTTATGATCAAACCAAAACCATGTGTTTGCACCCATAGCCCCTTTTTGAACGGACAAGATCAATATTTTTTTGTTAACCCTTGTTTAAAATGACGATTTTATAAATTCTCATATACTAATAAAATTTTTAATCCAAAATAAAGTATTAATAAGTGGATGCTGTATTATTTAAAATTTTTCTAAATACCTAAATATGCTTTTTCGTCAAAATTTTTGAGCAGGTGTGAATCGTATCATGAAGTACTCGTAATTGGGGCGAACTAGTAAACCACACGGAAAAATCGATATTATTGCTCGTGTTTTTTATTTTCTGTTATCTATTGACTTTAGTGGAAAAGGGGTACTTTCATTGCCGATAATTATACTAAGCAGCAGCAAAAATAAATTCTTTTTATATTTCTACCAAAAAATGTTATTTTTCAGGCGTTTTAAACTTTTCAATTGCCAATATTTTAAGCTGCATTTCAAATGAAAAATTCATAAGTTGATAAATAAAATCTTATCAAACGCATATAAAATCATCCGAAAGTCAAGTTTGTTTAACTGAACAAAGAATGCCACAATACATCAATCCGACAAAACAAATAAATAAGAGTTAAACTCTACCAAAGAAGCAAAATGTCAAAAAATTATAGTTTATTTCTACAAACTCGGATTGTATCTATATAATCTGAGGAAAGATACAGGAAAAAAACTAAGTTTCTTGTCCTTTTTATTTTTAGATCATTCTTAGCACGTTTTGCTAAACATTCAACAAGTTTTACAAACGTTCTCTGTTGACCCCCTCTTAAAATAATTAACCGCATGCATATGTATAATGGCAATTATTTTATAATGTCTAATTAAAAACCTCTCGTTGCAGTACATGTACAAAATTTTACTTTTGACATGTATGACATTTATTTAGTGACATGACAAAGCCTTAATTACAATAGAAAATAACAGTAAATGAAAATTAGGCAACTTGATGGCTGTGAAAATGAAAATCTGGATAAATAAAATGAAATAATTCCAAGCCAATAATGGATGCAATAATTGCATCGAAACGGACAATTTGCATATCATAAAATACTACAGGAAATGTTTGAGTTCGATAACATTAAAGAAAACCAAATCCAAAAAATAAACAAAAAAAATTAAAAATTTATTTCTTCACAAAATCTGATGTTTATCGATCTGTTTAATGTGTTTCAATTACGTGTAATGAAAAGACTGATAGACTGGGGAAGTCTTTCTCAGTATCAAAACTGAGAAAACCGACACCCTTCTGCCAAGGACATAAAGCGAAAACTGTCATTTAAACCACTTACCCGAAATGAGGTTATTACATGATTTATCTATGTAGCACTATGTAGAGGCGTACCAGGCACTCACTAAAACCGAATTGTTTCTTCATTTTCAGTTTTAGACAAGCATTTTAGGTTAATATCAACAAACAATACACTCTGTATTAATTTAGCACAAGGCAGGGCATCATCACCAAAGTTCACGTAGGCGCAGTGTTAACACACGAACAACAATCGGCTTTCAACGAAGAAACACGAGCAAGCGCATTCTTGAAATTTCAGCTGATCGTTGTAAGAGGCGAATGGTCGTAAACACGTTAACGTAAATACGTAAGACACGTAAGCGTAACATCCAACTCACAACCCCAGGAGGTAAAGAAGAAGGGGGACATTCGACGCGAAATATTATTAATTTTAATGAAGCTAGATTTTAATTGATTTCTTTGTGTTGTATCTTTAGTAGTCTGTTAAGTAATTAAAAAGTTTCAAAAAAATTCCATCGAAAAAAATGCCTTTTATCATCAATAAGATATTCAAACTAACGAAGGGGCTTCCACATTCCACCCTATCAAAAACTCTCTTTATTAAACATTTAAGTGTCCTCACCCCTTTCAATGACTACATTGTGATTCACTTTCTACGGTTAATAGGTTTCTGAGAAAGTGTTTCTCACGTAATAATAAGTAATAACACTATGTATTATAATAACCAATAAAAAATAGTTTTTTGAATTACATGCTCTATTTTTTTAATACACAATATGGTGAAATACCAGTTATAATGGAGATAGGTTTATTATTTTTTACATTTTTAATTAAATTTAAAATAAAAAAGTTATCAAAATAATATTAGCATTTTTATTATAAAAACAAGAAAATTAAAAAGTTATAACATAACCCACCTCGAATATTTATTTACCGCGATACTCAGTATTTTTAGAATGGAATGTGAATATTTAACCCAATGCTCATTTTAAAAATGTATTGTTTCCATTTACAGAAAGTAAATTCTAGACCGATTAAAATGATTTTTTTTTTGTAAACATGCTGATCCAGAATAAAAATTGTTTATTTTTTCTTTCTTATTTTAAAAGGAACATAAAAGAACGACTTACACTGCTCAAATCGCTCAATAGATATTGGAGATAACTTTTAATAAAAAAAACTTGAGTACTTTACCTCTCTTTTTTACAGTAATAAAAAATATACTTGCAAGTAAATAAAGTAATACATACTTTTGTGTTTTTGAAAGGGAAGAAAAGTTGACATTCTTGTTGATTGACGACGGTGTCAATTTATAAAACACTTGCCGTTTGACAGCAATTGTTTGACATTGGCGGGCGTCAAACCGGTTACCCTTAACGTCAAATTTCTCATTTATCATTTTTATAAAAAAATTGTTAATTGTTAACCTATGAAAGTGTAAATTAGTCCGTTGTGTCGTGTTATCAGTACAATATTTTATACATTGAAGTGAGAGTTGTAGAACAAAATTGTGTCTTTTAAAGAGTTGGATTGTACGTTGTAGTTAGTGGAGGTTAATTGAAGAAGTTTGTTGAAAAATGAGTCTATAACCTTAATCTCATCCAATAGCAAGTGTTTAATTTTGTGGCTCAGTGTAAAGGAACACATTTTGCCCCCAAAATGTCACAATATTCAAGAACTAACAATTCGTTTATGACTCCACCAAGGGCATCATTTCGAAGGTTTTACAATATAAACAACCATGTCTCATAATTTATTTATCATGTTTCAGATATTCGTTAGCAGATACAAGTTCGCTTACACCAACAAGACAGACAAATGCACTATACAATGCTCATCTCAGGTAAAATACATTGTTCTGATATTTTTGTATATTTAAATAAGTATTTTAGTACCAAAATTGACAGTAGAAGTCCTGGTTACGCAACCCGAGTGGTACAGTACAGCGAAGAACAGAAAAAATCCAGGCCTAGTCATCAAAAGAAATATAACAAATTAGGCAGCTTTCCCATAGTACATTTTTTCAAAAAAGAATTACCAAATTTGAAAAGAAAGGGTAGTGAATGTAACATTTCTCAAATGAATTCGGCTGAGCTCTCAAGATTTAACAGTCCTGAACAGAATAGATTACTATTAGAAAAAATAATCAAAAGTAGTCCAAACAATGATACCATTTCTCATAAAACTGAAACAAACACAAAGAGTGTTTTAGACGCCTTGAAGGAAATTTCGCGAAAAAGGATTCATTCTAATGAGGTAAGTTTTTGGAATACAAATTAAAAAAAAAAACGTTTATTTTTTCTAATTTTAAAGGAAGAATTTATATTGAAAGATGAGGGCAAAAGGTTACACAAGGAGTATGACAACGAAGGGACATCAAGGAAACGGTTAAGGCAAAACTCTTTAAGTCCTTCAAGTCGATATTCTTCAATTAGTGAATTAATCGCTTCTCATTCCTCAATGGATGGATATTTAGAAGAGGAGACAAAGAAAGAAAAAGTTATAGGTATGATCAAATTGTTATTCTTTAATAAATTGAGTTGAATTCTATGTAATACAATTTTTAGTTCCACCAGTCTCCCAGTTGAAGAGCCCTACTGTATCGAAGAAATGTGTTAACGTTGAAACTCAAACTGTACCTTCTGAACCCACAGACACCAATAAAGTACTGACACCACAAAAGGAAGAAAAAGAAAATATAAGTGTTAATGAAGCTCGTCTACCAGTTAAAGTGAAGAAAGCTTCTCCTCTTAAAATTTTTGATGAAACACCTTTAGAAACAATGAGGAAGAATAGACTTACTGCTTTGATGGGCTCAGTTCAAAATAAAAATCAAAAACAAGAAGATGTGGCGAAAAGTGAAGACAAATCAGTTTTGGGAAAACCGCTCGTATCCATACTAACACAGACTAAGAGTCCTCACAAAAGTAACAAACATGTCACTTTTGATATCCCGCAATCGGAAAATTCTGTAGTTGCAAGTACTAGTTTAACAAATTTGATTCCGTTTAGCGAAAGTACTAATTCACCGAAAATTATAGAAGCTGTAACTAGTACTTCGACAGCAATTAGTACGCCGATTGTTTCAGCGAGTGTGGTAGAAGTGCCCCCTATGACTTTTAAAGCTGCAGGCGATGTACCACCCACTTTAACTTCAACTCCACCAGCTAGTAAAACTCTAGGTCTTGGAAATCAAAATTCATTTACTGTTTCCAATACCACAATTAGTACATCTATGTTTACAAGTTTACCCACCATCAAATCAAGTGAATTGAAATCTACTACTGAAAATAAAACTACACCAAGTTTTTGCATTCCAAGTCAAAATATTGAACAAAAAAGTCCTACTAATGCAAGTACTAATAAGGAAAGTATCACACAAGCAAATATGACCAAACAAGACATCCAGAACAAATTTACGTTTGGAAAACCCATTGAACCGATACCAACTAAACCAAGTGTACCAACAATATCTGGAAACTCAACACAGCAAGGCGGATTCAAATTTGAACTTAAGGAACCTTCAGCTAATGTTGGTACTACCGCATTGTCGTCACCATTTCAATTTAAGAGTCCCACAGTAACTTCAACAATAGAAAAGCCAGTTAGTAATAGTAGCAACACTTTCGCTGCTATCAAGCCAGCAAATTCCTTAAAATTTGGACAAGTCACTTCTTCCAATGCAGTTACTAGTACTCCTATGTTTGGTTTAACAACAACTTCTAATCAGAGTGATTCTACCAATAAGAATTTTGTAATGCCGTCTGCTACTATGTTTTCGATGAACAAAACTACTACCACTAGTAGTTCCCCAATTAGTACATTTATGAGGCCGTCAAATACTCTTCAAACAACAAGTTCATCAATGTTTTCTAATACTCCACCATCGTCTAATAATAAACCATCAATGTTTTCTTTTGGTAGTACTAGTACCGCTACTTCAACTTCAACATTTGCTCCAAGTTTTGCACCTTTGGCAGCTCCAGGGCTGTTTGAACCCAAATGCGTTGTAAGTAGTACCACAAAACCGTCCTTGAGTTTTTCGGCTTCAAATACTTTTGCGATGTCTCCTATAACTACTGCTAATTCAGGTGCTCCCTCTTCAAATACTTTTGCCTTACCTACTATGACGACGACTAATTCGAATAAACCCTTCGCAAGTGGGTCCTTAATGTTCAATAAGCCGGCTACTGGTTTTAGCACCACTGTTTCAACGTCCCGAGCTTCAGTTAACCCAACCTCAACTGTTTCAACATTTTCAAACACTCCAGTTTTTAGTAGTAGTAACACTGCTCCAAATTTTGGTAGTGATGGGGGAAAACCAGTTTTTGGGCAAACATCGTCTGCCTCATTCTTTGGTAGCACCGGTTCAAATTTTGGTGCCACAACTTCTACTTTTGGTACAACCCCAACGTTTGGTACTACAACTACAACTCCAGCTCCAGCTTTTGGAGTAAATAATAATAATAATAATGTCTCAGGGATCAGTAGTAATCCCACTTTAGGTCAAAACGTATTCGGAGCTGTTGTAACAACAACAAGTAGTATTTTTGGCGGTTCTAGTACTTTTGGTACAACGAGTTCTTCCTTCGGCAACTCTTTTGGAAGTGGCCAAACTTCCGCGTTTAACGTTAACGAACCCAAAAATCTATCAACTCCATCATTTGGTACTTCCGGAAATTCCACTTTTGGCATCACGACTACCGCTAGTTTCGGTACGAATTCAACAGTTTTTACAACAACAGCATCCGGTTTTTCGTCAAGTAACAACACATTTTCTTCAACGTTCGGTGCAAGTTCAGCTTTTGATAAGCCTGCAGAAGCAAGTCCATTTGGTGGTGGCAGTACTGCTTTTGGAGGTAGTTCTTTTGGTGCAAATCCACCAGTTACACAAAGTAATGTTTTTGCTTTTGATGTGAGTAAGCCGCCTGTATTTTCATTCGGTTCCACTGAACCACCTAAACCTTCGTTTAATTTTACTGCTGGTTCGGGGAGTTTCGATGCTGGTAAAGGGTTTGGTAGCAATCCTCCACCGGCGTTTAATACCGGTTTATCGCCACAGTTTAATATGCCAGCTCCTGTGGGAACAGGAATGTTTAATATAGGCAGTGGGGGGACATCTACGCCCAGTAGGTCAAGAACAATGCATAAAACAAAACGAAGGACATGAATGTTTTAGCAAAATTTTATTTTAACTTGTTTTGTTTTATTTTTAAGTCAATTTGTAATGCAGTATAAAAAATAAAGAACTTAATTGAAATTACTTGCTGTGTATTTTATTTAACAAAATTTTACAAAAATGACACTTTATTTGTTGTTTCTGGGTTCTGCTTATGTAGTATAAAATATTCATTTCTGAAAATTTTATTCATATATCCACCTATATACATCCGTATCCAAACCGGAGGAATACTCGTGAAAAAGTACTAAAAACTCCATTTAAATAATTTGAAAACTAAAAATTGCTACTTGCTTGTATTCCATGAGCCCAATATCCAGTCGACTCATCCATTTTTCCCAAGGTACTAACAGCATGTCTTGCATAAGTACTCGCATCTGGGATAAAAGTACTAGACTCCCTCAATGTTTGACTAAAATGATTCATTTTAGTGTTTATGAACATAGGAGACAGGTGTTGGATAGTAAGACCGTGTTTTGAGTATTCATATCGAAGAGCTGCAGTAAAGCTCTTGATGTAGGCCTAAAAAAGTTTAATATTCGTGTTTTGAAGTTTTTGGATTTTTTGGTACTTTTGTTGCTGCGTAAACAGTCATTAGAGGTAGAGGTTGGAGCTCAGAGCCGGATGATACATTTACGATAGCTCCACGACCTTTCCTCTTCATGTCTTCGACGAATAAACGGCATAGCAGGGTCACAGCACCCACGTTAACATTGATAATGTCCCATAAATCTTGTTCGGGGACTTCACCCAAGTACATAGGGTAGTCGTATTGCTTTCCTACATTGTTCACTAAAAAAGTATTTAGATGCATTTAGTTTGGTCATTCTTTTAGTACATAACGAAGGTATAGAAAATGTTAAAAATCAATTAAGATTGTAATATTAAAGTTAAGAATTGAAACAAATATTTTTTTCTTACCTATTATTCCAATGTCCAAAACTCCCAGTTCTTGTTTTATAATTTCAATTGCTTGACCCCCCAAAGAAAAATCAGCGGAAATAATTTTAGTTTTAATGGAATATTCAGTCTCTATAAAATAAAAAACAAGAAAATTGACGTAGGTATATATCTTGATAATTTATTTGTAACATTTCTACTTTTCATTACTTGAAATTTACGAGTTTCCATTTTTTGGATGACTAGGTTATGAGAGAACAGAAATTACTTATAATTGTACAAGAATGAAAAAAAAACATATAGGTTTGTTTCTTATTTATTCATAATTACTATGGCAATATGCCGATTCCTAATTTGTTGGAGGTTCGGTTGGGTTTGTCATTACATCTCGTGGACGGGAAGTAATTTATGATAGATTACTATGATTACGAGACTATCAAATGTCAAAAACTCAATTTGTTTGTGTAGCAATTACGTCAATGTATCAACTTTGACAGAAAAACAGATATTTTATTATTTAAAGAAATGTGAATGTACATAAAATATAGTATACAAATTTCAGATTGAATATCTGAGCCCTCGAAGTAATGACTTTCTACTTCGCATGTAAGTAATCTACTATTTTATAAATAGTAAATTTGTTTTTTTTTACAATTTGTTTATCTAATACAAAAAAAACAATGCGATTTTTTCTGTTGGAATCATAATAATGCTAAAAAAACTGTGTTAATGAGTTTGCCCTCATTTATGTATTTTAAGAAAATATTTTTTTTGTTATGGAAAAAAAATACACACGTTTTAAAACCTGTGTTTGGACAATACTTAATTTGATTTTGTGCTGCACCTTAATATGTGTTTAAAAAATACGAAAGCAATGCGCTTTCGAAAGAGTTGGTTGAATCTCTGAGTGTTAATTGTGAACATTAATTACCTAATTCCTTGGCGACATTTTTTAATCTTTGTGTACTTCGACTTACTAAAACTATATTCAGTCCTCTTTTAGCAAGTTCATGTGCGTAGGCTTTTCCAATTCCATCTGTACTGCCTGTAATCACTGAAACAAAAAAAAAGTAAAAGAAGGAAAATGTACAACATAAATATGTATAGTTTATACATATATCTACTTTTTTGTGTATGCAATGTACTCACATGCCCATTGCCCATATTTCTTAATCAAAGACGTTTCTTCATGGGGTAAAAAGAACGGAGCTAATATGGCACGAGTTGCTTGCATCAGTCCCCATAATGTATTTAACAAAAATAAGAAAATCACAATACATCCAAACACAGCCAGAATCAAAGTATACAAGCTGCATTCCACTGACATTGCAAATCTGAAATAGAAATAATCTATATTTCACGGACTTCAATTTGCATTTCTTGCAAATTTGCACTTTTCGCCCCAGGGCTTTGAAATCAAGAGTAAAAATTATACCATGTGGAAATTTTTACGTTTTGATAAACATTTTTTTGGTTAAATGAATGCAAATTTAAATCCTTTCAGTTAGTTTTTTCAGCAAATTTTTACCTTGACTAACTTTTCCATCAATTTTTATTTCAATTTCATTTAATATAAATAAAAAAAACTTTTTATCTCTTTTTATTCAATGCATTTTGCTTTAGAATTACGTATTAGGTTTTAATTATGTTTGTATGTACCTAAAAAGTAAAAACTACTACTAAAATTAATTGAAGGATAGACAAATTTCTAGTAATTACCTCCTATAAATTACTAATGAGCTGAAAGAATTAGATTTTGTATCTTAAATCATTCGTGAAAATTGTGCAAAAGTTAGTGGTTTAATAAATTAGATACGGATTGCACTTACTCTGCAACTATAAAGAGGCAATTATAATGAGAAATTAACTCTTAGGTAAACAGAAATTAATCATTTTGATTTTGAAATTTAAATAAACAACAGTCATACTTTGATTACTTTATTGTTGAGTCATTTTCATTACACTGACGTACCTGTATAGTTTTCATTTCATTTATGTATTTTTTTTTATAAAAAATAGTGTATTATGATTGATCAATTACTGAAATTATTTTTTGAGTTTCACTCTGTTATTTATCATTATTTATTTTGTAATTAAATAATAAGTGAAAATAACAGGTGCTGAATGTTAGTTGTTTTAATATAGAGTATGCGAAAGTTAAAATTGGTACAGGGGTAAGTAACATAATAATAAGAAAATAAGACACAATGATAAGATGTGAGAAAGGGGATCTTTATTTTTTAGTTAAAATTTTGAGAGCAATAAAAGTAAAACAATTTAGTTAAATCAAAAACAACAATGATTTGTATGTATCTGTTTAAATCTTTTAGTACAAAAAAGTTATCTGTAAAAATCAACTTATTGCAGGACGATCTGAACCGTTACATGATTGCACGACTTGACAAGAATATTACCAAATGACTTCTTGTTTCTGTGCAAAATATATGATTTCTTTGACCTTTATTTTAATTAAGAAGTATGATATTGTTATTTGTTCATTTTTGTAATGCTTTTTAAAGAGAAACGAGATAATAGAAAATGTCTTTATGATTATTTTGTTTAAAAAGTATGAAACTACTACTCAATAAAAGCGAAAGAATAAATAGGTATGAACTTATCTAATAATAATAATTAAATAATACCAATTGAGTATCAATAATTAATGAGAAAATGTTGTTTTTGAACTTGCATAATGGTCTATATCCTAATTAAACATGTTCACATATTATTATCTATTTAAAAAATCAAAAGTGTTACAGTACTAAAATTCAAAAATTGCCCTGATAATATTGTTAACAAAATTATTATAAATTTAATACAATGCTTCTTTTCGTTAATTCCACAGCGCTTTTACATCTCGCATAATCGATTTCAGAATTTCATTGACATTTTTTCAGTTTTTTTTTACAAATATTAAAAAATCAAATATCTGTTTAAAAACTGAAATTTTGTTGTGTTAAAATTACGGAGAACATTTAAATACACTTTAGATAATTCTAAAACTAGCAGTTGTTTATAATGTGGCCTTCGAAGGTAGATTAAACAGCATTTTAATTACAAATTTTTCCAATAGTGTTTTTTTTCTATTTTGGTGCTTGTGCTTTAAACCTTTAAAATATCAGTTTTTGAACAAATACTTGCATGTTTAGAATTTATAATTATAAAATTAACATGTTTATTTTTAAACACATATTTTGAAAAAAGTGTTAATAGGTTTTTGCGTGTGCTGTAAACAAACATATTATTTGAAAATTAGCAATTTCATAATCAGCTCTTTGATATTGTCGAAACTTCATTCATAATAACAGTACATTATACTTATTTACTATTACTTAGCTTTTAGTGTAAGGTGAATGTCATTTGAGCTATTATCGTGGGAACTCATTGCTTACGCAGTAGTCAATTTTTGTAATAGGAAGTGGTCACTAACAATTGCAAATGTCTCTGATAACCTGTGAAATTGCAAATTACTATTTCTATTGTTAATTTATGGGTGTAATTTCCGACTTACTAGTTTTTTTCTAGACATTTAACGTGAAACAACAATTAAGCACAATGTTTTAAGTTCTTTATAGTGCACAAGATTCTTAAGGTATTTGAAGTCAATAAATAGTCATTATTGTTAAGGTAATGGCTTAGAATAGTTTACATGCAAGCAATCCTTTGCATGGAGGAAATGTCGCATGGTGCAATTTTGTAAGAAACTACTGCAGAAAATTGTCCCTGACCGATATGTATGGACATATGTATAAATTTTTGCACCTAGAAAAATTTAAAACACTAAGAATAAAGAGCAAATGATCACGTGTGTGCGTAATTTTATATCAGTCTCAATAATAACTGCTTTTGCAGAAACAAGTTTTCCAGAGTTAATTTAATTTATTTTATTGGTGAAAGCTGCCCTAGGTCAAATATTTATATAATTTTTGATAATTGAATCGCTTTTTGTGTTCAACAACTGTTTACCCTTTAAAAACAATACATTTATTTAGGAACATATATTGCTTAATAGTTTTAAAACCTGTTTGAATATGAATTAAGCTCTTGTCAAGACCTTTGGTTTACTTTTGGTATTGTATTGTTTATTTTTTTGTGAAAGTTATCACCAGCGAAACTTTCTCGCGAAGATTCTAATGTGGGCGCACCAACTGATGAAAGTTTTTCTCAAAATTCGAGGATTTATGCAAAAGAAAGGAGTGCTGCGATCTTATATCAAGTCCGTTCATTTAAAACTGTTATAACAAATAAAATAGAATGTTAATGCAATTTAATAGTGAATTGAAATTTATTTTTTAATATACGTATTTTTTATTATGTAGGTACCCCATTAAAAATACAGGGTGCGCCAGAACTCGCGCCCCAGAGAAAAATGCTATATAACTTAAGATAGCAGGAATATGGAAAAAATGTTAAAAAAATTGTGTCTATAAAAATTCCGAAGTTATGAGGGTTTAAATTTTGCACTTTGATTCTATTTATTTCTGTTGGAAAAATAATTTTCCAAGTTTTTTTGCTATAGGCTATTAAAAGAGGAAACAAGGAAGCTATATCCTAAGTTGTAAGTAACTCTGTTCAATGTTATTTGTGGCTTTTATTTTATTCTACCTTTACTAAATAATTGTAAAAAAACATATATAAGATCATCAGTATCATTAAATAGACATAAAAAAATGTCAAATGCCAAAAAGTAAATGCCAAAATTTTTTGACAAATAGAATTTTTTAAACATTTTTCCAAGTCCTGGTATCTTACCTTATTTAAATTTTTTCTCTGGGGCGTGAGTTCTGGCGCACCCTGTATTATTAAAAAAATGTTTCTTTTGACGTTATAATCAAATCGTAGAGATTAATAATTAAAAATATTAATTACACTGAATAAATTACTTTTTTGTTTGATATTAAATGAAAACGTTAGTGTACTGTTTTCATGATAATAAACAGATTTATGCAAAACTTAAAAACCAGTTTATGATGCAGACCTACTACGATATATTTTTTTTTTTCAATTTTCGTACTTTTCTACATTTATGTGTAATTATTTTGCAAATCTGGTATTTAAATGAAATTAATGAATCTCAGCAAAGTTACCCTCTACATATCGTAAAAACAATAAATCATACAATTAGTTTCATTCTCTGTAAAATCATTTTTTGTTAACAAAGATTTTAACAAATAAAAAAACAATCCATTGTTTTAAAAATAAAGTAAGATTAACATTACTTGCAGAAAACATTTAAAATGCTTTCCAAATACATAAGTGTTTAGAGATATCTGTGGATGAAGTAAATGATATTCAAAAATGATGTCAACGGTGAAATATAATATAAAAAACATTTTTGTCTGTTACTCAAACATGTACTGAGGTTTTCAAATTTTAATGCGTTAGTGCTTTTATTTTTTCCAAATTCAAATTCTCTATTATACTGATTTGCCAGACGCACCATTAGAATTTCAGAGTTAATTTAGAAATATTTTTTTTCTAAGAACATTTATTTCCACCTAATTAATAAGTCGTTATTAACGAATAACAAATCATTTACAAACAAACCTGATTTTTCATACTATAAACAAATAACTTGTCTCAGAAATTTACACTTTTTAAAATATCTAGCATAGTTATTTATTAAAGAAATTGTTTATCTACGAGTGAAAAGGTTAAGTTTACGAGTGACGAGGTCACGAGTGGACTTTTTTCACGAGTAGATACGCAATCTTTATCGTCGTGTGTAATATTTCGTTTTAATTTGTACTCACCTACCAGAATTTCTTGAATAGGCATATACAGTAGATGAAAATTACTTTATTTCACTAGACGATAAAAAACTACTTTATCTACTGAAATTAGTTGGTTGATAAAAACACTCTTTAACATTGAGTACAAAATAAATAAGTTTTATTAGTCGAATAAGTACATACACTAAAATAGCTCTATATAATTAATAATGAAAAAATAATTAATTGACATAACTGTTAAAAGTGCTTTTAAGGACTTGGTACTTCATTACGGCTGGTACAGCATATAATGCATTCATTACCACTGTTAATTGACAATTTTACACCATTCAGGAAAAGAGATTGTTACAGTTTTTGAAACAGTCTTGATAAACATTTTTTTGTATAGCATTTAAATTCAAATCCTTTCAGTTAGTTTTTTCTACAGATTTTTGTCTATTACTGTCACCATAATTTACACCTTTCAACAGATTTTAATTGCATTTGCAATTCCAATAAATAAATATTTTTAATACTATAATGTTAGCGAATTATCAAAATTGTTTGTTTAGTTGGATTTGTTTAGTTATTACTTCATTTCGTTGCCTGTTTGTAGCCTGCTTTCAACACAATACAATTGAAAATTATTGCAAAATAAATTGACGCTATTAACTGCACAGTAATCAACAAATGCACTAAATGAAAATGAAAAATTCGCTTTCAAGTTTTCATTACATATTTTTCGATTAGAAACCAAAAAAAAAAAACTGCGACTTACCCATAAAACAATGCGACTAGAATAATTAAGAACACAATGCCGGGTTAATTACATATTTCACCAATCGGGTGTTTTATTCAGTTAGAAGCAACTCGTATTAACATGAAACTAAATACGACGATAATGCATTGATAGGAAACGCCAGACGGGACCCCATATAGATAATCCCCTCTCTGTACGCAATGCCAGCACCGGAATATTAAATACACAACACTAATGACAATGAGGAACCAAAGGAACACAAGAAAAATGAGACGAAAGCGTGTGGTTGGTCTTTTTAGTGGAGGGACTAAGTGAAAGTTATTTATTTTTGTTTCAACATGATCTTTGGTGACTCTCCAAATTATCCGCTAATTAGAGAGCAATATTGGGAGATACTTTTAGCAAACAAGAAGCAACTCGAGACAAAAATTTGCGTTTATTTCTTCAAATTACAATTTGCGGAAACACTCTTTACATTACATATTCTTAAAAAACAACAACAGTAAAGCTCAATTTAATCCACATGTGTAAGCACACATTTGTAAATGCTTAATTGCGACTTTTGAGACTATTGACACACCCTAAGAATAATAATAATCTTGAATGTTGCAGCCACTATTTTTATTTAAAACTTTTTTTTTGTTAATTTTGATAAATTTCGTATTATTTATTCGTTTATATTTTCGTAAAAATTGTTAACGAGTCACTATGGGTAACAAAAAAAGCGAAAAAACGAATTGCCTTGCTCTCTAGTTTCAATCAAAATTTTGCTAAAAAAATTGGTAAATATTGTGTAAAAAATTGTAAATAATGTGGTGTTTTTAATAAACATAAAAAAACTACAAATTATCAAAATATATCGATCAAATCATACAGAATCTAGAAATATTAATTGTTATCTAAATATTATGATTAAAATTGTGTTTGATTATAATTATAGTTATTTTTATTATTAAAAAGCAATTATAAAATATTTCACTTGCAATCAAGGACAAATCCTGCTTTATTATTATTAATACCTAATCAAGTGTTATTTTTTCAAATAATATCTTGTTTAAATAAAGTTTGACATTTAAGTTAAGCAAAAGCTTAACTACTTTCCTAATTTAACTACAAAAAATATTATAAAGTGTCATGTTAATTTGTACATTTACATTTAAAATTAAGGGTTTTTATATATTTTTACTCTGTACTTACGTTACAAACAGTGACAATTAATTGAAAAATAAAAACTGGACACTTTGACTTCACGTGGTATCAACCGCTAATCAGGAATCAGGAATTACCCTTACTAATGAACTGTTGCTATTTATTATTAATACTAGTCATGAGTCGGTTTAAAAAGTGCAAAAAATACAATTAATTGCCGTTTGGTTATTGTAAAAATTTACATTGTTACTGCATCATTTTTATATTACGTAATGCAATTACTCACAAATATGTTCACTTATTGTTTTTTTTTTCTTTGATTTAATGATGAAGATGGAAAATTTTAAATCCATTGATAAATAGGTACTACTGAAAACGTATTGTTAACACTTATTGTGAAATTAAAAACATTCCTAAATAACACAGTACTGTTTTCAAGATTTTGCATTCCTAATGTCATTTATCATATTATTATATTATTTTTAAAATCGGATATTTGACTCAAAAAAAATCCCGTTTTGATATAAACTAATTGATTAAAAATTAAATAAAATATCTGTGACATAAACATTCGTAAATGTACAGGGTGTTTCACATAACTTTACGAGTCTTGCGCCTAATGTACGCACCCAAATATACAAAAGTCACAACAGAACACTGGTTACAAAAAACACACATTTATTTATTTAATTTTTGGAAACCCATGACAGTAGTTGTCAAACTAATCACTGTTTCATTAATAGTCATAAACTGCAGTTTTTCAGAAACAATTATCATTTGTTCTATCAAGAGACGGCATAAATATGATTCTAGTTTACCTATCTTAATCACTAACTAACTAAAAACGTTGTAATTTTTTAAAGGGTGAACAAATTAGAGAAAATTATTCAATTTTTCAAAATTTGTAATCGAGTTCGTATCGGAATATGTATTATTGATTGCATCTTACAGGCGCAGGCCTCGTAAAATTACGTGAAACACCCTGTATAAAAATTTGCATTTATGCACAATTATTATAGAATATGCCGATTCCTAACCTTTTAGATGTCGAGAAATTTGTCATTACATCCCGTGGTTGGGAAGTAATTTAATTAGAGCCCATCAAATATCAAAAACTCAATTTGTTTGCATAACAACTAGATAAATCCGTCAATTTTTGTCAGTAAAACTAATAAATATCTCATTATTTTAAACGATGGATAAGACTGAATAAAACAGAAAAAAAACTTGGTGAAAATATTATTACATCTTACGCTCTATCATATTTCGAGTTCGATTGTAATATTATTTGTGTTCTTGATGTGGAGTTTCGTCGTAATCAACCTGTTTATTATGTTTTTATAAGAAATCAACGACTAAATTATTTAAGATCTTCACCTAATTGAGCATAAAATTTTAAACAAATAGTGTTATGTAATAATTATGTAAATTAATGGGACTATTCTTCTGTTAATACGACAACAGGGAAATTGCATGCTTAAACAAATCTCATTTTCTCCTGCTTTCTAAATTAATGTCAAATTATGAAATTTTGCATTTTGTCAGCTGCTCTTTGATATAACTTGAAAAAAGTGTATGTATTAGGAGTAAATAAAAACGCACTTGGTGTTAAATTCATCAGATCTTTTCTTATTATTATTTTGTATAAATTCTTTTGGTTTTATCAATTTCTCTACATAAAAGATCAAATTCAAAATTGTATTTCAGTAGAGATGTCGTATTTTTTTTTATTTCTATTTTTTTCCGTGCTGACGTCTTTTTTAATGATTTTTTAATTTGTTTTTGAAAGTTGTTGTATTAAAACTCAATATAACTGTTATTTATTATTAATCTTTACAAGAAATACTTATTTATGTTTGGTGTTATCTTATACTGATATGTATACAAGGTGAATTAAAAGTATGGAAGCAGTCGTTTTTTGCTTAAATTATTTATTTTTTGGAAAAACTAATTGAAGAATGATAAAGTACTACTTAAAAGTGTGATGTTTTATCAAGAATAAAATTTTTCGATTTTTGTTTTGTTTTTGAGTTCTACAAATTTTTAATTTATTTTTATTTGGCAACTGTGAGCGCCAGCGATGCGCACGGTACGCCACTGGTAATAAACGATCAAGTAGGTCTTGCTACTATGTACAGAAAACAATAATTGTTAATTAGTTAAAAATTCTGTAAACGATATTTTATATAAATCACATCTTTTGTGTTTTCCCGCTGTATTTAATAAATTAAATTTATTAAAACCACTGCATAACTCTAACAGCAACCCACTATAAAACCATTTTTTTCATGAAGGTTATGATCTAAAGATTACAATTATTTACTTTATATTTAATTTTTTCAATTTTTTTTTACATAAATTGCAATTTTGTCAAAAAAAAATCGCAAAACTCAAAAACAAAACAAAATTTCGTTCTCAAAATACGATTACATTAATTTATATTAATTATTATTTTCTGGAAGAAAATGATTAAAAAAAAATCGCTTGGTTTCATACTTTATATTCACCCTCCACCCCGTATAGAATAAAGTAATATCAAGTAAAGGGATATTTAAATGTTTATTTAGACGTATTTGCACGTATTGAATCTCGTTACAATAATAATATGCCTATAGTGACTTACACCTAATTGCATTTTTTAATACATACAAGATAACACTGAATGGATTCCTATGTAGCTATGTTATATTTACTTACATTATTTGTTTTTAATTTTTAATTTGCATTTAATTTGTTACTTATGTAAAAACACTAAAGATTTATACTTTAAAGTACATATACTTTATATTTACAGGTCAACTATATTACGTTGTCAATATCAACCTAAGTTTCTGATAAGATAATTATTATCGTTATTATTTCTGTTGCTCCACTCTAAAATGTGGAATTCAAAAAAAAAATTGAACTTGGCATTAATTTTGTTTTGTAATACAAAAACTACGAAAATTAAGAGTAAAAAAATTAAAACGCCATATCCTATGGCCATATCTCATGATTCTGAATCACTCTGTATATTATTAATCGACAACCATCAACACACACCTGTATAAGGAGTTGACAATAATTTGACACATGCGCACTAGATCTTTAAAAATGACAGTGATTAATGACATTATTGACAGTTGGGTTGTCAGTGATGTTTGGTGCTTTTTTGTAATTTAAAAAAATAATTAGAATTCAAACATAAGAATTATACCCATTTATGAAAATACAAGTTTAACTACAATACTATTCCTGCTAATAAGACAGGTAAAGAATTGTTTTTTTTGACGTCTTTTGTCATGGTCATCTTGCTAATGAAAAACTGGAATAATAACAAGGAATTCCTCAAAAATTAGCTATCTTATCAATCAGTTGCTTCGTTGGTGTAAAAAACATAACTCTCCATATGTGATGAAGCTTTACCATTGTGTTATTAGTTGTCAAGAACACTTGTTGCAAAAACTGAAAGTGCAATCAAGACTTTTGTGATAAGTTTCCAGTGTACCCAAATCCAGTGCAGTAGGATGGATATGAGTGTTTATTTAACAGCTCCTTTACGTTTAGACAAAATATGTCGAGCATGCTTGACAGAAAAAGGAGACATGAGACCTTTGTTTGGGGCTTGTCTTGATGAAATGCTGGTTTCGTTTGCATCAATTCAGGTAAAGTTAAAAGTTTTATTTTATTACAAGTTGCCACAGTAGAAATTTGAAATTTAATCGTTGCCATTTGTCTATCAATTACCAAAAAGTCTAAAGTTACACATCTCAACTTTTTGTAGGTGGAGGAAGATGACGGCTTACCTAATCTAATGTGTGTGCAATGTGTCCTCCAGTGCAGCAGAGCATACACTTTTAAACAACAATGTGAAAAATCGGATAATATTTTACGTCAGTTTATTAGTGCAGAATTTCAGGTGAGAAATTTTTCAAATTGGCATTCAACATATTTTTGTCGTTTCAGCAACAGTTAGCAGAAACACTCCAAGAACAACAAACTAAGGAGGAATTACAAGAACAATTGCAATTTCCCGATAATATAGCCAATGTTGTTATTGAAGAAGGAATAACAGCCGAATTTGTAACTTATAATGAAAACGATGGTGGGGTTGTGGATGTGAGTTGTGATATGATTCTTATATTCAGTATAATAATATTGTATTTAAAGGTAAAACCAGATTTGTATTCAGTGGAACCAACACCAGAAGAGGTTGTTGGTATAGAGATTAAGAATGACACTGAAGCGCACCAGAAGTTAAAATATAGGTGTACTAAATGCGATGAAACGTTCGCTCTAAAGGTGGATTTGAAGGTATATTGTTATTTAAATTAATAAACAAATTAATGAATTTAATTAAAAAGAGGTTTAGCATATTCGTATCTTAATTGATTTTTTAAAATAATTTATATTGTTACAGGTCCATATGATGACCCATCCAAAGGACCTCGATCACATATGTCACGTTTGTAACAAAGGCTTTCCGGAAGCCCGAATTTTAAAACGTCATCTGAAAATTCATCTGGACAAAAAACCTCACCAGTGCGACCAATGCAACATGTCTTTTGCAGAAAGCTCAAATCTAAGCAAACACAAAAAGAAACACACTGGTGAGCTTCGCAACATCACCGGAAAACCTCACCTCTGTTCTGTCTGTGGGAGAGCCTTCAAATGGGCTTCCAGTCTCTCTAAACACATGAAATATCACACGGGACATAAGCTGTTATCCTGCGATTTTTGCGGCAAACAATATGTGGAGGTAAGGGGGTGAGAATCGTAAAAAAAGTTTTTTTGGAAGTGTTTTATTAGGCACGCAGCTTGAGGATTCACATACGATCTCATACCGGGGAACGCCCTTACACTTGCAAAGTGTGTCAAAAAACGTTCACTCAAGTTTGCAATTTGGAAAAACACTTACGGGTTCATACGGGTGAAAAGCCGTTTTTGTGCCCGATTTGTGGTAAAGGGTAAGTCACATAATTTTTTCATAGACTACTTTTCACAGTAGTAGAAAAAATAATGTATTTATCTTTGAATGAATTTTACCACTCGCTGCGCTTGTTGTATTGTTGATTTTCGTTTCAGATTTACTCAATCTGGCTATGTGGGCATCCACATGCGGACCCACACAGGTGCTCGTCCTTACGTTTGCCAAACTTGCGGGAAAGCCTTCGCCGGCTCTAACACCCTTACAATTCATCAACGGATTCACACCGGGGAAAAACCGTACTCGTGTAATATGTGTGGTAAAGCGTTCAGTCGCCATGAAACGTTGATAATTCATACGCGCTCTCACACCGGTCACAAACCTCACGTTTGCAGTATTTGTAAGAAAGGGTTTACGTCTTCTGGACATTTGTCAGGGCATATGAGGACGCATACTGGAGAGAAACCGCATATTTGCAATCTCTGCGGAAAGAAGTTGGGGTTTGGATGCGTACTAGTAACAAAATTGACTCGTTTTGTTTTAGATTTGCTGGATCCAGTAGCTTGAAAGTTCACATGAAAACACACTCTGTTGAAAAGCCATTCATTTGTAAACTGTGTGGGAAAGGATTCACACAATCGGTTCTGTTTCAGCAGCATTTAGCAACGCATACGAATGTCGATGATAAAAGTGAAATCACCAAAATTGAAACTGTGCAAGTTAGAGATTTAATGTAACAAGTTTCGTAAACAATAAAAACGATAATTTTAATTGATTGTGTGTTGTTTCTCTAAACCCTTAGCGGCAAACTTTTTATACCAATTGAAACATTTTTAAAATACGCTTGGAAGGAGGTAGGGATAAATTGTCTTTTATTATTATAGAATGGCACGCTTAACATTTTTATTCCGTTCATGGGTTTATACAATGGTTTTAATACATACCTTACTTTCGCTAAGAACACATTTAACAATTTTTCTATTTTATTACTACTCTATCTATTTTACATAAAAACACATTAAGAATAATACATTTTTTGAGTATGTTAGTTAAAACAATTATTAATAAGTTATTCACTGGTCACGTTTTTCAGTTTTTCTTTGGTATTTTTCGAAATGCTTCGCGCTGTTAAACTATGCATTGGCTTATCCTTATGACTTGAAACCTGAAAAAGCAATAAAAAATATTACTATTGAAACACCAAATTCTACGGCAAATTTTTCGCACTTCATGACTCTTATTAGAATATGGATCCTTATTTATGCTCCCAGACACAGTTGTGTCCCCTAATTCCCCTCTTTATTGGTTTAAAAAATTTAAAGTGGTAATTTAACGTTAATTGAACTTTTTGAGGAATATAAAAAAGGTAAAACTTACATCTTTGTTCTCAAAAATTTTTCTCAAGTCCTTTACAGAGACGAATTTATTCGGTAGAGTATCCTCCAACTCCGGCTCTGTTTCAGCTTTAGTTACATTCGGACTAATTTTATTAGGTTTCTTATCCGAAGAATTTATCTTTGCAAGATTCGGAAACGAACTTGAAAATTCACCTAACCGATGAGCCACAAGTCGTTGCTCTTTAAGCATTTCGATTTCATCAACTTCATCAAGTTGATCTTCTTGAATCGACCCGTTGTCGGAAAACTCCAAACTAAAATTGTTGTTTATGTCCTCTGTGGCGTCTTGAATTGAGAAATTACTCGAACTGTTTGCATCGTTAGATTTATAATCTATTTTCGGTTTTGCAACATTAGCAACTTGCTTAGTTTCGTTACTGTCATATTCAAATGGAATTTTTTCCCGGTTCGTAAGAGCGAAATTGCGAACAGTTGGATTGGAGTATATCTGCTTTATCCACGTGTTATCCGACTTCTTAGCAGTTTTTCCAGGGAGGCTAGTATTACTTTGACTGGTTTTATCCAAAACTGGTGCGCTTTGCTCGAGCTTCTCGCTAATTTTTGGTGGTATGTCTTTGGTTTTTTCTTTGGTTTCAACTGAACTAGGCTCAGGGAACCGCACTTTGGGTTCGGTTAAAATAATTGTTTCTGATGCTGTATCTTTGACAAACTCATTTAAATCGGGAATTAAGACTTCTTTGTCGTTGAGCTTGACTTCAAACTTTTGGTTGTCGTCTGGTGCCCGAACATATACCTTCGAATTTTCAACGTCATAATAATTGATTAAACTTAAATCGGAATTATTCGTTAATTGGGAAATGCTATCGGCGTTCAGGTCATTGTCTGAGGTTGCAGGGATGGCTCTAAATAATTCGTAGGAATTATTATTATTTTCCGAATTATTTTCACTTGGCCAAATATCTTCTTCCTGCGAATAGAACATAAATGCAGACCTTTATTTTGTTCAGAGAACACAAAAACACAAAAAATAAGCAATAATACTAAATAAAAAGCTTTGAGTATTGTTAGTATTGCAATCTACAGACTATTTCTAGTACGTATTATTATCAGAAAAGCATCACACTTACCGTTGAGAGAGTACAGACATTGAGCTCGACATACCTAAATTTGTATTCAAAGTAAGCAAAGAATATTTGATGGCATATTTATTTTGACAATAACAACAATACTCAGTACTTAAAATACAAAACTAAGGAAGTTAAAAATACATGACTGACTGATACACTTCAAGAAGAATTGCTATCTTGTGGAAAGTAAAGCAAAGGATTTTTGACAAAATTTCTAGTGGAATTTTTTGGAATATACAAACTTCTTGGCAAGCTTGAATATGTATAGTTTGCTTCCAATTGGCCGATTTGGTTTGATAGACTTACCTCTTCCCTTTTTAGTTTGCCGGATGGCGAACTCGCTTGTCTAGTGTAATAATCTCGACCAAACCTATAAAAAGTAAAGTCATGTTTTGCAGTTATATTGAAAAAATTATAAATTGAAAAGTCGAGAAATGCGGAATTGACTTGCCTGTGGTTTCTAAATTTTATTCGTTCAGCTTCCAAAACGTCCACAATTTTTGCCATGACTTAAAATTATATTCGTCGTTATAATATTAAGAAGATGGTTTAGCAAAAACTATAAGAATGTGACGATAATTTCAGGTGAAATCTTATCGATTTTGTAATTATCATTTAGATAAATTGAGTTATTTGTGTGGTTTGAGAGCTTACTATAACACATTTTTCTTAAATAACAAAGATAAGGATAACAGTAATTTCGATAATAATTAATATTAATAATCAAATCTGATAATATTTCCTTATAGTTTTTTGACATTTTTCTGCACTTATTGTGTTAATTTTGCACCCAGTGCTTCACAACTATAAAAATTCAACTAAATTATGTAAAACATTTTTATTTGTTTAAAAATTTAAAATAATTATCGCTATAAGTTTTTTATTCTCTCCTTATTTATTTTGACGTTGACACTTCGAGTACACTAAATTCTGCTTAAGGATGCCAATAATATACAGGGTGATTCTTAAATAGACCGACAAAATTTTATCACAGCTTCCTAAGGATAAATGGAGACAAACTGTACCCTTTTTACGTTTATACATTTTAGGGGCAAAACCCCCTAGATCCGTGCCACTTACGGCGATTTTGAATTGTTGCAATGATCAAGTACATTTTCAACACCATAATACCATGGTTTCCACTACCTGTGCTAACACATTTAGTGGCGTACGCTTTACTTCGAAAATAACTTTAATAAATTTTATTTGGAGAACGTTTAAACAAAGAAATTAAATTAAAAACAAAGAAATTAAATACTTTTTCCAGGATGTTCTCATTTGATACTACTAAGGATAAAATTTTGTCGGTCTATTTAAGAATCACCCTGTATTCCCAACAATAATTAGATTTTTTTTGTGATTATTTTATAAAATCAGGAGATCAAAATCCATTGAGATAACAATTTTTATACCATGCGATGCAATCTGTACTTGCGATTTTTAAACAATTTTCTATTCTTTAAGAAATTTTTGGCGAAAAAATTGTCAATTTTTATTGTATTTTATTATTATATTTATTTTTTTGAGACGGAAGTTTGGCTTTAGTAATGAGAAATGTTTATAATTTTTTGTTAACGGAGATAAAAATTTGCTAAGTTTTACGAGCATTTTTACTAAAACTCCTTAGATAGTAACCAAAAATGTAGAATTTAACTTTTTAATAAGAGAGAAAACTAGACTAAAATATGATAATTTTTACTCTTATAGTTGACAAAATACTATTGTGTTGAGTATACAAAATTTTAAACTTGTAAAATTAGATTCCATTATTAATTTTTATACAGAACCGAGAAGGGTTATTCGTTCTTCACTACGTAAATAATTAAATTTTCTTACCGTAAGTTAGCTTCGCTTAGGGAAGAATATTTATCAAAGTACTGCGACTCTAAAGGTTCATCTTCAACATCTAAAAAAGTACAGATCATGTTTTAAAAAAATAATAACAGAATAAGACTTTATACTTTCATCATTTGCACCAATCTCTCTTTTTGGTATAGATCCGTAAAATTTTTTATCACTAAATTCATCTTCTCGTACTCCTGAATCAAACGAACTGTCTTCGTCGGACATCTGTGGCCACTCATTTGATTTGGCAAAAAACTGATCATCTTTCAATGTTGAATCTTCATTTTCACAATCGGAGGTAGCATCAGATAAGTCCGATGTTTCAGCCGCTTCTTTATCTCCAATCAAAACTTTGGCGTTCATTAAAGAGTTGGGCACCAACATTGGAACGGGAACTGGTGAGTTTGAGCTGTGAAATTGTCGTCGTTGGAGATACCAATTTGAGTCGCTGTTACTGAGCAAGGAATTTGTTCGGCTTAAGGGTCGGTCATCAAAGTCCAGTATTTCTGTAGACGCTTCTTCCTCGATCTGTTGTTGTATCTGTAAATCTTATTTTTTTTTGTCCTTGTCTTTATTTTATAAATAAATACTGACGGTCCACGATACGCGATCGATGTATTTCGTAGAACTTGGATTCGAATCACTGCTGGAAAGGGAGCTAAAATCCAAATCTATATCGCTGGCTTCCGTTTCCCAAGAACCATTTTTAAAAGTATATTTTTTGTTCTGTTGGTCATCGGGAATTGATGCTGTTGAGGTAGATGGCAGATCGTTTTCATGCTTGAGGATTATCTGAAATATAATTGAAAAAATTACGAATTTTTTTACTTGTAACATAGAAAATAATTACTTACTTTGTTTAAAATAGCAGTTGCGAGTAATCCCTCGTAGGTTTGTTCGCCGTCGCTAAAATCAGATGCATGATTTTCCACAAGTTTCCGAAAAGATGGTAATCGAGAAGCTTCTTCAAATATCCTTTCTATCGTGTATTTTAATTTGGTGTGGGCTGAGGACGTATTCGCTTCTGTAAACGGAGCATCTATAAAAATCGTAGAATAGAAATAGAAGCAAAAAAGGTAGATACTTGAAATAATTCACATCCTTTACAATCAAGCCAAAAATTTATAATTTTGATTTAAATTATTTTGGTAATTTATTTTGAAAAAATTCTAAGAAGGTCATAAAAGCTCGTCTGTAATAGAACAAAAAGTGTTCATAAGTTAACTAAAACTATGATAATGTACCATCAAACAACCGCTTCTTAATATTGAAAATTATAATTTTCTTCCTTTCCCGTTTCTCGTAAAAGAACGTTTTTTCCTTTTCTTTTGGTTTTGACATTTACTCATTTTTTTATAAGTGTGAAACTTATATATTATAAGGTCCTAAAATTAAGTGAAAAGTCCAAAATTATTGCATTTTTTAATTTAAAGTTAAAGTTGGATCATTGGAATTGTTCTAAAAATCCTGAAAATCTATATAATCACTCTGCTCACTACTTAATTCTAAGAAAATTATATCAAATATAAGAAAACCGTTATCAAAATGATTTTATTTGTTGAATAACATTTCACAATTGTAAGTATATTGGCACCTTTGACTAATTAAAAAAAAATAAGTAAAAAATCAATTATTTTTTTATGTTGTTGTTGGGTTAAAACAAGGAAAGGAAACACCGTGTCTACACAATAATAAATTGACGTCAAATCTACTTACCTAAAAATACCTCGACAAGGTGATAATATCCATAAACAAGTATGCATAAAATTATCCATAGAGTTAGAAGCACACTAGTCAAAATTGTGAGCATCTTGCAATTTTTTAATAAGTGAAAATGAAAATAAGAAAGGAAATGACCCCAAAATTATTACAATTGTCACTAAATCACTTAAACAACTGATAAAATCTAATCTGTAAGTAATAGAACTTGTTATCTCACTTTCCTAAAGTTTGTACTTTAATTTTAGGTTGTCAAATGATTAAAAAAATAACTTTACTAAAGAGATGTATGCGAAAATAGAACTTTGCAAATACTAACTAATGAAAGAAGCCAAAGGTAAAAATTTAGCCTTGACTGCGATGAAATAGTAAAATACGAGTAGTTATACGTCAATTACATGTTTTATCTTTTTTCTAACACGCGTTATAGTAAATAGTTACGGAGTGAGCGAAAAATCGGTTTAGGGCAAAATTGTGGAACTGTTAGATAAACATGTTTTGCACTCGTGTGACTTATACGCCGCTTATTTGTTTAAAATCACCATAAGTGAGCTATTATACCTGGAAAGTTTTATTGGTTTATACAAGATACATAATTTGGTTCTACATATTATATCAGCGTATGAGTATAATTTTAGAAGACTAATTAAAGTAATTTCACCAAAATAATTTTTGTGGGCAAAAATTCAGGATTTTTAAATGCTTGAAGTTGATGTCAAATTAAAAGCGATGCTTAATTATCACCGCATGGTCAAACAAATGTGAAATTTCAAACATCTTTAATAGGTTTTTCCAAAAGTAAAAAATAATAATTAATTCTATTTGTGTTGGAAATTTAGAATGGAAACTTTTACCTAAGGAGCTTAATATGTCTAACTACACTGGATGTGAGTAAAAAATGTGCTGAATTAAATTATAGAGTGCAGGAGAAAGTGGACACTACATGAATAAATTTATTTTGAACATCGTTAAAAGGGAAAATATTTTTTGCAAAATAGCAAATCGAAATTTTGTAAAACAAATAATTTCATTATTAATCACATTCCCCAACAAAATATGTACTACTTTTGATTTCTTTCCTTATTACATTGTTTTTTTATGTTACTCGACATACCTAATAATGGTTGATGATTTTTTTTATCATACAAAAGTGCCGATAGAAGCAATACTATTTCTAAGAAATTCTGAAAGCGCCAATGCTACTAGAGAACGCTGTACCCCTTTAATAAAAGGAGTTTTATTTTTTTTTAATTCAGTTACCTGTAATATTATTTTAACGATAAGATCATTTTATTGCTCCTTCTCAACAAAATGACGTTGTACTAGTGTTTTTTTTTGTAAAAATATAAATCAGTGAGGTATACTTACCACATATGGACGAATGTAGTGTTGAACTTAAGTTGATAATTGTGTCTTTTAATTCTTGATGATATTTCGTAAAAAGAATGTCATCTGGAGATAAATAAACGATCAGTTACAGCCAATATCAAGGCAATAAAGTAAAAAATAATAATAAAAAAAATAATGACTAGATTGAGTTTTAAATATTAATAAGAATGTCATAAAAAATATGATCTAGTATGTCAATACAAATATTTAAACTTACAGTGTTTATCTTTGTATATTCTGGAAATACTGGCATCATCTACACTCGCTCCCAACAGCGAAGATACTAGCTTTTCTATAAAATCTCTCACAAGCATTTTTTCGCGCTTTCGTTTGAGATCAAATTCATCCATATTTTCACTTCGTTTGGATACTGTAGTAACCGCAAAAACACCTTTGTTATTATTACGTAAAGGAAGAGATTGTAAAATGGTTTGTATCCAGGAAGGCCTTTTTAGGCATGCATAACACGTCCAACCCTTCCGACGACAGTCGTATTTGGAACAGCGCTGTTTGCAAACCCTTTCTTCGCATTCTACACATATCACTATTTTTATGTCTTCTGCTAAACACGAACGGAGATAGGTTCCACATACAGCACAGTGCCACAGCAACGCCGGATTACGTCTTCTGAAACAGTAATTTGAGCAAAATAATTTACATGGACAAAAATCAGGCTTTTTAAATGCTTGATCAACTTTAACAAAATAAAAAATGTAAAAAAGTAATCTCTCGACAAAATATGTTAAAAATCAAGCTTTAAAGTAATCATCTGTATACGCATTATCTTTTTCTTTAAAAATAAACAAAAACGAACCTAAATCCACCAAAATTAGAACGTTCACTAACTACAGCCACATTTTTTTGTTGACGGACACTTTCAACCGGATTCACGGTTTAAAATCCGAGTACCACTCATCCGGAAATATATGTACCATATTAGTACGTTAACTGTCAATCGCACTTTAAAAGTAGAATCAATTTATGCAAGTGATGCGTCATATAAATTCATACCAAATAGTATAAACAAAGTCATTGTACTCTTAGACAAAGTGATGTCCAGGAAGAAAGTGTTGACAACGGATTTACAAATCCATAATTCTATCTACTGTATAAAATAAGTGGCACTTACGAATAAGTCTTTTTGGAGAAAACTTCGCTTCTTTATTAGTCCATATAGTATACTTCATTTTCAAAAAATCACCGTACTATTTATTTACATATGTATATCAGTATTTTAGATATAGAGATTTTTGATGTTTTCATAATTTTTAGAAGTACTTACCTATAGGTACTTGAAAAAAATCGTAAGTTTACTTATTTCTGAAGTAATTCAAACATAAAAAATTGCGATACTTAAATCAAACAAATGAATTATTGCAAAGAGCGTTTTATTAAATTTTAATATTTTCAGTTACATGTTGGCTTTAAAGTGTTTGTTTATTGCCCTTTGTTGATTAATAACGATTAACATTAACTGTTTAGCGAACTTGACCCAGTCAGGATTGAACAAAAACCTTCAGATTAGAAATAAATAATAATTATAGATTTATTAGGTTTATAATATTATGTAATAATATATTTACACAAAAATAAAAAGTGACTAAAAAAACACTTTTCTCATGTTTGTGTAAGGGAGTATGACTATTTGGAATATATTCATTTTAGAATATTTCAATTCTTAATTGAAATCCGTGTAGTTGGGTATGTAATTTAAATTTAATTAAGTTTGCAATCAGTTACTCTTACCTTTTTGATTTGCCTCCTTGTATTAGAATATAACAAACTCCTGACAAAACACCCGCGACAACACTTACTCCAATTCCCGTTGTTACAACAATTGTAATAACATCTGATGGCATTTTTTTAATTTTTCTTTTTTTTGTAACTCTTTTAACGTACTTAACTATACAACTCAAATACGCTTCGAGATAAGAAATGTATTTACATTTTTCTACATGTAGGTAATGAAGATGATCACGAGATTTCTAATGAAATTTAACAACACCTTTTAGTGACGTAAATATCTACCTACTTTGACCTTGCGAAGATAAATACATTTTTAGAAGCGGAATTTTACTTGGGTATAACCACCTGTTAAGAAATAATGATCATCAAGAAAAGTTTTTAGTCGGCCTAGTTCTCGATGATTTATTAGAAGATATTTGTGTGAATGTTAGTGAGAATTGTTAAAACATGAAATTCAAAAGTGTTATTTTTGATCCTTTGATAAGTCGAACTTCACTTTCGTTCATCGTCATCTTAAAACAGATTATAAATTCTCCAAATCCAAAGCGAATAATTATTTTTTATTATAATTAAGTTTTTATTCTTGAGAACACTATCGAAATAATAAAATATCTCGGGTAAAAACTATTTGTCCATAAATGTATAGCCGCGAATATTATAGAAGAATTAAAAACTTATTGTTAAAAAAAAATTATTAAAGATTTTGCACCGGTTCTGGATGCCAAACGAAAGGGAAAGTAAAATAGCGAGAAAATTGAAATAAAACAAATTTGAACGAATTTGAAAATATATTAGATACATTCTAATGAAAATACATACAAAAATAGATAAAAATTACAATAGGAAGTTTATATAAATTAATATCAATGAAGTACCTACAAGGTGGGGTAGGAGATAGAAGAAAATCAATTACACCTGATTTGATAAAATCAAATTGCTTTAAGTAGCATAAAATTCAAAATTAAAAAGTCAGACATTCGTTTTTAGTAAACCATGAGCATGAACACAGACTAAAAACGAATGTTGTAAGTCCATGTCACTGAAACGATAGGTATAGTTTGTTGTCAAATGTTCGAGTTCCATGTCCGTCTTGTCCATGTCAGAATCAAACTGTAGAAATAAAGCATAAAATTATCACGATTTTCTTTTTTTATTGTCTTTGGTACAAATATCACAATCAAGTTAGGAACTTACTTTATCGAAACTCTAAGGCTTCTCTTCCACTCGCTGTCGTTTCCTATTATGCTCTTGTTTTTCTTCCGCCTTTAAAACTTTTATTCGTATCCCAGAAACTTCAGCCCCATGCAAAATCTAAAAAAAAAAAATCTCTAACAAAAAAATCTAGACACATTTAGTTACAAACCCTTATTGCATTTTCTGCGGATTCTTTACTTGCGTATTTTGCAAATCCACAATTCCGGTTATTCAACATGTAAACATCAATTAAATTTCCAAAACGTGAAAACACATCTTTCAGAACAGAAGGTGGAGGTGGGTTGGGAGTACAAACTATAAAACATCTGGAGCAACAAAAATATTATTGCACGTTTTTTCAGTTATTTAAATTAAACACCTGGAAACGGTTTCCTCATTTGCGGAAGCTAAGGGTTGAGGATCCGGCAACTTAACACTACAGTTAATTCCACTCTCTTTTGACAAAGGAATTAAGCCTAACCTTGCTTGTAAAACGTCTGAAAGAAGAAATAACAAATACAACAATAAATTACAAAAATATAACTCACCGGGTGATAGTCCAGCGGCTTGTATTAAATTCGAAGCTTGTGCAATAGTTTCAGCTATTTGAAATATATCGGAATGTTTCTGCCTATCCGAAGATGAAGATCTACTCCCCTCAAAATTTTGAATTCCTTCATGGTCCGGTTTCACTATAATACGATTCCCGGGTGGATATTCGAACCCATGAAGCTTTTCTTTTGCGTAAGCAGCCCATTGCGAATTATTATAAACAACAGAAGCGACTCCTTTGTTGGGTTTGGGCCGCCCTTCCAACCTCAAATGACAATAATCCAACCCTGGCACAATATCAAACAATTTCCACAACTGATCTTGATTGACTTGTGGGCTCACGATTGCTATTAGTTTTGTGTACCCACTCGGATTACTAACAGTAGGCAATGGTAAGGCACTCGAGTTTATTTTACTAAGAGAATTCCAAGAATTCGAAAATTTATCTTCACTTTTCATGTTGGGTTTCCGCGGCTCGGCGAAAACCGCTTTGTACTTTTTGTCACATCTTTCGAAAGCGACAGCAGCGTGAGAAAATCTACAAAAATTGGGTTGTCTTTAAGTAAAAGCAGAAACCGATCAGCTCACTTGAAGTATTTTACGTATGCGAAACCTTTGCTTTCGTGAGACTCCTTATCACGCATTATTGTAGCATAGTCGATGTCACCAAACGTTTTAAAGTAATCGTATAATTCCGAATCGGTCATGTTTTTGGGAACAACCACAAACAAGCGTAGAGTTCTCTCCTCCTCGTTTGAGTCGCGCTTTGAACCCTGATCGCGACTGAAAATTTTTTTTAATTATAATTTTTTTTATATCAATTAAAAAAAGTGATTACGTTTTATAAATATTACAATTACCTTGCAGCTATCATAACCCTGATGCTTCTATTTAAATTTCCAATACATTTTCCATTCATTGCTTCTAAAGCTCTTGCAGCTTCTGATGTCTTCGAATATTTTATATATGTAACACCTAAAAATATGAAACAAAACTCGAATTATGAATTACGACTACTAAACTAAAAACTACTAACGAATTACTAATTTGCAACAATTCATTCTAAGTTTAAAGCATTTTTTACGTTTATTATACAAGACGATAAAGAAATTGTTTATCTACGAGTGAAAAGGTTAAGTTTACGAGTGACGAAGTCACGAATGGGCTTTTTTGATCTTGATAGTCGTGTATAATATTTGGTTTTATTTTGTACTCATTTACCAGAATTTCTTGAATATAAACAGTAAGTATATAAAAATTACTTTATTTCACTAGACGATAAAAGACTATTTTATCTACTGAAATTAGTTGATAACATTGAATACAAAATAAAAATAATAAATGCACAATAGAAAAAAAAATCATAAAAATTATGCTTAGTACACAAAATGGTAAACGCGCTAAGAAAAATTATTGCTCAATAAAATAATAAATGTTTAGTAATACAATAATAAATAATATTCTTGCACAGGCGTCATATACATTGAATTAAATACGTTCCTTAAATTTTATGTTATTTTACTAATTTTGATTAAAGTTACTGAACGTTAATTAAATTAAATACTTACTTTGAATAGGTATACGACTTTTTATTGTGCACTTTTATACTGAACAAATTACAATGTTGTACATATGTACAATAAAATAGTGCGCTTCCTTTACCTATAATTTATTTTTTACTGTGCAAAATAATATATTACACTGGTCATTTCTAGTCTTTTACCGTCCAAAAATTAGTTAAATACTGATTCATCATTTTATACCGAATACCTATATTCGAATTGATTACTAGGCGCTTTATTAAGTTTTATTTGGTTTATTTGGTTCTTCTAACATTTTTTTAATGGGATAAATTAAATACCTTTGCTCTCTCCAGTTTGTCGATCTCTGACCAACCAAATCTCTTCAATATTCCCGAATTCTTCAAAAGCCTTCCGGAAGTCATCTTCACAGAGAAGTTTACTTCCAATTATAAACAATCTTGAGTTTGGAGGTTCGTCTAGATTAGAGCTTAGTGAAGATCTTCTATCAGATCTGTCGGTCATTTTTACCTAAACAGGATAACCTGTTGCACTTTTAAAGACTTGACATGTAAATTTTAAAGTACTGTTAGCAGAAAAAAGAAAAGGAACTATGGTACAATTGTCCACACATTAGCAGCAGCAGATGAGCAGCTGTTGAGAGATTTGACGTTGCCCGAGTTGCGCATTGTAGATTCTTTGGTCTAACATGACCGTTCATTGCACTTTTCCACGAATTTATGTATGCAACCAGCAAAACCCAATAACAGTTCAATGTGCGAGAACCACCAATGGAAGGACTACATAAGTTGTCCGTTACCTTATTAGTATTGACATAGGGTGATTAAGTACAAATGACTCAATTTTAACGTTTGGAACAGTTTCTTAAATTTTTTAACCCSAGCAAGTGACCGATCATAATTTTTTTAAAGCTTAGCTATTTCCACTTTTACCAATCAGTTCTATATTTTTTCTGATTCTGATATTTATTTATTTACTTATTTTATTTAATCTACGAGATTTCCCAAATCTACCAGAGTTTACCTCGATTTATCGATTTATTTATACTCGATTTATTTATACTACAATAATAAATAATAAAACAATAAAAGCCGTTTGATTTTAAATAACGAGAATCATAAGACTTGATACTGCTGTACCGGTGTTTTTTGTCACATTTTTTTATTTACTAAATGTTTTCGTTTAAATTAAAATATAATTAAAGGGCCAATTAAGAGATAACAAGCTGCTTATTTATTTTTTTAATAAATAATAAAAGATTAAATCATATTCTAATTGTAATTAAACTTAGATTTAAAAAGCAATAATTAATTCACTAAGAGCGGTAACAACTTATTAGTTCCATGTACGTAGACAGTTAATGAAGCTGGTTGTAATTTAGTAAATAGTTGAAATCGAGTTAAGCCAAGTGACAAATTCCTAACTGAAGAAAGCGATCTCTGTAATTATATTTTAAGCCCGTAGCGGCATTCGGCATGCGTCGTCGTCGTGACGCACCAGTCAATTTCCTGCACTCCTAGCTCCTGCAGTACGAGAACGCGCTGCAGGAATTGAGGCACGACTGAGACAGATCAGTTTTTTTTTTAACTTCATGTTAGTGTATACAATTTTCTAATTACATCTATCTACATTATAGCCCACAATGCAAGCAACTCGACCGCGTCGTGCCCCATGCACCCCCGTGTTATAAATTTGTGTTTATTTTTAAAAACCTTGACCCTCCGTGACCCACAATTTCTAACCTAAAAAGTCAGTCATGGACAAGTCTAAGGTAGATAATGGGTGTTGAGTGTTTTTTCGTTGTAACTTATGTATCAGATAGACGAGTCCTCCCCATTTCCATTACATTTAATAACAAACCATTGTTGCATTCTCAGTGTTTTGGCATGTATTTTTTAATATAATAAATTTCATGTTTGCTGTTTGTTGCATTTTGTTTCATGATTTAGATGTTTAGTCGTTGTTTTTTTGCATTTTTTCCCTGACGTCAAAATAGCACCTCTAGGTGTTCCTCAATATGTAATTTTTTTAGCTTTAGTTTAGTTTCTGTATGTCGAAAAGAAAAGTTCAAGACTACCAAAGCTCGTGATGTCGTCGAAGCTTTCGTAATACCTACTTTATTGTCTCTAAAAATTTTATGGCAATAATCGATAAGAGTTTTATATTAGACCTTTTTCTAACAAGTATTATTTTATTCGGTGCTCTTTAAAAAGTTAACACTAATTTGAAATTAATTAATAAACAACTTGAATCTAATAATATTTTGTTAATACCATTTTAATAATAATAATAATCCTATGGCAGGAAATAACTTCTTTGAACACAGGGTGTCTCAATTAAGAAATTCAGGACAATTTCAATAACAATTTAAAAAAAATATTGCTTTAGAAATACAGTATTTATTTAAGTTTGCATATAGTATCCCAGATTAAATAATTGTGAAGTATAAAAAAATTGCATTTATGGATCTCGAGAATTCCTACATGGTATTTGTAAATAAAAATATTTTCGAATAATAGCCGAATTATCTTGTAATGAAGAAATCGTGATTTTGTATGATGAAACGTGGTTTCAAAATCCATTTTTTCCTTTTTTAAGTTAAATTTCTGATATTTCATCTCTCTGTCTTTTTTGTAATCAACAACTTTTATTATTTGCAGGTGTATTTAATTAATGAAATCAATAAAATTATTCGATACATGCGTTTTTCTATAGTGTTTTCATTGTGACATTTTTTAATTTTGTCCACATAAAATGTAACACACGTCTTGTCTAAAAAATTCCACAACTTAAAATTTGCATTTAACGCAGTGTGAACAAAAATAAAGTTTCATGAACTTGTCTAGACTTTTATAAATAAAATAATCTGAATATGACTCGACCATTTTACTTTTACTTTATCTCTCCAGACAGAAACGAAATTGAATCTCGGCAGAACCGTTTCTAAACTATACTGAAAAACTATCTTCTTGACGTTTCACATTCTTTTCAAAGATTACAATAGTTATTTACGAAACATTGATGCTACAGTTATTCAATGTGAAACTTAAAATATAATCAGGACAAGACTGTAACTTTTTATTGATGTTAGTTTTAATTTAGAAACTAAAATCTGTATAAAAAATTTATTGAATATAATTTAAAGAAGATCAGTTTAAGTAAGTGTCTTATTTTAGTCTCTCGTTATTTTCCTTGGTTTCTTTCATTTATMTGTAACCTCTCTAGATATTGATTTGAAATATAGTTATTGTTTACGTCTCTTGGCAAAGTAAAAAAAGAACTTTGTTGTAGTTAGCTTCAGGGGTATTAGTTTTAGTAAAAAATGGACAGTGTCTTATTCTTTCGAGGTAGGTACAGAGTTATATGAAAGGATATAACTGTATAGAAATTCATAAATAAATGTTTAAATTATTCCAATAGCTTGACAGTTTTATTACTATTAAAACAACATTGATTATTTTTATTGCTCATCATAGTAACACGCCCGTAGTTAACACATCATGAAAGTTTATTTATCCAAACAGATTTGGATACAGCTTCATAATTTCACGTCGTTGAAATCTTACTTCATTCATGCTTTTAGAAAGTTATGTAAGTCTAATTACTACTTTAGTATTCATGTAAGTGAAAGAACAAGCCAAAGCGATTCAACTATAATTATTTTATTTATTGCAAAGTATATCAAAACGTTTCCAAAAAAGCAAATTAACCAATTACATGAAAGATTAGAACAGGTAAGTTATACCGCAACTTTTTCTGGATTTTTTACTAGTTCAGCCAAATGTGGTTAAAAATAAAACATAGTATTTACTTGCTGTGAAGTAATTCATAATTTCGATTTTTGCTTCAAAACAATAAATGCAGGAGCAAAAATTGATATTTTTTCATGTACCAAGGTTTCTCTTTCCCGTATATATGGTGGATGCGCCGGGTGCTAAATTTATTTTATTGGTAATAAGTAATAAGATTGTTTTAATAAGTATGTGCTTATTAGTAAACATTGTTAATCGTTTTGATTATATTGCAATTTATGATAAATTGAATAAATAGAAACATTTATTTAAAACATCTTGTGTTGGCAAAATTTGTCTTTTTAAATAGAATACACGAAGAAAGTCCTAAAAAGGGCATCTAAAAGATGTAGCTTTGATGTACAAAATCTTTTTTTTTTGTCTTCATATTTTCTTTCCTAATTTATATTTTTTTTTCCAGTCTGAATTTGACATTTTAACTTAAACTGGTTATACAATATAAAATTTTAAAATATAAGGTGTCCGAAATTTGCGGAACAGCTTCATGAAACACGTATAAAGTACAAAAAACATGAGAAAACAGTTTTTTTTTCTTTTTTATTTTTTATTCCCTTTTTTAATAACTTGCAATAAGCATATAAAATTAGTCGTATTTTCTCATCTGAAATAAACGAGGCCAAATATGCAAACTATCAACTCCAGAAATTACGATATTATTATAGATACCATTTTTTTAAATTTCCCATGCTCATTGTTGTATAAATTTTAAAACATTTTATATAATAATAAAGAAAACAATATTTGGAACATGAGTTGATACTTAAATTTGTAAAGTCCAAAGTGTTTGAATAAAAAAATATATTAATGTTTATCAGTGCGATTAGTAGGAGTATACCTAACCTATATATATTGCGTGAAGATCTTGTTGTGCTTTCTTGCCAAATACTAAAATTACGTACAAAAGTTCTAAAATAAGAACCAATAGAATTTATTTCTGGCTATAGCTAATCCCACTGACAGTTTTAAAACAAAACATTAGATATTGGGTTTTAATTCCAACAAACAATTAAGTGTGAGTAATTATCAAAGACATTATTCTCTGCAATTAATTTTATATTATTCTTTATCAATAATAAACTGGTTTCTATAAATAACCACTAACAAACTATCAACACTCGACGAAATAATTTATTATTAATACACTACGTATTATGTCTCAAGTAAGACTCCTCGTCAATAATTCGAACTTAGAAAGTGAACAAAAACTATTTCACTAATCAATGTTTTATTAAATTTGAGGTAATTAAAAATTACTATTAACAGAAATAACAGAAACGTAAAGAAACAATAAGAGATTGATTTCAGCCAGTTGATTACGACCTAAAAATTTGGTATAACTATATCTACAGGGTGTGACAGAACTTGCACCATAGAGAAAAATTTCAAGTAAAATAAGATACCAGGAACAATTATTTATAATTATTTAGTAAAAGTACAAAAATACCACAAAAAAGCCACAAATGATATTAAACAGAGTTAAAATTTAGGATACAGCTTCGTTGTTTCCTCTTCTAATAGCCTATAGCAAAAAAAACTTCGAAAATTATTTTTCCAACAGAAATAAATAGAGTTAAATTGCAAAATTTAAACCCWCATAACTTCGAAATTTTTATAGATAAAATTTTTTAAACAATTTTTTCATGTCCTTGGTATCTTACCTTACATGACATTTTTCTCTGGGGAGCGAGTTTTGGCGCACTCTGTATTTACTGAAAAAAAAATTCTATAAGAACAAGAAAAAAAATTAATGGAATCTTGGCACAAAAACCTTAATTATTTAGGCCAGTTGAAATTTAACTGTTCGATTGTTGCTAACATACCTAGTGGTGTTGTCATGATTTAACCGAGGTTTAAATTTATCTCCCTGTTAAATACGTTTCCAGAAACCGGCCTTAATCTAACAGAGGAAGATTGTGAAAAAAGTAAATAGTTTGATTTTTGTCGTGATAAAAGTGAAGCTAGACGATAAATCTCCGACTAACAGATATATTCAACGAATGAAGAACGAATTAAATCATCAAAATTTATCTTTTTTTCAGTAAAACATCTTGGTGGTGTCTCTTTCGGAGTAAAACAAACTGGCCCATCAGTTTTGGATATCATACCCGCCGCCGGGGGCGGGCAGCTCCTCCAGTTCTAAAGATAAAGAGAAACAACAACAAAGTGAAGAAGACAAACGTCCTGCAACAAGAGAACAGCGACAATTGGAATACGACGCTGCAATTAAAGTTAGTGAATCTTATTTGCTTCGATAACACTTATTGGAAAAGTTTTAAATAGTGTATCAGACAGAGTAACAGGTGTTCGAATGAAAATTCTGAGAAGAAATTTTTTGACAGGAACATCACCGTTCTCAAAGAGAACAGTGGGAGATAAGACAATTAGATAACGACTTGCTGCAGCAACGACACTCAGAAAGGGAACGTGAACGAGAAGAAAAGGAGTTAGCCGGACAACAACAACAACAACAACAACAACAACAACAACATCAACAACAACAGCAGCAGCAGCAGTTACAACAATTTCTACTTGTGGATGATAAACATGATTTCACTTCACATTCGTAAGTAACGTTTTTAATTTCTGCAAATATCAATTAAAAAGTTTATGTTAATCCAAGTCTTCATAATATTTATATTCTGTTCTTCAAACAATCAAATCAACAAACAATTTGTTTCGGCTTCTTTTTTAATTATGTAAAATCAATTGTTTATTTAATACTATACTTAGTAAAGAGACTGATTTTAAATTATTGTCTATTATTATTAGTATGTCATTATTAATTATTTATTTAGAAAAGTGTAATTATTTTTTAAAGGGTCCAAATTTACCCATTTAAAAAAATTCTAAAGAAAAAATCTAAAATTATCATTAAAATTTGATGAAATGCAATCGTAAGGGTGTGACAAATAAGCAAATATAATTTTTGCATGTTTAGCATTTAATTTCGGTACTTTTTGGGTTTGTGGGGCTAGTATGTGAAATTTAGTTTTTGTAACCCACATTCTGCATACCCAAAAGCAGTTTACCGTTCTGTTGTAGCAATGCGCTGTGTCACTGCAGACCCTTATTTTTACAAAATTGAGTTAATTTGAATAAATAAATCCCAAGTCTTTTTGCGACGAGATTATTTTAATTAATATTTCTGTTGTTCTATTTTTATACGAATTCATAAAAATAGCTAAATGGAAGCGAGAGGATGCAGAGCATGTGTCCGATTTATTTCCTGCTGTGAGTTGCGATCCTTGACGTCAGGATAACGGTTTGGCGGTAGGATGAGAACTTAAAAGCTTTCGAGAGCTTTCGTTGCAAGTCGACAATTTCCGCTTAACCTGCAATGACGAAAACTCAACTGCCCATAATATTAACAATCGTCTCGTTCTTCGAACGGTTAATTTTGTTAACTAAACATGTTGTGATTCCATCGAATTAGTTGTTTCTTATTTATAAAGATGGTTGTGACACAAATGAAATAAATCGCGAGTAATCAAAATATTTTGGAAACAACTAAAGGTTTATTTTAAAATAATCGTTAATAGTTGAAAGAGATCGTTGRTAGTGAATTAGTAGTGTAAAAGGCTTAGAAACGGAGCTTTCAAACGAGCAATATCAATTTTTAGATTATCGATTTATTAGAACGAAACCGTATCTTCCGTAAACGTAAATTATAGTGTGATAAATATCTTTGATAGATAGTTCGGAGCTCATTTTCCGTTTGTCTTAACTTAAAAACACGTTATAGCGTAAAAAAGAATGAATGTTTCTATAGAAGTAGCTAGAATTTCCTCATGAGGTTAGTTTTTATTTTTATCAGAGTGATGTTGTGCCAAATGGCAAATTCTTAGCTATTTATGCTAGTCACTTATTTATTCAATAGGTAACGATATTTGATCTTTTTAGATTAAGAAAAACTATTTTCTAAGTGCTTGCCTTAAGGTGAAAACCTTGTAGTGCCTATTATTTGTTAAAAGTTTTACAAAATTAACGTAAAAATGATGCAAAAATAAGTACGAGTGATAAATCTACAATAATAATTAAACTGTAGTGCAATTTCTTTTACAAAAATGTCTCAATTGGCTTTATGTAATTATACTAACAACAATAATAATGACAACACTAGTGAGGATTCTGGTCAACCACCAACTATATATAGGTAAATATTTATAACCACATTTATGACTATTATTATTATGAAACTGAATTAATTCATATTCAAAAATAAACTAAGAAAAAATTACAAATACAGTCATATTTTTAGAAAATTTTCTGAAACCGGAATTGAATATACATTAATCGAGTAGGTGTTTTCAAGATTAATATTTATATTTGAAAAACAAATGGTAAGAAATCTTGTAAACACGTTTCTGCATGCTATACCTAAAAGCACTTTATCTCAACCCTCTTCTAAAATGTTTAGTTTTTTCAACAAAGTGATGGTGAAAACCCTTTTATCAACAGTTGTTAAAAAAATCATAACTTTTGCACTGATATCCGTGTGAAAAATCGATTTTTTTACTTGACAACGTGAATGATGTGGTTAAAAAAATACAAACATAATTAAATCAACACATCTCAATATAAACTAAAAACTACTCAGCTTGTTTCTTGTTTATTTTTAAATTGTCACTGCTAGAATTTATGACAAATAAAGACCAAAATTGCTTTACAAAAAATCTTGAAATTATTCAAACAAACATATTCAAATTATTTTCTGTCATAACCACTTGCTAAATCGCTCTAAATTAGGCAACTTAAGGCCAGTTTCATAATCGAATTAAAGGGACTTTTAAGTTAATGTTTGTTTAGAAAATGAAATTTTTGTGAAGTAGTCCGTAATAATTAGCACATTCTAAACAACATTTAATTTAATTCTCCTGTTAATTCAATTATGAAACTGGCCCTTGGTATATTAGAAGATTATTTTATCTAGTCTCTTCTTCGTGACGCCTATAGAAAAAATGTTTGTTCTCGTCACGGAATTCGTGTCTTATGGCGTGTTCGATTGAGTTTTATTTTCAACCTACGGTTTCCAAAAAAATCATTCGCACGCATTATCACACTCATTCATTTCAGGAATTTGAAATTTATGTTTTAGAAATACATATTTTAAGAAAAACCAACTTTTGCATTTTTGGAAAAATTTTGACTAGCTCTGAATTCTTTTTCTGCAATTTTTTAAGTTATTTATTTAACTTTTAAAAAACTTATTTTTTTTTAACTTTTCGACTGCAATAGGTACATTAAAAAATGTTATAGTCTTAAAGTTCGTACTTTCCTCTTTACGGCAGTAAATTTTTTTTTCATATGTCTTAACTTGCTTGTGTGTGTTTTCGCCAAAAAAAAAAAACAGCTTAATTCAAAAACTAAGCAAAATCGACTAATAGAAGCTACATTCAAAAATGCCAAGAAACATATGGTGTTTCATTTAAAAAACATAAGTTTGTAATGTAACTTATTTTTTATAATCAAAAATATTTTCCTGAATTCCGCTCTAGAATATAAATAAAGTTTACAAAATATCAAAATTCTCACTTAAATAATAAATGAGCTACAGAAGACCGGAGCTGAAATGAATCACCCTGTATAAGGGAGCTACATCCCCTGAAAAGAGTGTATAAATGGATTTTTTTGCAATATTTCAGAAACCATTGTAGATAAAATTACAAAATTCCGTACAACTGATAACCTTTATACACCCAAACTTTCCTAGTTTTTCAAAAAAAGAGGTCTCTTGGATTTTTTCGATACAACTTGCCGTTTTTGAGTAAAATCAGTTTACAATATTTGTTACAGACCATAAAGAGGATAAAAATTAAAAATTAAATTTGTTTTACCGTTTAAGACGCCCGTGATTCAAAATTTCGACAACTGATATTTGAATTCGTTCAGGTGTTTAAAGCTTATCAGCTGTATCAACTTTTGTAATTTGATCTATGCTGAAATAGTGTGAAAACTCCATTAAACATTCTATCACCTGTTTAAATTTGTAACAATAAAAACGGAGCACCTGTATAATAATAATAATATTAATAATTGGCGTAATTTGGAGTTTATAAAAGTTAGAAAGTCAAATTACTTAAAATTTTATACAATGTTTAATAATAATAAATTGATATTTAGCGTTTATTTTATTTTACATAATATGTAAATTTAAAACATTTGAACTTTCAGTAATAATATTCGTGTAGGGCCCGGCGCCTCCACCATATTTTACAGGTTTACACTTCCATGTGAGATAAAGCTTTGGTCTATCGTAAAAAAACTACGTATATAAATAGGAAAAACTAGCTCCACTTTTTTCTACCGCCCTATATTTTCGATTTGCCAAATTATTTAAAATTATCAAAAACGCTTAAGAGTGAAATCAATGTGACTCAAGTTTCTCTTTTCTTGTACAAATAAAAACAAATTTAAATCTACAGTTTTCCGAAACAATTTTGGTTTTAGGTGTAGGGCACCAATAGCAAGTTTAGACTGTATGGAAGAATTTAGCGCTGGAAGCGCACTCAGTGCACTCACCGATCGCTCAGGTGAGGGAGGCATCACAAAGGAGCAACTTTTACTGAGCGGTTTGACTCAATCAGCACCAAACGCAGCTTTACAGCTTGCCAAACAGACGTCGACGGCTCCCGGTTTGAGATATCGCAATTTGGGAAAAAGCGGCTTACGAGTGTCTAACATTGGGTTAGGTACTTGGCCAACATTCGGACCAAACGTTACCGAAGAACAAGCCGAACAGATTATTGTTCTAGCTGTAGAAAGCGGAATAAACGTGTTTGACTTGTCAGAAGCTCACTCAGGTATTTTTTCGACAACTATGGTAAGTAAATAAATGATTTTTCTTAATTTTAGGAACTAGAGCCGAAGTAGAACTAGGCAGAATCCTGTCCCGTCGAGGATGGAAGCGAACTTGTTACATTGTCACTACGAAAATATACTGGAGCACGAGGTATTCCATCAAGTTTTCTTAATGTGAAATTTGAATCTTTTTCTCAGGTCAGAAGAACGGGGTTTATCTCGAAAGCACATAATAGAAAGTGTAAAAGCTAGTCTTGTACGACTGCAACTTTCCTACATCGATGTCGTCATAGTCCACAAAGCAGACCCAATGTGTCCGATGGAAGGTACAAAAGAGTGGTAGTTAAAAACAGACTTAACAATAATAATTAGTTTCTTGTAGAAGTAGTAAGGGCGATGCATTATGTCATTTCGCAAGGTTGGGTTATGTATTGGGGAACAGCGCGATGGTCACCCGTTGAAGTAATGGAAGCTTACACAAACTGTCGACAGTTTAATTGTGTTACTCCCATTGTGGAACAAACCGAGTATCACATGTTTTGTAGAGAAAAAACAGAATTGTATATGCCGGAACTGTATAACAAGATTGGAGTTGGTGAGTTATGTTGTAAATTTATTGGTCTACTTTATGACATTTTCAAATAGGTTTAATGGCTTGGTCGCCAATTTCAATGGGATTAACGCAAGGTAAAGAAGACGCAAGTGTGCAATTATTCTCCCGAGCGAGCTTCAGGAATAAGTACAGTTCATTTTCGTGGACTGAGGATGAAACCACTACGAATAAAGACGGTTATAACTGGATGAAGGAAAGAATCCAACCTGAGGAAACACGAAGACAATCCGAGCGAATCCGCGAGTTGAATTCGGTTGCAGAAAAACTAGGATGTACCTTATCCCAATTAGCTATAGCGTGGTGTTTGAAAAACGAGTCGGTGCAATGTCTACTATTAGGAGCGAGTACCGTTGTACAACTTTATGATAGTATACAATCTCTTCAAGTTTGTATAAATTAATTCAATGATAATTTTTACTGAGACTGTTTTCTTGCAGTTGGTCCCTAAACTGAACACCAATATGATAGCAGAAATAGAGCGTATCCTAGAAAATAAACCATCTAGACCTCCAATGGTGTCCACTCTGGCGCTTAGATGACAATCAATGTGCCCCCCTGGTTCTATTGGGTATAAATTCGATAAGCACAAGTGCAAATAATTAATTTTTCTTACAGTCAGGGAGGCACGAGTAATACAGACAGTCCAAAGGAGGATGACCTGAGCAATGCAGATACAGACACAAAAGACAGTCAAAAGCTTCCATTTTGCGAGATTCAGTGACAAAAAGTTACCGAGTTTGTAAAAACTCGTAAAATTAAAACGCCGGAAGAAAAGCCGTTTAAAGAGAAGGTAAGATGGAGTTACAGTCCTGATGAAGGTCCCAAGTGCACCACTGAGACTTTTTCTACGAAGAAAAAAGATAAAAAGACAGCAAGTCCCGTGCAAGTATGAAATAAACAGAAAAATGTTTGTGAAATTCTTATCTGAAGTTTGTGATGCATGAAAATCGAGTCCATTTAGGTTTGTTCGCAGTTTCTAATTCGACGCAAATGGACTTTACACTACTATATTTATTGGAACTAAAGATCGGTTTGCGATTTTTATACGACATTTTTGAAACGAGCTCTTTCATCGATGACATTTCAGTTTCAGGGTTCAGATGGAAGAATAAATATTGTCTGGTTTACAATTACATGTTATTCAGAATCAGGAAATCTAGTAGATTCTAGATTATTCAGTTTTTGGGCCACTACAATAAAAATAAAAACAAACAGTGAACTAAATGGCAAACATTTTAGCTTTCTATTCGCAAAATTAATTGTAATTAACTTCTTGTGCCTTTTCCAATAAATACAGATTTTTTTTGCACACTCCACTCAAACCTATTTTAACAAGCAATATTAACAAACTAGTATTTGAATTTGATTAAATAAATTTAAAAAACTGAATTAACCCTGAAAATATTGATTTTTTAGTCAAACCTGGAGCAGCTCGTTTCATACATAATAGAATGTGTGCAAACTAGGAATTCAAAAAACTTTAAAGTTGAGTTTAATATTTCTACGCAATAGTACAACAATGTGCATAACAATGCTGGCAAGACACATTCTTTTGAGCTGATTCTTGATAGTAATAATGGAATGTTTTAACGTGATGATAACACTGAGATAACTACTTTTTATATCTTTCTACTAAATAGGTTTTATTGCAATTCTTAATAGTTCATAAAAGCAGAAAAAATTATTTTTTTGTTTAAAAGTATTATGCAGTAAATAAACAAAACAAATATATAAATAATTATAAACTTAGAGTTAACAAGAAACGTGTATGCAGTTTTTTCTTAAAAGACTATTATTTTGTTCTTTGATTCTTGATGAACCATGTAAATATAGGAAGTAAATATAATTTTTCAATCGTATGCTGATATAATTTTTGCAACAATTGCAACTAGAAAAAGTTTTTGCTTATTACTGTGCCTTTCAGAGCGCATAAGAAAGGTAATTTTTCAGCCTCAAATTAAAGGCAGAAAACTTTTACAATTTCTAGTTTTTAAATAATTTCATATTTCTAAAAAAGTCTGGCAAACACTGGTTTGTCCGATTTTTTTGTCTGATAATTATGAAAAGCAAACTGTATAAAAATATGAAACAAGACTATATTCTGTTTTAGAAATAATCATTTCATCTGTACATTGTGTATAATATATCATGTTATAGATTAAGATAAAAAATTAATTAATATCTTGTCACTAATGGTGAGTTCTATTTTAACTTGAGTGGTAATTCTATTAAATTAAAAAAAACTTGTAAACGACTTAAATGATTTAATAATAAAATAAACAGTTAAAACTGAAAAAATTTTCACCATAATTGCGTCTTGTTACACTGTAATCATAATTTAATGAAATATACCATAATTTTTAAGTTACTTATAACAATAATTAATATAGGTGGTTTTTAAGAAAAGGGAACCTTGTACGTGAGCAGGATGTACTTTATTATAAACCAATCTAATAATAAGTACATTATTTTAAAAGACAGTGAATGGATGGTAGTATATTTAATCGCATGTTAATCTAAACATTTATTAAAAAATTAACTGAGTGGCTTTCGAATTTACAAAATTGTACCAGTTGTAAGTCTTCCATCAGTCATTCAAATTGGTTTCACTGCCGCTTCGAATTTTGTTTAAACATGTTATGTGCAATATATCGTCCTTTTTTATTGTCATTTTATTATTTATCAAAGACRGTGGTTTTGAAATATTTTGAAAGGAATGCGCTTAGGAGTAAAACAACAGTGAACTCTTTGCATTGGTTTATAGAAATTTTTGAAACCACATACATATCGAGGACAAAGCGTCCACTTTTGCTTCATTTATTTAACAAAACTCACCCATCCAAAAAGTCATTCTCTATGTATTTTGCGAAATAAAGCAACGAAATGATTCGGTATTTGACCACACCTTTTTTCTTATTGTAGATATATTTTTACTCCAGAGTTCAGACATTAAAATTGTGTATCGAAATCTTTTTTAATGCACAACTAAACGTTCTTATAAAAATACGTCTATTCTACACCTTAGCAATATTTCTTCAAAAGCAATGTATCGTCGTGGATATGTAAAGTAGTCATTTCATGACGAGCGTTTTTAGACGACGGCATTTCACTAGATGCAAAATGGATATTTATTGGCAGTAGAGAGCTATCGTATAAAAACACATTTTTAAACATAAACACAAGCTTTACATTGCATTTAATGGAAACTGTTTTCTTATTACATTACATATAGACATCTTGCGGTTATGTAATAATAAATGCTCACGAATCTGTTACTGTTTGTCTATTTATAATGTTTATTTATAGAGACTAAAAACTCTATTGTTGAATTTATACTAAAGATTTAATCAGTAGGAATAAATTTTATCGATACTAACTCGCTACGAGTATTTATAAACAAATACGAGACAATTAGGTTTGTGATTTTTACTGTTTTATAGGGAGTAATGATTTCGCATTGTTTAAAACCAAAAAGAGATTTTCAAAAATCCTCAAGTTCAATTAAAATTTTTCCAACAATGCAGGTGTATTGAGCACTAAACACGATTGAATTTATTTTTTGTAATAACCCTGTGCATAAATATTCACCGATTTTTGAAAGTCCCATTATTGTGATAAAAAAAGAAATTTGATCTGGTAACATTAATAGAATAACCTTGTAATTACCAGATTGAATTTAGTTAATAGGCATGTAATAAGGCCTAATTGTTGTGTAAATAAATCTAGGCTAATTAGGCATTTCCATCACATGTCACAGCATAACTAATTGCATTTTTTGGAGATAAATTTTACAAATATAAATTATTAAAAAAAACACAAATATATCTGATATTACAGTAGTGAAAAGTGAGTTATTACCTATTGTAATGTAATTGTTATGTTTGGAAATGTCTGATACCGGCTCAAATAAACTACGTTTTTCAATTTACTTCGAGATACTAAAAAACTCGTTCGTCTGTGCAACTATAAGCTTGTTTTTTCTTAAAAAATATTATTACTTAAGTAAATCTGTTTTTTCTTGGCGGAGAAACCTTATTACATCCCCGGTAAATGAAAAAATATATAAACAATTTACCTACTAAATGAATAATGGTGCACCTGTTGGTATACTGATGGCTTATTAGAGTTTCAAGTGAAAAATACTGAGTAAAATTTATATTATTTAATAAATAATAACATAGCACAGGCGTTTTTTTTGCATTCGTGGAAACATGACCTTGTGCAAAATCTTTCAGCAGCGTTCAATGCACCGAAAACAACACTATGGATTAATTATTTTATATCCCGTGTCGTCACTGTGTATATGATGATGTGTTCCCCGTTTCCACCAACTTTCCTGCTGTGGAAGAATAGGTTTAAGTACATACTTATAGCTAATCGAAGGAGCACTTGCTTGCTTTAAATAATTCGAATGTAATTCTAGAAAAGAAGAATTCAAGCGATAACATTTTAAACTGTAATTATTTTGATTACCTTTTACTGGCCTTGTGTGAGTTATTCCACAAAATATACACGTGATAGCTAGGACGACCATCGCGCTCGTCATTGATAATAAATTAGAAAGTTGTGCACCCGATGCGAAAGTCGAGACAACACTAAATCCACAATTACATTAAGCTCTTGAAAGACTGTGGATATTAGAATACATAATTCACCATTGGTTGGAATCCTTGTCACGTTAACACCGATTTCATTCTTCAACGATTACAGAATTATCTCACAAAAAACAGACCCCCCAGAGTACTAGACAAGCAAACAGTCGAGAATGTTTTTTAGAATCATTCAATTTTTGTCGTAAATTTACATTTTTAACTTCTGAAAAAAATTTCTGTTTCGTGATGCCAATTTAATTGCAAAATGATCATCTAGTCAGTTGTCTCAGCGACAAAATTTCTGGCAAAATCGCTGTCAAAGAACACAATTCTCTCTGAACGGCTATTTGAGCAAAACAAAAATGGGAATAGATTTTTACGGAGTGCTCCAAATACCGAGAAGTAGTACGAACCTMGATATAAAAAAGGCGTACAAAACTCCAGTGAGTTTTTGTGCAATATTAAAACTGTTAAACCTGCAGGTTTAGAGATTTAGCTCTTGAGTTCAATCCTGAAAAACTCCAATGCGAAAATGCCCAACAAGTGTTCAGCCTTATTTGCGAAGCTTACGATGTTTTAAGCGACCCGCTTCGAAGATCAGTTTTCGACCAGTATGGCGAAGAGGGTTTAAAACGGGGAGTTCCCGGACCTGACAATTTCATAGAACCTTATCGCTATCACGGAGACCCGATGCGCACTTATAAGTAACGACTTGTTCTTTTGAAGCACAATTTTTAAGCGATTGTTTTAGAGAGTTTTTCGGTACTACTTCTCCCTACGCCAACTTACTCGATTATTTACGAAACCCGTCTTACGAGTGCATGACTAAACATGGAAAAATCTTCTGCGAAAAACAACCACCGATAACTCATCCCTTACATTTGACTTTACACGAAATCTTCTTCGGGGGTATAAAAAAAATGAAAATCCATCGCTTGGTTTATATCAACGACGAAAAGACAAAAACCAAAGTTAAGGAAAAAATCCTTACCATACCCATAAAACCGGGGATTCGACCTGGGACGGAATTGGTTTTTCCCGAGGAAGGAGATCAGAATTCCAATCATATTCCAGCAGATGTTATTTTTATGGTTCAAGAAAGACCCCATGACCTGTTCAAAAGAGAGGAAGATAATCTTACAATGACATGCAGTGTGACACTCGAAGAAGCGCTAATGGGGACAACTGTGACTGTTAACACAATCGACCATCGGACTATACGAGTACCAATAACAGACGTGATTTTGTTAGTTAATCATTTTAGTATTTCTTGTAAGTTTTCAGTCTTGTTTTTCAGTCCTGGATACGAAAAAATCGTTGAGAACGAAGGAATGCCGATTGTTGACGATTATCCTAAGCGTGGAAACTTGATAATACGGTTTAACATTGCGTTTCCTAAATATTTACCAAAAGCGTGTAAACATCTGTTACGAAAAGGATTTCAGTTGGCGAAAATTGGTGGCGGCGTTGATCAATACGAAACGGTTAATAAATTGGTTTTAGCTGATAAAATTCTTCGCGTTGATCTCAACGAACAATTACCGCCATATTAAAACATTATGTAATTTTAATTTGAAATTTTAATAAATAAAGGTGTTCAACCAATCTTATTTTGTTTGAATCGACCCAAATACTTAAAGAAAAAAACAACTTTGACAACCACAAATCATAAAAAATTAGACAGGTTTCAAGAGAAAACTGAAAACGAACAGTTTATTTTGGAGTTTTCTAAATAAAAGTAACTATACAGGATTTAACATAGGTTGTAAAATATACATGGAATCATCGCTTAAACTTATCTGTAGTATTTTCCTAGTATACATGTCTCATAGAAACAAAAAAGTTATATACACAAGATATAAAAAATTGATTCAAAATGTGTAAGTAAATCAAAATCTATAGTTTTCAACTAAAGTCTATACATACAAGTTTCAACAATTTTAATCAAATAAAGTCCTATATGCATATAAAAATATTAGCAAAAACACATCTGAAAACCATTCAGAAATAACCAAAACATGCACGTATCATATTCTACTATAATAAGCTATGGAAAATTAAACATCTTCATCTAGTCCAGGTATTGGTGGTTGCTTCAACTCAACCTTGGGCAGTATTTGTGATGAACTTGTAACACTCGGTGGATTTAATAGCTTGCTATCTGTTTTAGTTGTTTCCGAATCTTCAAGCATCTCTTCAGCTTTTCTAATTAAATCTTCTTCGGAGAGAGAACTCAAAACACTTGTTTTCTCCACCTCACTTGAAATTTTCTTCTTACTTGGCAAATTCAAAGGAATAGTATTTTCTGAAAAACTCTCGGAGCTTGAACTAGCAGAATGTCGGGAAAACGTCGTGGGCAACATTAAAGGAATCGTAAAGTCGGAATTTTCTTGCAGTGCACTAGAAGCTTGGGGCTACCAAACATCAAAAATAAATAATTTTCACACCGATTACATTCAACATACCTTCGTTTCCAATGATTCCAAAGACGAAGTCGAACCGATGGTTTTAATGCTGTCTAAAATTTGCTGCAAATTACTCGGTAAGGCTATATTTGCGAGAGCAGAAGTTCCAATTTCGTTTGATGCAGTCGCGATATTTTGCGATATACTATTTATTTCCGACTTTTGCATTTCGATTTCTTTATTTAGTTTCTCCATTTGGCGTTGGATTTCTTGCGTACTTGACGGCAATGTGGCGTTATCTAAGCCTATGACAAACAAACACAAATCCTGGAAAATGTTTTTGATAYAATACAAACCTGGTATCTCTTCAAATTTGTTAACGAAGGGTTGAAACGCTTGTGTTGTTGCGGCATCAGCATCTAGAAAGATATTTGAGTTGTTGGAAACACTTCTAGTGGTTGAAGGAATAATGCTGTCGGGGTCCGAGTCCTCAGGACTGTATGGTTCGTCTACAATATAAAAAAATAATAATGCAAGAAAACCAAAAGTGATTATCTACCTCCGTCTTGATCCGCGGCAATTGACGGCGGAAGTGGTAATTTAAGCCTGGATTCCTTCACTGGTGGCGGAGTATATGACCTAGAAGGCATTTGTACCAATTCTGTTTTCGTTTTTTTAACACTAGGAGCAACCGTTGRTACACTATCGACGTAAGGTCTTTTCCTCTTATCTCGAACGAGAATTCCCAAAAGCAAAGCAGGCCGTGCCTCTTCGAAACCTACAACAAGCATTAGAAAAAATGTGTATAAGGCAATAATTTACACTACCTGGACCGTTGAGAGGTAATAACGCCTGTGGAATAGGTTTCTGTGAGGCTAAAGGTAAAATATAGAAATCTTTCACGGCTTTATTCACACTTTTTACAACACCGAGTCTATTCCTGCTCGATAAGTAACTGTAGAGAGCCAAATACGGCATTTTTTCTTCCACATTGATGGCGTTTAATCGCACCACTGATATGATTTTACTATTGGAACATTTCATTTTTCCTATGTAATCCCAAACTGTGTCAGGGGAAATTCTACCCACAATGTCTAAATTTGCAGGCAGTTCAGTTGCCAAGCCACTACAGTCGCCTACAAACAAAAGTAAATAAAAGAAAAATTATGGAAGTGGTCAATATTACCTGACACCTCGTGAGCTGTGATCGATATTTGAGCCACATCTACCATATTGATTGTGCCTCTCCAAATCTCCTCCATTTTTGGCTTACTTACTGGTGGTGACATCGTATGGTCTACCTCAGTCTGTTCCTTCACAGGATATTTATCTGGAAAAAAAATTAAAATATATAACAAAACATACGTATAACCTGCATACGCACYATTATTTTTATTTTCCGATAAACCGTGGCCAGCCGCAAATTCATCTGAATCATTATTATTTCGTGGTGGAGTCGGAATAGTGACAGTGGACGTCGGCTCGTGGTCGCTGTCACTTTCAGCAATCGACGCTGCAAACCCAAATAAAGTACAAAAAGCAACAAATCGAAAAATCTTACTTGGTAAAACATCCTCTTGTGGCACATGTTTCCACAACCTGTCTTCCAGCGGAGGTACTATTTTATTATCAACTAGTTGTTCTAAGATTTCCTTCGATTTTTTATCGAGTTTTTCGGTTGAAGACCCTCTGTGTGAGTCTTTTTTATGTCTGGAACTTTTATGTGACGATCTCCTGTGTCGGTCTCTGCTTCTAGACCTCCTTTTTTCAACGTGTTTTGAACTCCTATCCCTACTTCGCGATCGTTTCCGACTACGATCGTGATCTCTACTCGATGATCTATGACCGCGGTGACTTTTTTCGGTTTTTTCTTTCGTGGATCTCCTTTCCTTATCTCTATGGCTGTGTTTGGAGCTTTTTCTGTCTTCTCTTGAACTGTCTCCTTTACGATCTGTTTTCTCTCCCGTCGCATTATCKGTCAGACTTGTTATAACCTCTGTGTTGTCGATATGGTCCGTTGGACGATTATCTTCTAAAATTTGTTCACCTTTGTGTGTTTTTAACACATATTGTCTGTTACACTGTAATAACTCGAGCTCGGATTTTTTGATCATGTCTAACTGATGTTTAGCTTCTTGTTCCCTCCAAAGGGCCAATTCCTGGCTAGCTAGATCGTCAGGCGATAACCTTACCAGTTGGTACGGATTAATGGATTTTTCGCAAATTCTCCTCCACAAAGTTTGATTCTTGATATCTTTGATATTGAATATTAAACTTCTATATTTGTTTCTGTATTTTTGCCCCGTATCGCCGAAACATTTATACAATTGAGATTCAATTTCGGAAGATATATTCTTCAATTCTTCTTCCGACAACTTCAAATCATCCACCATTTTTAATCTGTTGGTCAACTGTTCGTAAACTGTCTTTTTGACATTATCTCTGATATTCTCCTGTTTGACTTGCGGTGTTTTCGACGTGTGTTCAGTACTTCGCACTTTTTGCACTTTAGGTGTCGTGGGTTTGTCCCTACTTACTGGAGAATTACCGGATTTGGCCGAAGTTGAAACGATTTTAAATTTGGTCGGTGACGAAGTTGTCTCTTTGGCTAGTGAATTACTGACCTTTTCCCTTAATTGAGAAGTCGAAATTTGTCGATTGAGGACCTTCAGTCCTGTTGTATTCCCCTCCTTCGCCCCAACTTTAACGACTTGTGGACTTTTCRGTACATTTTTGTTCAAAGTTTTAATTCTGTTCTGAAAGTGCATCGAAGGTGTTTCGGAATCTTTCAGAATTTTCAGTTTCGATTGTGGGCTTTTTTGTGTTTGCTTAGTGGTTACTATCTTGCCAGCCGAACGTACAACTTCGTAACCTGGATGTTCTTTGAGCCATTGCTCAAGATTGGCAGCACTTGGGGCTTTATTTCCCGTCAGCATGTTTCCTGTTGATCTCTCGAAAACCACCACCTGAAATAATTTTTTGATTTCAAATTGTCATCCTATTGGGTTTCTGTGACTTACGCGTTCAACGCCTTGTGCATGAGCCAAAATACAGGTTTCACTACAAAAAATCGAATTTGTTCGCGAAGGTTTTTGACAAACAACACAGGGCACCGAACTCGGTCTTGTTTCTGGTACTTTCGTACTACCAGCACTGTCAGTAGACTGCCTAGAATTCCGTGAAGCCTTTCTTATTCTTCTCGCTGCGGCTTGTGGTCGTTTCAGAAGAGGATCCTAAAAAAATAAATAGTACATTTCTGTTTTTTTTTTAGAATTTTTAGTCCATACCTTACAAAATAAACAAATCCATTCTCTTCCTTCCGCCTCCATTTGCTGACCCATCGCTTTCGTAATGTTCACGCATTTTCCATGATACCATTCTTCACACGTATCGCAACAAATCATGAATCTGTTATTGTGAGGTTGATTACAGATACACCAAAGTTTGTTCGGATCATCTTCTGATTCTTCTTCCTCCTCATCAGAACTATCGAGTTCATTGCCTGAGACGTGTTCTTCATCCAAGGGTTTGTGAACGAATCTATAAAAAATTATGCAGTGTTTATTGTTATCTATTATCATTTTCTACGCACTTTGTGGTTGGTTTTTCAGCATCTTTCTTCTTATTTCGACTTCTGGTTGTGGGGCGTTCTATTGGGGGTATCACAACTATCCTACCGTCAGGTCGAACGATTTGGGTCCCTTTTTGTGGCACAGTAGACGTTACCTACGAGGAAACAATAATTTACCGATAATTTTAAGTTTGAGTAAAAATTGAAAAAAAAGTCCGTTTAAAAAGAGTACACATTATTTTTATTTTTACATTACAAACTGCAGACAAAAAAGACTTCATGTTGTAACAGAACTAGAAATCCGGTTTTCATATCTTCAAGACAATAATATAAATTCCTTTATTACCGTTTAAAGAAATGTCTATTCTTGACGTTTTTTAATAACAATGAAAACTACAAAATAAACAATGTTGCTATGTAATGTTTAAAAAATAGATAAAAATAGATCAGCGGAATCTTTCACAGAATTCCTTTTACATTAAAATTCTCATTTGAAAAAAAAATGTAGCATTTTGTCTTCCGCTTTACAATTTGTTTAATAATGTCAGTCATTAAAAAAATGTCACTTTTGTTTTTGAATTATTTGTTTGCTCTCATGCCCCCATCTCTTATTATTATTATTATTCTGTAGTAAAATTACTAAAATGATTTTGCGGCCGGAAAGTACTTTTTTACCAGACTAATCCACAGGATTTTTTTTAACAAACTGTTGAATTTACGGTAACATGAAAAATTGTGTATGCACCACGTTCCAGTGATATTTTGCTAGACTGAACTAACGACTTGTCCTTGTATTTGCTTACTCGTCCAGAAAAACTTCAATTACCAGAACAGCTACGTAATCTTCTATTAACCTTCTCACAAAAATTGTGAAAAAGCAACACTGACAAGATAAGTCATTTATTTCCAAATAAATTGACCTACTTAGAAAATACAGCTTTCTATAAAATACAAGTAGTTGATATATCTATTACATTAATTATTAATCAGAAGTTTATTACATCCTCCTCAGTACGTAGTACAAAATATTTCAGATTTTTACAAACGCTAAACAACTTCTTAACAACTATAACGTTTTCTTGTTTAGAAACCTCATTGAATTTAGAAAGATTGCGACTAAAATCAAAAAACTAGTCTTTAAATTTATTGTGTACGAAAACTAAATAAATTCAAGAACAAATGGTGAAAATGTGTGTAAAAGAAAGATCACTATCATTTTATTCTTATTAGCATTGATTACATGAAATAACAATAGAACAAAAATGGCTTAACAACATCCACTAAAAGTAAAATTTATTGTCAAGCATAATGCCCCTCAAAAAATTTTTAAATGTGTGGTTAAATACAATTCTTCCCACATTGTCTTCATGAAGACATGAAATTGAAAAATATGTATTGATAATTAAAAAAAAAACAAAATTCAAGTATTTAGTTAAGGATTTAATTTGTACACACTTACATCTTGGACTTTTGGGTGCGTGAACTTTTTCTTTTTAAATATGAAACATTCTTGCAAATGACATTCAAGTAATAGTATTCGAGTTTTAAACGGAAAATTATTAATGTCTATTTTTTCATAAGTATGAGAAATTCTGGATATTTTTGACATTATAAACTAAAATTGCATTTTTTATTAATCATCACATCATGTCGACTATATTTAAAAATCAATGCTTGTTCTACATATTTTGTTAATTTTAACTCCTCACTGCACGATAATTTAATTTACGAATAGATATACAAAGTGTCCCGAAACATGGACATCTGAGTCTAATTGATTCTTCTGTACGAGTAATAATCGCTTTAGTAGGTATTTTTAATAATCCTAAAGCAATTTTTTTGAAAAGAAAACACTATATCATTATCTGTAATGCACTCTGTTTATTTCCAATTAAATAAAATCAATTTTTCAATTATACTAAATATTTCCTTTATTATTAAAAAAAAATCTTTCTTTTCAATCATTTATTAATGCACCAAATCCTTGTAATGTAATGTTTGCAACATGTCATTTTTGGTTGGTGTTCTGGAAAAGAAAATACATTAAAATACATCGACATCAGTCGCACAATGATCCTCAGAAAAGAAACTCTGTTTCTTGGTATTTTAATTTCAGTATTTGATAATAAATCTAACAGGGTTTTAATACTTTACGTTTTTAAATATTTGTTTCCATTTTTGTTTAAGATTTAATTTTTCAACAAGATTAGTCAAAAGTAAAAAATGCGCTTTTTGGATAAACACAAAGCAGTTGAGGGTTAAACCTTGAATCCCGCAGCAAATAAATGGAAATAAATTTGTACAACAAGTTTAATTGTTCTTTGAAAATACACTAGCTTACCATAAAAATATATAAAAAAAGAAACAATTTTCACCTGTTCTGTTTGATTATGAACTACGTTGTCTTGTTGCACCACTTGAACGGTAGAGTCGAGACCCAAATTTTCTTCATTCAAACTCTTATCTATTGCATTCTGTAACTCTGTGTTTGACACTAATGACTGCGCAACTTGGTATAAAATATCTTCAGATATTAAGTCATTATTGATATTTTCCAACAAGCTTGGGTCAAGATCAAGTCCATTTCCATCCAAAGCCATGTTATTTTCACTTCCACCCAAATCTTGAGCTTCGAGAGGTAAAGATGGAAAAGACTTATCTTCATTGTTGACAATCAATGGTTCCACGTTATCGGAGATGGCAGATTCCATGTTTGTACTACTTTCACATATTTTTGGTTCCAATTCTGTGACACTTTTTGTATTATCAAAAATGCCTCTCTTTACTTTACTATCACTAATCGATTTTTTGTCCTTATTCATTTCTACTTTGGTGGGAGTTTTATCGACTACTTTCCCGTCCAGACTCAACCTATTTTGTTTTGCTGAAACTTGAGCCGATTCTGAGACTGATTTCGATCGAATCTCAATTTTTGCCGGTTTACTTTGATCCGGACTATTTGATTCGGGTGATATTGGGCAATTTCCAGTTGCCGATTCCTTTCCTCCAACTCTTCTTATAATGTCAGGTGTAGAAAATAGAGCGAAATCGTCTGGGACAGGCTTTACCACTTTTCGATCTTTCTTTAACTGTTTCTTCTCAGCTGATTTCGGATCAATTACTTGTGGCTTTTCAGTTTTTGGTGATTCGGGTTCTATGGGTTTTATTATTTTTATAGTCTTGACAATATTGTCCTTGCTTTTATGTTCTAGTTTCACGAGTTTTTTTACGATTTTTTGACCACTGTTATCACCGTCTTTGTCTGCAAGACTTTCTTCATCTTTGATCGATGTTTCACTCTTCGTCCTTGTTTTAATCTTTTTTACTTGATCTTTGGGGACTGTTTTTAATTGTGGCGTTGTTAGCTTTGTTTTTGATTTAGGACTTTGAAGAGACTGACCAGTTTCATGCGCGTTACTTCTGAGAGAACGACTTTCCAATGATTTAGTAGCAGAAGGAGAATCATTGTCTTCGTCCCCATCCAATATACTAAGAGTTCGTGCCAGTTCATCATCCTCAGAATATCCACAATGCGGTGTATAATCATGATCAAGTTTTATGTTATACAAATTGTACGCAATGTCGTCATAAACAGTCTCTTTATTATCTGGAAAGTCTAAATTTACTACGTGATTAATCATCATCGTCTTATAAATATTACCATTACATTCAGCGTCCGGTAAATACAACATGTCATCCACCGCAACTTCAATGCCTTCATTATCTGATTTATTAATATGCATTACTTGGAGGTTTGTTGCGCCCGATTTGCCAGCTAAAAAACGTTAAAATCATAACTTCACAATTTAATAATACTCACTTAAGTAAGCTTTCACAACGTCCTTACTGGGTGTGACAGTTCCATCTTCACCAATAAGAAGAAGTAAATTGTCATCCTCTGTTGAATCTGTTACCTTAACGACGCTGTTTGACATTGTGATCAACAATAACGAATGTAACCCTGAAAAGAATGAAACATTTATTTTTTTGTCTATTAGACATCAATAACATGTTACTATTATTACTCTTTAAAAACTTAACAATAATAGCAATACATAACCTAGAGATCATTTTTTATATTAATTCTCCAATGTTGATTTCACTTTAATGAATAAGACAACATCAAAAACCAACAGAGAACAATTCAAATTTTTCACTTGTTGGCATCTTTTACTTTTATTAATACCATTATTATTTCGAATATTAAGAAGAACACTAAAGCTTGACAGATTTTTATTAAGTAGTTTTTTTAAGGAGTTAAAGTGAATAAAAGTTTAATTTATTTGATTTTTTCAAGATTTTCAATTTTAGACATCAGAGGAAATTATAAGTACAGTTGGAGACAAAATACTTTGGTCGTCACTTTTCTGACACTTTAATGTAATTCAAGCTTAAAATAAATGACAATTTCAAATTAATGACAGCTATTATACTTACCTATCAAAAATATGTACATACAACATGTCAACTATGATTGACAGTAGCTGCAAATATGGTTAACAGTCCTAAAGCATGCTTTACAATTTAATTGACGACCAAAGTATTTTGTCTTCAACTGTACAATGCGATTAAAGAGTCCTTCTATCAAGCGTGCGTAGAAAATGACAACTGTGAAATGTCAAAATGATTTTTGTAGTAAATTATCTATTACATGAAACCGTGGTATACGATTCCAATAGGTAAACACCAAAAACATCTAATTTAAAAATCATTTGAAAGGTTTCATAGAAGAATTCAACTTGCTTAGATCAGTATTTTAATTTTTATAAAATAATTGTTTGACATCTAATTAACATACGGAGTGCCATGCGACATACGCCTCAACTAGTAGCGAGACTACTTGATAGGATTTTAATACCACAAAATTATAACATCATCAAAACAAAGCAAGTTTTTCTTAAAAAAATATGTACTATATTTATCAAAAAGCCAGTAATCACTAATAACGATGTACACTTAAGTGAAAAAAAAAACGGAAATTGTCAAAACCAAAATTGTCAAATTTTTCAGAGATTTACATAGTGTGAAAAAGGTTCCCAAAAAGGTTAGAAAACTATCAAAAGAAATGTCGTATTTGGTGGTCTTGCTAGTACAGTGTGATAGTCAGTGTTAAAAACGAAATGGAAAAACATGGAAAAACTTGATAGAAGTTTGGAAGATGGTTGACAATTATGAAATTGTGAATTGTGACAAAGACAACGTCAAAAAACTGGCATTTATAAACAGGCCAAATTACATTATAAAAAAATCAATTTGCGTTTTTTTTTGCACTCAAGTGTATTATTCCTATTTGACTACTTCAAATTTGGTGGGACTGTCATGATTTGAAAATTTTTCAATCACAATCTTTAAGTGATTGTGTTAATTGTTAACAAATGTCATGAACAATGTCAAAAATGACAATTGGTAATGTCAAATTTGTCAGTTGATTAATGGTTTGATTTTGACTATTTCCACATTAGAGAACTATTTCCCATTAGCGAAAAACCGTCACAGAATCGAAAGAGAGTTTTTCTTCCAATGTCAGCTTCAATTTTGAAGTTTTTTTAGACTAAATGGGTCTATTATCATCAGTTTGGCGGAAGTGTCGGCATTTGTCATTACTTCATTAGTGTCAACAAATTACATAATGCAAAATAGCAATATTCGTAAAACCGAAAAATTGTTACCGCGTCAAGATTAAGGATGAGTGAGTTTGACATTTTCTGTATACCTATTAAGATCACAAAAACAAACATTATTTTCATAAAGAAAAAAACTGTCATTCATTGGATTATAAACTGGTTTTATTGCAAATTTTTTATTAAAATGAACCAAACGATGTAAATTTTATATTTTAACCTTCTACAAATACAAATATTTTATTTTTATCATTATTTACGAAGTAAGCAAAACGTCTCCTTCCAAATAACCACTCCAAAATTGTAGTCAAAAGAATGCCGAAAAACGTGTCAGATGTGGAGCAATTTATGTTTGTAGTGAAAACCCAAAATCTTATGCACATTTGTACATATAACTGTACACCAACAATTTATTATTATCGCCGTAGCACGTTCTTTGAGGTTACCTTTTGAATCTTGATGTCACACTAGCAGTTTTCTAAGGCTTCAACACCTTTTTATTATCGAAATAAGTGTCTTAATTCACTTTCCTCTGGATGTTCGTGAGATGAGAATAACACACATGATTACATTAAAAACACTTGGTCCAAATCTCACGCAAACGGCTTAATTTTCTTATCCAAACATTAGTGTTTCTTGCACAGGGCACTGAACTCACTGTAATATTTTGTTTGTAGATGCTGAAATAGCCTCTAACAGGCCTCCGGACTCTTCATTTATACAATATATATAAAATAGCTAGTACATAATCGTAATTTATGTTGCTCACATATAGCAAAAACTCAAATATGAGACGATAAATCGCTATAAATAACACAACTCGCTCAGTACCGCCATTTTATGGAACAAACAAGAGTGGAAGAAGAACGCAACATGATGCAAACGACACTCTAGGCGGCGGCACTGTTCGCATTTATCCATCCAATCAACATTTGGCGCCAAACTTAAAACCTCGGAACAGGTTAACTTGAAAACTAAAGTTTACTTAAAGTAAAAAAATAGTAAGTTTAAATAATCAGTTATTAAATAAATTAGAAAATACATCTTTTGGGTAAAAGGAAGATTTCGTTTTTTCAGAAAGATCCTCCACACTACCCCGAGATTTGACAAAAAATGAACCTGACTAGTTTGTTACAAAGAATTTACAAAAATATTGATATCCTTTTTCAAAAAACGGTAAAACGAGTTGTCTGCTTTTGTTGTCATTATTATTTTGTCGATTTTAACTTTTGAAATTGGAAAAAACAATGTTGGCTACATTGGCTGTCAGATGTCACATGCATGTGGTTTCCTCATGGTTTCTGTTATTCTAACCTCAAAATCGAGTGTTTCTGGAAATAATTAAATACTGATTAAGATTAAAGTGAACACAATTAGCAAGGTATACATATTTTTGGGTAATAATTTTACTAAAGTAGTTTATTTTTCGTGCATATACATTTAAAACTAACCACAATCARTTTTAATGTAATTATAAATTATAATATTTTTGCTTTAAGGTAAAATCGACAATGGAGGAAGACGGGAATATTCCGGAAGATGTGGAGGTAATATATTTGGACGAGGACGATGAATTTACAGAGGAAGTGATAGATGAAGACATGTTTGATGAAGAACCGGAACCTGATGATGAAGATTTCTCAAAAATTACATTTACTAAACATTCACAGTCTGTGTTTTGCGGCGACTTGAGTAAAGATAATCAACTTGCAGTGACAGGGGGCGAAGACGACATTGCGTATGTCTGGTCTACTGAAACCGGGGATGTTAAATTGACGTGTACGGGCCATAAAGACTCAGTAATTGCAGTTTGTTTTAATCATGATAACAAACTATTAGCGACTGGAGACATGTCCGGTATGATACAAGTCTGGAACACTAATGATAACAAATTAGTATGGTGTTACGAGAGCGATGATTTGGAATGGTTAACGTGGCACACGTTTGCGAATGTCTTGATCGCAGGAACACAATCTGGAGAGATTTATGTTTGGCAAATCCCTCAAGGGAATTGTCACGTGTTAACGTCTCATGGCTCATCATGCACGTGCGGCAAATTATTACCAGATGGCAAACAAATACTCGCTGGTTATGCCGATGGTTTGGTTAAATTATGGGACATCAAAACCGCCTCGGGGAAATGGCAAGTATCAGATCAATCAAAAGCTAATGTGACCTCAATTGAAATTGATTCAAATGGAACTTTATGTTCAGTGGCGCCTAGTTCGAATTTAATCAACATTTCTAATGGTAAATCACTTGGTGCTTTGCTGGTTGAGGGTGAAACGGATATTGAGGCTCATATATTTAACAGTGAGCTTAATCTTCTAATCACTGGGTCCTTAGGTGGCCAAATTTGTGTTTGGGATGTAGCTAAGCAAGTGATAAGGCATCAAGCGAGGCTTGATAGTGGTATAACAGTATTGAAATTGGGGTTGAATGGGACCGTCTTCATAGGATCGACTGGGGGACCAGTTTATTTATGTGATGTTAGGACTGGTAGCCACCTTCACACTTTAAAAGGGCATAAAGCTAACGTTTTAAGTTTGTGTTTGGCCAATGATGGCGACTCGGTTTTAACTACTTCTGATGATAAAACTGCAAAGATTTTTATCATCAATAAAATAGTTAATAAATCTGAATGACCACTTTTACCACCTGTTTTATATGTATAAATCAATAAATTTTATAACTGTTAAAGTAGTTCTACCTAAAAAATGTCCCCACCTCAAAGTTTTTTAATAGAAATGTTTATTGATTTCTTGAAACAAATACAAAACCTGATTACAATTACACATTATAATTTAGAAAGACTAAATAAATTATTATAAAAAATACTGAAGTATAAATGCTAACGGCTAAAAAAACATGGAAAGGGGCAGTAGTGTTACACAAGTTCTAGTACATAATAGATATACCTGTACGTATTTCGTATTATTCCACATTACGGTTCGAAAACGTCAAAAGTTTCAAGTTTAGTTTGCTCTTCTGGAGTTTCATTCTGTGCTATAAGCAACGTGTGTCCGAATCCCATTGACAATCCCAACACTTTAACTCCAGTTAATTTCGTGACCTGTAATGTCCAACAATTATCAACTATTACATGTTAAAGGTTTACCTCTTTAGGAGTGCTTGAAGATTTTGTGATTTCCCCAAGCCCCAGTTCTCCGAAAGTCGGGGTGGACCCCCATGATATGACTGACTCATCAGCAGAAACAATAATTGACGTATTTCCCGCAGCCACGTGGTTAATGGTCCAGCCGCTCAAATCCTGGATCGGTTTCGGATACATGTTGGCTTCTCCTGTACGCTTAGTCTGTCCGAACATAAACAAAGCACCGAATTCGGTGACCGCGAGACTGTAAGTGGACCCGCAATGTATAGACCGCAGACCTTTTGACTGAGTGTCAAAATATTTGATCAAACGTGGGACAAGTTCATCTCTCGGTTCGGCATGCCCTAATCGCCCGAATCCGCCGAATCCCCACGAAAAAGCCCTTTTTTTGCTATCAATCGCGACGGTGTGATTCTGCCCACAGCTGAAATCAACGATCTCGGTTACATCTACTGGAGCTACATGACCATCTTTGCTTTTCTCGATGTATAGCACAATGCGTTTGGGGCTAGTTTCGAAATTAAAACAGAGTTTAGTATTGGTTTTGAAATATTTGCCGTCGGTGTTATGGCCCAATTGGCCGTACTCGGGCAAACCGAACGAATGCAAGCCTCCTTTTATGTCCAAAATTATCGAAAACTCCGCTCCGCAACCCACTTTAACTATTGGCGGGCCTCGGTAGTTAATTCGAGTGGGAGTGAGAATATTGGGTTGCAGATTTCCGACACCGCATTGGCCCGAGCGGTTGTCACCACATGCATACACAGTACCTGTATCGGTCAGAAACAACGTATGATTGCGACCACACGCTGCACCGATTACGTTCATGTTTTCTAACGCCGGAACCACTGTTGGAATTTCTTTCGTCTCGGTGTGATCCAGACCCAACTGGCCGAATTTATTGCGGCCGAATGTCAATGCTTTCCCGTCTTCGGTGATAAGTACACTATGAGTTGCCACACATCCGCTCACGGCGAGGCGCACCTGAACAAAATTTCACATATTTACAACAAAAACCAATATTTAAATATTTCACACAGCATTTCAAAACTTTTGAGACCTGAATGTCGCATTTTAAATGCGCCATTTCTTTAAACTTTTTACAACGCAAAGTTTAAATGACAGAAAATAGATAAAAAATCGGATCTGCCAACCCCTTCTATTAAAATTACTATGTGAATTTGCTAGTGGTACCAACATCAATAAGATTATTTGACAAATTTGTGGTACATAAGCATTTTGAAAGCTCTTTTAAAGTGACTATAGATTCCTAAACAAAGATGAAAACGTGGGTTGAGCGGAATTAGGACAGTTGTTATAAAACTCACCTTTTTGTCCGTGAGAAACCGATGCGGGCTGTAGAGATTTGGGTGCAATTTGATCTTGACTTCCTTCGGTACCTTGTTGGACGTGTAGTCCCAATTGATGAGACCAAAAATAAGAAGTTGTCCAGCAGGTTTGATTAATGTTTTAAGTAACTCCTGAGGTAATTGAGTTGGTTCATCAAGAGCGTCCCCATGCCCAGCTATGAGAACCTCATCAGGTTGCGTAGTATTTTCAGTATCACTTGCGTCACTAATATCCGAATCCACATCACTTTCTTCTTTTCTCCTGTTCCTTTTGGCCGGACCTCTTCTGACTGGCGCCTTCTTCCGTTTTGTTGACATTCTAAAACTTGAAAATCATCAGCTAGCGTATCCCACGTTATATTCTTTCGTACATGTAATTGTAAACAACTTATTAACACAAACAATGGACACAAACAACGTTTCAGTTATGGTTTATGGAGACACCGAGCTTTCGTTTGTTAAGAGTTTTTGTTGTTCCTTCTCACACTTTATCGATAAAATTAGAATACAAAATACCGTTAGAATACACAGAACACAAGCAATCATACAAAATGGCCAATAATCATACAAGAAAAACCCCACATACTTTTTTGTTCTTCCAGCGGTTCCACCAACAACAATAATGTATTTTGCAGCGGTATAGTTTCACTGAATTTTCTGGTTAACGGTTTAACAGGAATTAACGGTACTTTAAAATGTATAAGATTAAGCAGCGGTTAAAGCAAAAGCCATCGGTTAAATAATTAGTTTTTTTTACTGAATCAGTGTATCGAAATAGCCAACGTAATAAAGATAAATTCACTAAAGAATAAAAATCTATCTCAAAAAAAGCGGGAAATGAGTTTTTTCACATCCCATTTTTGTTAAAATTTGCTTCATTTCTGTATTTGAATTGCGCAATGTTTACAAACCTGCATGTCATTTTTGTATTGTTTTTTTATTGGCAGATGAAAACTATCATATATTTTCTGAAGCCCTAAAAATAATAAGGTAAAAATAGAACAACGTTCTCAGTAAATAAATATTTATTTGTAAGCAACTAATAAAAAAACGAACATGAGGTTTTTTATATTTACTTTTACAACTACTGCAGTTGATGTTTTGCTGGTGGCCGCCCTATAGGGGGATTTACACTAAGATGGGGCCTGAAAGGTTTGCTCAAGCTTCTTGGCGACACGTGGTGTGCTGATGTCAGAGACGTACTTCAAGCGACTAAATATAAATTAATTGAATTGAAATAAAAAAAGTAGAATTATAACTTATTTACAGTCCTATTTGTTAATCCCACAATTTTCATAAATATAAATTATTTGTACTTATATTTGTTTAMAAAAGAGGGGTAAATCTGGGTTTTCTGAAAATAATTCTGTATATGGGTATAATTGTTTTTTTTTATCTTAATGATTGGAATTGGGAAAGAAAGCAATATATTTTTTATCGTCAATTACACATCATCAATTTGTATACCTAAGTGAACATTTTTCATTTATTATTGAAAAACTCGGAATAAAATACTTGAAGCTAAGCAAATGTCATTGTTTTTTATTTATCACGATTTGTACGAAATTCAAAATTGTTACTCTGTGCTAAGCTACAACTCTTTAATGAATAATATAGAAAAAAAATTGTTTTAACTTTTTTTTCTCAAAATGACATTCTATCACTGGTTGACATATGACGTGGTTTACTTTTGGAACACCTTTAGATAAGTTTGCAGAAACAAAATCGCAAAAAGTAGAATTTTATTTTTTTTATGTATTTCTTTAAAGGCAGAACGTATTCTCATTAGTTTTTTGTTTGTTTATTACGAATTATTGTAAAATAGTTATTATGACATCACGAAAAACACTTTTTGAAAAACAAAAATTCTCAAGATCCGTCTCTATTAATAAGAGTGAATTTTTGAAAAGTTTATGATAGGTGTGCTATTGCAATTTGGTTAAAATTTATCCATACCTGCTCCTGCCTATATCCGAAAAGTAAAAAAAACTTTAATTGTTTTGATAGTTTTTGCTCCAAAAAATACTTACAAAACCAAAAGCTTTTGTTGAAAAATGCATTAAAACTTTAGGTTGCGGTTGTAATAACTGTGATCTTTCAAAACTATGAATTTGGCTAACAAAAAACGATTATTGTTTTTCAGTTAGTCGTTAAAAATGAAAAGTATTTCAATGCCTGGAAAATGATTGTATTTAAGAAATTCAAAATAAAACAATTATATGTGTAAATAAACCGGTGGAGCGCCAAATTTGGCATGCGTAATTATTATTATATTTATCTTAATGTATTAATTATGCTATGATCTCAAAAAATATTTTTCTATGTGATATAAACACTTAAACGTTCTAGTAACCGAGAAAAATTCTATTGATAAATTGTTTATTTACATTTTTTACATTTTTATTGGATCATATATCATAGTATTTAACCCTGAACTAATAATTATTTCTGTGGGTTAATAGCAAAAACTCATTTTATTGTAATTCTGTGTTTTGTTATTAAATAAATTGTATGTTAAGATTAGTTGTAGTCGTAAATTATAAAGCAAGAGGGACTATAGCTTTTGCAGTAAAGTTTGTCAGACACCAAAAACGTAAGTTACTTAATCTGTTTTGGTTACTTATAAATAATATATTACATATTTTAAATAAATTAATTTTATATTTTGCTTTATAAACACTGATTAGTATTTAAAAATGTGGGGCAATGTTCGAATTTCTGAAAAAATTCGTAACGACTATAAATTCTTCTGTGAACAGTATGATCCAAATGTTATTTGCTTCTTGACGATTCTTACAGCATTTGGCTAAAAAGAGGAGGAATTTCTATTGTCGATGTCTAGTTTTTTATTATTTAATCCTGGCTAAAGAAGAGAGATAAGTTCACTTTTGTTGCAAACCGCAGCCTTAAACTCTATAATTAACTCTAGTAACAATTTAATGATTTTTTTTAAATAAATATTTTTTTGTTAAACGATTTATTATAGTGTAAAATGTAGCAATTCATTTTTGCAATAAAAAAATTAAAATTTTTTAAAATGAAACTGCTTAAACTGTTAAAAGCTTCTAATCATTTGTANTTTTAAATTTTTACTATTTAACATTAATTACAGCATACATACTTATATGAATCTTTTTCTACAATTATGAACAGAGAATCAACAACTAAGAGAAGAGCAGATGTAAGTACTTTTAGAGAATTGTGTGTATGAATTTCTGAAACACCCATAGAAATAAATTATAAAACGAAAATATGTTTGTTTTTTGTGGTTACGTGATAAATAAACATGCAATTATGCAAAAAGTACAGCTGTTTGCAAATTTAATTAACTTTAGGAGAAAGTAAAAGATAATGTCAAGGTCACCGATCTCATCCAGTTATCAGCTACAGTCATTATTGTTATCATCTTAATAATTTTATTCTCAGAAAATAATCATCGGTACATATGTAAAGAATAACCTTGAATAAATTTATGAGACACACGTGGAGTCRTGGAGTTTAGACTTGGAGGTACTTAAATTMACTAGGATATGCATAAAATTTTGATCAATATTTTCAAGTGTTGCTTCATATGCTGTATATCTCATAAATAAAAAGAAAAAAAATGTTTTGTGTTAGGTTCACAGACTTATTATGTAATTATAAATAAAATTAGATTTTGATATCAATTTCGTAACAGTGAAGTTGGAGTAATCCGTTTGTCTAGGTATATTTTGTATAATTGGGTCATTAGTAATGAGCTTCAATAATAAATTTACTGCCAGTGGCAATGAAATGCGCTGTTCACAAAAACCTCGGAATTATCGGAGGTTATCGTCTCTTTTTATATTTGTGCTAAAATGTATTGTACCTACCTACCTGTGTGCTCTTTTAGTGTCTGAAGTGAATTGTGAATTTTTCTTAATTTCCACCTAATAACGGTGATTTATACACATAAAGGTAGGTTTTGTCAAATCTTTCATAACATATTGAAAAAATCCTCCCACCCGAAATCGAGCATATTTTTTTATAAATATTTACATTATAAGTTATGGTACTAAAAATTAGAACTTATTTGTTGTTAAAACATTCACTTATTTATCTGTTTTATTACAAAAAAAAACTGAAAATAGACCCAGTAAAAAATTCAGTGCTAATTTGCCCCTTGAAATCAATCAATATGTGAATTTGTCCTTAGTGTCCGATTAAATAATTCTTATAAATAGCGAAAAGCTTATCTTATATATTCTGTTGTCAATACAAAATAATAATTATTACATGATGCTGAAATGTGCGACGTTTAGCTTCATTTAAAATTATTTTTGGTAATATTCAACAAAATTAATTCATACATCAATAAATAATCATTATTATAATTATCATTAATTAATTAAATTATACATTGTGGAGACACACAACTGCTTAGTGCATAAAAAATTATTACATATTCTCTACCTGTTTCGAGGCTTCTACCTTATTGTTCCCCCGATAACAAAAAGCAAAAATAATTTTTTGTTTTAATATACAGTATTGTTAAATTTGTTTGGTCCACACTGTATATTAATGTGTGTTTAAATAGGTAATTCATGTTGTAAGTAATGTGTAAGCAGGTAACATTATTTTGATATAAATATTTCGTGATTTCTTGGTGTAAACATTTTTTGGATTGTGAGATAAAAAAACTATTGTTAAAAAATCAGATAGTAAACTAATTCTGATGCATTAAGCTTTATCCAACAACTTTATCAACAGTTCGCAACTTGTTAACCATTATTTCTATTTTATTGTTTTGTTGTTACTCCATTACATTTTAATTATATGTATTAAAAACAAAACCGTTTATATAGTTTTTTCAACACAATACCTTTTTTAGTACCTGCCTACATATCTAAAATAATTCATTTTCTAGGTTGGATGTTTTCAAACTTATGTAATCTATACATGCAATTTCTAAATAGTATAATGTACAAATTATCTTATCAAACAATAACAAGAAAACGACAAATTTACGAGTGATTTGCTCAAAGTATAAACATAGAGAGCATCAGGTATGAGAATATTTAGAGTGAAACAAGATTAAATTTATTATTCCATTTTTTGGTGACACGTGTAGAATACCTGTTTGAGTACATGAGTTCAAAAATATAAATATTACGGTAAGTGAAATTATTATTTTAGTGTTTTTGGTGTTCTTTTTATTTTAAGAGCAAAAACTACAAAAAAATCTAATTGTCAAAATTAAGTACAAGGGTACATTTTCAAAAAACAAGATTTCAAGGGTTCTTGATGATAAGAAAGGCATGATACTTTCGTTTGATTTTTGTTTTGATGTTGTAAAGGTTCATTTCTTATTAAAAAAAAAGACAAAACACGTATCACAAAACACACTGAATTTTTTATGGTCTTTTATAATGTCCCTATGTAATTACACGTATGTAAATATTACGTTCCTGTATTTACTTTTTTGACCATTTACAAAATGTCAAGGTGCGGCTTGTACAGAATATCAAACATATAATTTTTACTTTACTTGAAATTTTTAATTGTATAATGATTTATTAAAGATATTCTCTATGTGTTGAAGACAAAAAACACTTAAGCAACAAATCAGTTCTATAGTTTTACATTTTTGATCAATTCTTGATTTCGTTATCAGTATTTGTACCATCGCCGATGTCTGCGACCAACGATTCGAGACAGACAGTATACCTATTGAATACACAACAGAATTTCAAGTGTTATACATCAAAGTAAACTAAGTAAAGGTTTCTTAATTCTTTAGGTCGATAGGTTGTTTTTTTTTAAATAAAATTACACCTCTTGAAAAAAAAAAAGAAAAAAATGCATGATCTTCATAACAACTAACTTAGTTACTATTTTTAAAGTACTCGTAATTGATCTTGGTTTTTACATGATAATTTAAAAGAATATTCCATAGGCCAATGCGTTGGCATGTAAAAGTCACCTTGTTTGCAACACTTTTTTAATTTTTTAAGGGGCAAAAATACACACTTTTTTTGAGCTTACAAGCTTTATCGCACTATAGAAAAAATGTAGTATTAAACTTTAAGACGTTAGACAACTACGACGTAAAGAAAATGTTAAAAAAATACTAAACAACAAAACATATTTTATTTTTATTTTTTAGTGTTATAATTATACTAGATGTCCATGCTCAAATTATCTATTACAAACAAATGTAAAACAGCTAGTACCAAAAAAGTTACAAAAACCGCCACCGACAGATATATTGGTAGAAACTTTCGTAATAATATATTGTATGTACATACCCTATTCCAAATGTTAAATTTTTCCCTATTTGTAGTTTGTGCTTGAAGTTTTAYGTGATTCATTCCAAATATTATTTTAGAACAAATATGAAGTTTCCGAAAACCCTTTTTTTGGTGCTGTTTTACATAAGCYGGAGATTTAGCGACGTTTGTGCATATGCCCCCTCAAATCCGCTTGTTTATACCAAATATGGTTCTGTTATTGGATCAGTAGAATTTTCAAGAAACTCAAGAGCTTACATGTCCTTTAAAGGAATTCCCTACGCAAAACCTCCTGTCGGAGGATTAAGATTTAAGGTAATAATAATTCATTATTATTATAATAATTACCGTAGAGAAAAATAAACAAAATGTTTCAATCAATCAGTCAATCTTCAAAATTTTAATTGATTTCTATATTTACCCATCATTTTTTTATTTAGTTATTTGTATTTTTTTACAAGAAGCCCAATTTTAATTCATAGGCACCCGAGCCACCCGAACCTTGGAGTTTTTCTATAAACGGAACCAAAGATGCCCCATACTGCATCCAAAAAAATTACTTCTTTAGTGATCCAAACGTAGAAGGCAGTGAAGACTGTTTGTACCTAAATGTATATGTTCCAAAAGTACGTTTTAAAAAAAATCAACCACTTATAGTAAAGTCACCACTTTACAGACTGAAACCAACCAACTTTTACCCGTAATGGTGTTTATCCATTGGGGCGGATTTTTCGCAGGCCGAGGGTCAAGTGATTACATTGGTCCTGAATACATTATGGACAAAGACGTCATTTTGGTCACTTTCAACTATCGCTTAGGTGTTTTTGGATTTTTTTCCACACTAGATGATTTTGCTCCTGGAAATTTCGGTTTGAAGGACCAAGTAATGGCTTTAAAGTTTGTTCATGAAAATATTGAATGCTTCGGTGGTGACAACAACAGAGTGACAATATTTGGACAAAGTGCTGGCAGCGGCAGTGTCAGCTTGCATCTAATAAGTCCTGCTTCTCGAGGCTTGTTTCAACAAGCCATCAGTCAAAGTGGGGCTGCTTTAGACTTATGGGCGAGACCACTCAACGCCGTACAACCGAATGTCACGGCTGCTCTTGCTTTATTTACGGGATGTGCTGAGCATATTGGCAACAGTAAAAATATTGTCGATTGCTTAAGAAAAATCGAAGCCACCCAATTGGCGGAAACTGCAGATAATTTCAAAGTAAGTCAAGTTGTACATTTTTACAAATTATACATAAAAATATTTTAGTATTTTTCCATCGAACCGCTGACTCCTTATTCAATGGTCACTGAAAAACAAACAGCAGCCAATCCTAATCCTTTCTTAATACAAGATCCTCTAGAGTCTCTACAAGCTGGCGCCTTTATGAAAATCCCTTGGATTGTGGGCAGTGTCCAAGAAGAAGGAATCTTAAGAGTTGCAGGTAAGTGTTAAAAAGTTAACAATTTAAAAATCTTATTAGTACGAAACAACAGTAATGGACGTTCTTCTATCTTCATTGTTAGGTAATAGGTTGTTGCAAATGAAATTTTAATTATTTCATCTTTTTAAATGTATGATTTTTCTGTTTTATTACCSTATTTTAATTATTGTTACCGTATTTTAGCATTGGTGCGGCAGCCGGAAACTCTCAAACAACTTAACACTAACTTCGATAATCTAATAACACAAATGTTCGCACTTCAATTCAGTGCTGGAGCAAACGCAAGCTCGCTTTTACAAAATATGACCAATTTTTATCTTGGAGGGAAATCTTTCGTAGATGTAAATAATCCAAATAGTGTTCAAGGATTTATTGATGTAAATATCAAAAATCATGGAGTACAAAATTAACGATTTTAAATTATCATTAATCGTAGTTATATAGTGACAGAGCGTTTCTTTATGGCATCTACCAAACTGTTATTTTGCAACTGAAAAAAGGTCACAAACCTATTTGGATGTATAATTTTAATTACAAAGGTCAATATACCTATGGTGATAAATTTGCAGCCACAGATAAAGACATAAACTTCCCATGGGGTAAGAATTTTCGTTTTTCTAATGCAAATTAAAATATCATAATTATGGTTTCAGGAGTGAGCCACTGTGATGATTTGCTCTATCTTTTTAAATCGCCTGGACTTTTCCCTAACTTGCAAAAAGACAGTGATATTCTTATGAGTAAAACTTTAGTGTCTTTATGGACTAATTTCGCAATTCATGGGTACCAAAACACTTAACATATTTTACTTATTTTTCAAAATATTTTTTAGAAATCCCGATCCACATGAAGATCTAAACTGGAACAGCTTGAATTTTGAGAACTCAGAAGACATCAAACTTGCAAATTTGAATATTCTGAATATTACTGGAAATCACGAAACTGGCAAAATTTCATTTAATTATGGGAAAAGCCAAATTCTTGACAGAATAAAATTCTGGGCGCAACAAAATATTCTTGAAAGTTTCCCCGACTTCAGCTAATTGCTAATTACTGTGTGTTTTTACTTATTTAATTTATGTCTACCTTACTGATGATGAACAAGTCCAATAAAAATTATTCTTTTAAATTAAGATTTTTGCAACTGCTACTTAAAAAATAAACTAAAAATTACTACCTGTTTTGCCAAATAGGCAATGTTTATGACAAATATTTGATTTCTGCTGTTTTGGTAAGAGTTGGTATGTGAAATCTAGTGAATGGAAAGAAAGAAGACGATTCAATAAAGGTATTTGGTTGCATCGCATTTGAAGAAAGGATTAAAAAATCAAAAATTTTGAAACTAAAAAAGAAGACATCTGGAACTTGAAAATAAAAGACACAAAATAAATCTTCTTATTCCGATGAGGTAGGTACTCACATTTGATAATAACGCTTTCAAAGACAGAATTATTTAAACACAAAATCCATAAAACTCAAATAATGACTATAAAATTGAAGACTAAAATGGAAAAACAGAGTTCGGACAATGTGTTAAATTAAAAAAAAAATTATTCTAAAAAGTAAACACAAAAAAGTAACAATCGTATTAATTTTTTCTAATGCTTTAAAATGTATTTGGTCTCAGATTTCTTAATTTATTTACAATATTTACACTAAGTAACTAAACATAGCAAGTCTCAAATTATGTATAAAAATGTTCGTACAACATACATTCACGTTATCATATTAAAATTAAGCACAAATATTTAATGATGAATGTCAATCACATTACTTTCCTGAAATCACTGAACACTTATCCGGAATCATCTTTTTACACTAACGATCTGCATTGCAGATAATATAATATTATGGCACATCAATTTCAGTCGGAACTGACTGATATGTAAGTTATTAAAAAAATTAAATAGTATTATAAAACCTAAAATCCCCCTCTACGTGAGGTACCAGTAATTGCTATATATCTGTGGGATTTCTTTCTTGCTTTCTGTCTACACATCGCTGAATTGGAGGAATGAAAAACAATATTACTCCACTGAGAGATATAGTAATTCCAGAAAGGTAGAATCCAGGATCGTAAGAAAGCGTTGCATCATACAAGGCACCTGTTAAAACATTGATAATTCACTTTTTCAACGTTTACCAAAATACCGACCTGCCATGGGGGGTCCTATGAGAGAAGCAATACCTTGAAATAAAAGTAAAAGACCGAAAGCATTTGTAAGTCTCTCAAGTCCTAACAAATCGACCAAGATAACAGATGTAAGTCCAACGTACGCACCTATCGTAAAACCAAACGCACTAGCAAATATAGCTAAAGTGTAGAATGAGGGACAAAAGGCACTAAAAGTCGTGGCTGGAACAATCATTTTGATTATTGTTGTTTTTATTAGCAATAAAAATACCTATTCCACAAAGTGTTAGGCACCAATTGTAAACCATAAGGCGATTAACCCAAGCTTTGTCGGAAAAATACCCCAAAACGATTCTTCCAATTGTGTTAGCAAATCCGATAATGGATAATAACATACTAGCTTCTTTCGCTGACAAATTCATTGATTTAGCTTTTGGGACGATGTAAACATAGGGTATGTTAAAACCAATGCTGGTCAAAAAATTGCTTGTGATGAATAGTATAAAAATCCAGTCGTGGAAAAGGCTAAAGTCTAGCATTTCTTTCAAAGTATCTTTGGTTTCCTGCGAACAGGGTATACACCCACATAGTGTTGTTTCTGGTTTGTTATTATCCACATGTCGTCTCCTGTAAGTGATCGAAGAGTGTCGTCTTCCCAAAAAGGCTATTTCTTCTTTGTTTTTCAAATCAAGTCGAGATCTGTAGGCAGGTATGTTCATTAAGCTGCCTTGATAGAAAACGTCTGGTTTGTCCAATGGTCCATGTTTTCGTAAATTCTGACTACCATAACGTTGTTGGTAGGGACGATCGGTCTGTGCAAGCATAGGTTGGCTTAAAGCAAGTCTAGATGCTTCGTATGTTTTTCCATTAGATATGTTTTTGCTTGGTTCCAAGAGTTTGGTTCCTCGAGGCATGGAAAAGTGTCCTAAACTATGTGGTCTATGTATCTGACCGTTTCCATTCATAGTCGAAATCTGTTGTAAGTTATGTTCGGACACGTGCAGATCAACTTTGGCTTCGATCGATTTTAGAGTGATTTTTGGTAATGGTTTAAAATTTTTTTCTTCTTCGCTTTCCAAAGGCCGAAACAAAGATCCAAAAACAATACATTCTAAGACTATGCCAGCTATAATTAACATTGCTCCCCTCCAACCGTATTCCACAAGTAGTCGGGTTATTATAGGAGCAAAAATGAAGGTGCCAAAGCCAGAACCACACACTGCTATTCCGGTTGCAAGTGATCGTTTTTTTTCAAAATAAGTTGTTACGCTTACTATTGCTGGTAAGTAGATGAGGCCGAAACCGAAACCAGTTCCTATTCCAATCGTAAAATAAAGAGTTGTGACGTTTTGAGCAAATACCGAAATTATCATACAGATACTGGCGATTATTGCGCCGGCTATGGTGACTGGCCGGCAACCCCATTTGTTAACAAAGGAACTTGAAATCGGACCTAAAAAATAGAAAATATCAAAATTAAAAATTAAAAACAAAACTGTTTCCTATTCCATTTACCTGAACATAGTGTTACACCAACTAGAATGGAAAGGATCCATGCTGTCGCAGCCTTTCCTTCTTCGAAATAATCTAAGAATTCGTCGTAGAAAACTCCAAAAGAATATGTTACCCCATCAGCTAAAAAACAGAAAATGATTAATATAATGATACTGAGACTTTAAAAACTCAGCTGGGCATTGAGAATTTTTATTTTGAAACAAAAACTATTTCAATTAAGTTTTACAATTGTTATAGGAAGTAAACAAGTTATTTTCACAACTTGAAAGCAGATTATCAGAATTCTCAAGGTTAAGAACTATATCTTGTTAAAATGGGGCACTTAGGACTCTTCGTGACAATTATTAGGTATTATTTTACTACTGTTACTGATAAAGAAATGCCATTAAAATCAAAATAAAAAAATTTGAAAACATACAAATGCAATTTTGTAAGTGTTTTTTGTGTTTGAGAACTTGTCGACACATTTTTCGTAAATTTTTGGAAAATTCTTGCGAATACTTACTACTATTTAAAATGATTGTTTCTACAGAATTTCTCCGCGAAAATTCTTTTATAACTTCCGACCTCGTTTCCGACTGTTTCTGAATATTATTCAAAATCAAACTTTAGAATTCTTAACTAGAAATAGTTGAATATCTTTAACTATTCTTATTAAAAACTTAAATGTACCATGAACGTTGAAATAAAAAGATTAGTGAATACATTATTATTTATTTATTAATCATCTTTTATAACTATTTCCTCTATTTTTGAAAAAAAATCCTTATTTTACCATTTTAGTATAGTGTTACATATTTGTTATTATTGTTACAAATTTATTATTATTGCTATTCATTATTTAGCGTTAGGATTTATTATTTCTCAGTTACTAATTATTACGTTTTACCATTTTCTAGAACATTTCCTGACTCATTGGTTTTTGTTAATTCGTTACCCAACTTTTGTAAATCTCTTTGTCTGTACCTTGGCAGTAATTAGTCATCTAAGCCGATATATTTTTTGTCAATGATGATTCGTACTACTTCTTACACAATTTATGTGTCGAGAGGCCAGTTCGGCATTAGATCTTGTACTCGTCAGATGAACGAACAATAAAATTTATACACAAGATATTGTTTTATTTATTCAATCCGGAACAATAGATTTACATTTAAGATTTAAAATATAATAGTTATTTATTCGACGAGTTTGAGTGTAAATCGGACGGATTATTTCACCGAATCGGTTATTAAACCACGAGTGTAACGAGTGGTTTATCATCCACGAGGTGGAATAAAGCGTCCGATTTACACTCAAACGAGTTGAATACAACATTTTATTCTTCCAATTAGACTCAATAAGGCTTAAACTTGCTTTAAAAGTTTAAATCTGTTAAAAATAATCTGACGTTTCGTATTGAGAAATGCCAAACAGTTGTCAAAACTTCCTTACACGGGAGAAAAACCATAAATCTTCACAGTGTCGAAGAATAAAAATATTAATTTACTTATTAATAATAATTAATACCTACTCTGTATTAAACAATACAACTTTTTTTACTTTTAAAAATTTTATGTATGGATGGTCAAATACCTATTATACTTGCATATCATGAGGGAGGAACCCTTTTCTAAAGCATTTTATACGAATACACTTTGAAATAGAACAAAATAATTTGCATTAATATTCTGAATGTAATTAATAATCCTAGTGCTGCTATTGTAGTAAAATCAGTTTCTTTGACCTTTTGATATTTTGTTCGTACAGCGATGGACAGTGAATTTCGTCCACCCAATGTCTGTGAATTCACAAAAATTCACTGTAGTTTGTGCTTTATTGTCAGGTTGACTGACATTCAAATACGTATTGTCAAATTTAATCAAATTYGAACATGCCAGCAGTAAGTGCGTTTAATAAAATAAAAATTATCTCTCTGGTATAAGAAGTTATGTCTGAAAGACGTGTCTCCATACTTTTGGGCATATCAAGGACTACCATTTCAAAGGACAAAGGTAAAAAGTAGCAAGAATTATCGAGCCTTCTGTCAACATGACAAACGTTAATCAAAATTCTGAAACAAGGTTAGTAAAACCTAAAGACTAATTTACACTTTTAATCTGACAAGGAAATTGGGTGGACGAAATTCACTGTCCATCACTGTACCAATTAAAAACTTGGTGACTTAAAATAATAATACAGTAATCTTTCTGTAGAGTGTAATAAATACTAAGTCGAGGTGAAAATACTTTCCTGAGACCAAAAATAGTTCGATCAAAAATAGATATCTCTGATGTGTAGAAAAATATTTTTTTCAAATTAACTCTTCTAGTGTAAACAAACAAACAAGTTGAATAATCCGATTYATAACAAGGCAAATTTCCAATATTAATAAAAACATAATTATGAAGCATTTATTTCCTGAATATTGTGCCAAAAGAAGTGAAAACTGCTTAAAATAAATTTAAAGAAAAATATAAAAAATTAAAATAGCGCATTTTTACACGTACGTTAGCTTCTTAACAATAATTACACAGGCCTTTTACTTAAAATATGTTTTGCAATTTCTTAAACAAAGAATGAATTTACTTAGTGTTGAAAATGAAATAACTTTGCATTTTTGTAGGTAGGTTTAAATTTAAAAGAACGGAGATCCGATTTCTTTCTAAACTTTGTATTTTCTTAGCATTCTCTAGGAAATATCTAAAAGCAAAACTTTGATTTGAAAGCTGCTAAAATATAGAACGAAATTAATGTTTTACTTGATAAAAACATCGTTCTCTGGGTCTGGGTCTGGTAACAAAAAATTATTAACAACATTTATTTTCCCTTCTCTGACTCTTATGACCCAAAAAAGAATAAGAAAATATTTCTTGAATTCATTCCTTTAATTTTGCCAATGTGTATTTGGTTTTCCTAGTTTACTTATTTGGTGTAGATATGATTATGATATTTTTACAATATGTGCAACAGATAAATTAAAAAATTGTTAGGTCAGGTCAGGTCAGGTTTTAATATGATTTTGTTAAATTTTTTTAAATTTCTTTTTTTCAACTGAATGTATAGTCTGACATCTAATGTTGTTGAAAGTAATGATTTTAATGTAGCAGCACAACAGATTTTTTTGATTAAAGTTATGCGCCTTTTTGTTTGAAATGACTAATTTTAAATAAATTTTTAAAATTTACGAGACTCATTTAGGCCAGATATTTTAATAGTCTTCGTGTAAATGTATATCACTATGGAGAATAATTCATACATAACATGTTGGTCAAGCGGAAAAATGTAAAATATCTATTGATAAGTACACATAAAACATTGCGCAAATTCCCTCTAATAAGGCAACAATGTCGCAAGTGTGTAGATACAAGTGGAAGATTATTGTGCTGTTTTTGGTTTCTGTTCCAAATACAATTAAAATTTTATTATTTGATTGTGGATTAGGATATGGAGTATGATAACTTGACGGAAAATATAAGTTTTTTCAACGTAAAAAAACATCACCAACTGGTAACACTTACTGATAATATGTATCATAAAAGATCCAAAGACAACCATCCAACCCCAACCCCCGTCTGGAGGTGCCGGTGGTGCATCGCTTTCCTCTTCATCTTCCTGCCTTTTCGCTTGATGACCCACTGACATTTTCGAATTGGGACTAAAATAAAAACACTCCCGGAGCACGTGGATTTGGACACAAGTGTCGCGTTTGGGACTCTGCTGCTGATTCCGACGTTGCCGACGCCGCTACTAATTTTGTCATGTTTATCGTTGTGGTAATAAAGTACTGCCCCTCCATTTGACGCCGTATCTAAAATAAATAACAAAATTGTTTAAATTCATAATTAAATTCTCATTGTGATAGCAGGTAAACAGTTTAATACCTAATTCCAGATAAGTAAACACAAGAAAGCTATCGGTACCTTCCTTATCGTACAATTATATTGTGGAAATCAATAACAACTCGAAAATTCTGATTTCCTTCGTGTACAGCGATAATGACACCATTCCAATTATTTTCAAACTAATTTGGACATTATTGTAATTTGACTTTAAAGTGTGTCAAGTCTGACGTTTATTTATAAGAGACCAAGATTGCAGTATCATGATAGTGGGCGTTTCACCAAATCACCACAGAATTAAAAATGTCGTAAAGCATAATAAAGCTTTCAACAAAAATTAAAACCACCTTTAATTTTTATTTCATTTTCAAAATTGGGTACCTAATTAATGTTACTTCCCAGAAAAAAATATTCGTAATTCTATACACAACGCCTCACTTGCTACGTCGCAACTGTGTTTTTTAGGTGAAATAGGTCAAAAACATTTGATTTCTGTGTAATATGGCATATTCCGCACAAGTGGAAAAGTTCGTCTCACGAGCTGAAGGCGAGACTATACTTTTATTACGACTAAATTTTAGAAAAAATTTGAACAGTTTATCCAAAATTTTATGACTTTCAAGACAGGTAGCAACCAACCTGTGACAATTCTAACGCTAATGTAAGAATATTCCCGCAAGTTTCAAAGAGTATGAGTATTTTATAATTAAAAGTCAACCAAAGAGATTGTTGATGTTTTAAAATCAGTTTTACTGCAAATGTTCCATTTTTCATTACATTTCTTTATATTAGTGTTCTTACATTTTCGATTACTCTCATCCTTTAATAAAGTACCTGCTTGGTACCTAATAACATCAAAATGAAACATTTTAAAATAATAAAATAGTTTAATGATTTATTTCAAAAAAATTCACTAAATTTTCATTTTTACAGCCTATAGGTAATGGACATAACTCTCAACTATTCTGAACGGCTATTAAATATCTTTAGTTAAAAAACTTTTTTCTTTTATTACTCACATTTATTCTGTTATTGTTACGATATACCTACTTATTTTATTTTTATCAAAAAATAAAGAAGATAAGAACATATAAGATTAAATAACCTTGATTGTGAATAACTATTTAAACGACTTTACTGAAATAAACTGTCATAAAATCTCAATTATTAGATATAAGCAGATGATAATAGGTTATATTTAGGCAAATTTTATAAAATAACTTTATAGTATGTGATTATTTTAGTTCCTACATAAAATCATTGATTTAATATTATTTATGATATCCGACCTTTGTCCCTCATGTATTGCATTTATCTGTTGTTGCCAACAATCATGTTAAATAATTTGTTGTTAAAACCATAATCTCAATCCTTGAATTATTCCTATTTTTGCAAGTAACTTGTGCCTATATAATACTAATAAGAAGAAGCATAAAATATAGCAGAAATAAAAGTAATATGTGATAAAATCAGCATATTGTTATGTTCTTGCTCTTTTGGGGTCATTTAGTTTAAAAAAATTAATAATATTACACAAAAAGAAACGAACTGTGTTATCAACTTATCACTTATCAGAATCATGATGTTTTAAAATAACACTCAAAAAATAAACGCGTGGAATCGCCGAAAATTTTAATCAATGAATTTTAATCCTTTAATAAATTATGATACAATGTGTTTTCTAGAGATTTTTTTGGTTAATTAAAAATAAGAAAAAATTGTATTGTACATAATGCTAATAAATTGCTAAATGATAAAAGTAACACCAACTGTAAAATATGAGAAACAAATCATGCACACTTATAATGAAATTATAACTCACCTCTTTATCCCTGATGCAATATTTTAAAAACGTCAATAATAAATAATCCTTTATTTTCCACAATCCGGGTTCCAGTAGCCATTCCTGCAAACGCAGATTCGCGGAACGACTCGTCGCCAGGTACAAGATCGAATTTTCAATATAGAGCTGTTAGAGATGGGCACTTTTGTTTCAATGCAGTAATAATTTTTTAATCGATTTAATTTTCCTTACCATATTAAGTGATTAAACTCTTCGTATATTTACATAGGCGGTACATTGCAGGTTTGAACATTTTTCGTAAAACATTTTTTGAGGGTATTTTACCTACGGTGCAGTCGGTCCTTTCGACTTCCAATCAAAGATTAGAATATCGTCCTGCGCATCTAGCTTTTCTGTCCTTATCTAAACATCAATTTAAACCACAGCTGATCGCAAGCTTTTAAAAATGTTATTATACGCACGCGTACGTTGTACAAAATTACACACAACTCATTAGTTTGTAATGTAGTGTAAAGTTATCGCTCTATTCACTTTTGGTTGTAGCATGATCATAAAAATTATTTTTGAATAAATAAAAAATGTTGTACTGTAGTTACTGTACCCTCTTGCTTTAGTTTTAATTCAAAACAATGCTCAATGGATAACTTAATTTTTTGTTTAAATGTTAACTTTATTTTATAAAATAACCACGTTTTTGTAATAAAATATTTAAAAAGTTTAGATAACATGACAAAGTGATAAAATACGAGTATTCTTTATTAGTTGTAAATGACCTCTTTAATGACACCAGATGTGTAGCCAAATACATATTTGACAAAAAATATAACTCAATAATCCATAATTTAAGACAAAGTTTTGATTGTTTAGATTGCTTATGCATACGCGACAAATAGGATAAGTTTTGATTTTGCTGATTTTTTTCAAATTTTCTGGAAACATTTTACATCTGTAAAAATTTAACCATTTTATTTTATACATTTAGTAGCAAAAATTTTAAGAATTGTAAGATTTCGGATATAGGTAGTAGATAATAATAAAGAAAAATTCTAGAAGTAATTATAAACTTTAGTGACAAAATAAAATTTTGAATGAGTACATTTCCAGGAACCAAAGGTCTTTTGGAGCTTTAATCATTTTTACAAAAGTTTTTTTGTCACATTATTTAACACTAAAATAGTTTATTAATAAAAGTAGTAGACTTTTTAAATTTGATTGTGTATTTAAAAAAAAATTCTCTTATTCCTTTGGCTAATCCTAAATGTACGTAATCCCTGTTATCAATTTTTTTTGATTTTATAAATGAGTGTTTGAAAGGGTCCTGTAATCAAGCGGTAAACCTGGATGATATTTATAAATAGTAATAAGGATGTGTAAAAGCCGTGGAAGATTCAGATTCTAACTCAGTAGAAAGAAGTTCATTTTTCTCTTCTCTTTTTTGATCTGCTTTTTAAATCCCATCACATTGGCGGTTTTATTTCTTTGACAATAATATCAAATTGCTGCATACTGGCCAATTTTGTATTGGACTTGAAGGCTCTTCAGTTTTCCCAACTAAATTTTCATAATCCGTATTTTTATGAGAATCTTCCACAGTAACATTTAGTTCATCACTATAATTATAACATATTTTCGTCATCACTCAAGTAAAAAAAAATAATAGAAGTATTAGGAAGTTCAACATTACGAAAATTTTCAGTAAAAACATTTGAGTCATGTAACTTTTGAATTTTACACGCAGTCATTAAAAATTAATGCAAAATCAAATAAAAAATTAGGCTTAAACTTTCTCATTAAAAAATATTAGAATAATCCCACTTCTAATTATTCTTCTTTCTAGAGTATTGTATACAGGGTGTTTCACATAATTTTATGAGGCCTGTGCCTGTAAGATGCAATCAATAATACATATTCCGACACGAACTCGATTATAAATTTTGAAGAATTGAATAATCTTCTCTAGTTTGTTCACCCCTTCAAAAATTACAGCATTTTTAGTTAGTTATTGATTAAAATAGATAAACTAGAATCATATTCATATTCATATTCAGACCGTCTTTTGATAGAACAAATAATAATTGTTTCTGAAAAACTGCAGTTTATGTCTATCACCGCCTCCTTAATATAATGWATCAATATCCCGCCTGGGCATTTCGTAAAAAATGCATTGGAGCAGTGATTCCGATTTTTTCTTAGTTACGGGGGTTACTAAGSAAAAACTGAATAATTTTTAATTATTACCGAAAAATAACGCAATTAATAAATGCTGTGAAGGAAGGATACAACAAAACTAGATACMCCAGGGAGAATTGATATTATGAGATTGAACCCTTTAAGGTAAAAAACTGGATTTGTCAAAAATTTTCCCCAGATTAAAGCGACAACGGGAATCACTTGAACTCAAAAAATGCCCAGGCGAGAAAAGGATTATTTCTATGTAGACGGCGATGATGTCTATTAATGAAACAGTGGTTAGTTTGACAACTACTGTCATAGGTTTCCAAAAATTAAATAATTAAATGTGTATTTTTTGTATCTAGTGTTTTGTGAATTTTGTATATTTGGGTGCGTACATTAGGCGCAAGCCCCATAAAGTTACGTGAAACACCGTGTATATGGACTATGTCAAAACCATAGTCAACTGTTAAAACAACAAAATAAGTGGGTTTATTTCACGTTGAAATATTACCCGTATAGTAGGGCACATTTTAACACTTTTTCCCTTTTCTTTGCAGTTCCCTTTTATTATTTTAACCACACTACTGCTTTTGGAGAAGTTACCTTACCGACAGAGAAATGAGTCACGTGACTTTTTAAATTCAAATTCAAAATGGCCCCCCATGGAAGATGTTGTGAGGGAGACCACCAGCACCGCGAAACCCCCGAAATGGGGGTGGAATACAGCCTTTACACCAAAATCGATAAAAACAATCTCGAGTGTCTCAACGAAGCTAGTGAAGGGACGGGTAAGACCGTTTTCAAACCGTGGGAAGAGAGACTCAACTTCGAAATCGTAAGTGAGGTTATCTATCCAAACCATCAATATTTACGGTTTTGTAGTTTGTGGAATCGGACGCTGATGAAGAATTACTTTTCAATATCCCCTTTACGGGCAACGTAAAACTTAAAGGAATCATAATAATCGGTGAGGACGCTGATACACACCCGAATAAAGTCAGGATGTAAGTGAGGTTATATGTCTGGCGGGGTGCTGATTTTGAGTTGTAGGTTTAAAAATAGGCCAGGAATGACTTTCGATGACGTGAATGCAGTGCCCGATCAGGAGTTTCAGTTGCATATTGATAATTCGGGCCTGTTGGAGTATGCAACAAAGTGGGTTGTTATATATAGTGTGCTTCATGTGATAATGATATTTTTTCAGGGTTGTTACCTTTAATAGCGTACATCACTTAACCCTACATTTTCCAAGTAATTTCGGAGCTGAAACGACTAGGATTTACTATATTGGCTTGAGAGGGGAGTACAGTGAAGCTCACCATCACGGAGTCACTATTTGTACTTATGAATCTAGACCCAACATTGCCGACCATGAAAAACTTAAAGATAATGTTACTCACCGTGTACAGTGATTTTCCAAGTCTGTTCAATTGTGATACTTTCGCTATTAATAAAACTAATTTATTGCAGTAATTTCAATTTTTTTTTCAGTAACTAAAACCCAGTCTTAAAGACTGTTGGGATCTCTGTTATTAACAACATATTCTTACAGTATTCTGTATTAAAATAACAATTGACTTTTATACAAATGAATAAACATTACACCTACTATGGAATGTTTTTACTATCACTAAACATTCAATTTTTTCAATTGATTACCCCCAAATATAAAGCTTCTAATACACAACATATATCTATTTACTAGATACGTAAACAGATTTTTTAATATTAGTTTTATAGAAATATAAATCAACTCGCAAAATATTTGCAAATTGTCTCTTCTAACATTCATCAGTCAGTTTTTTTGCTAATCTATATAGGAAATTTTGATCAGACAAGAGAAACTCATCTCGTCAAAACACCCTGTATACTGTTCTAAAATACATAAATATTTTATGACTATATACACATAGTATTGTACATTATCTATACTAAAAACTGATCAAACAAAAGTTGCTATGTTTATATAGTCGGCCAATAAATATACAGAAATGTCCAAAAAATGAAGCCACGAGTGACCTAAAGTAGGTGCCACACGTACAAATTATGACCTAGGCCACAACCTTGAGCCACTTTATACAGGCACTCAGTTTCACAGATTTCGGACGCCTCGTACATGCCATAAATGTGTAAAATAAGATAAGAGAGCTACATCTAGAATAAAAATGTAATAAAACAATCACATCATTCGACAAAATCTTGCAGCACATTGATAAAACTGTCTCATTTAGTCTAGGAACATGGTTCATTTTATAGTTGCGTTCTGAGTTGTGGGTTTATCGGTTGGCAACGTTTCGTCGGTTGTCGCTGCCCCATCAGAAAAAAGCACGTCGGGTAAAGCCCCGGATTCTTCGGTAAGCTCGTCCGGAACTGATTCTATGTCTGAAGCAGTGGTAAAAGTATCGGTAGTCAATTTAACACTCTCGGTACTCGTCGAAGGAAGATTGTTCGCATTAGTGAACAAGACTTTGTCCGTGTAAAACATCGTGCCGAGGTTGTAGACGAAGACTTCGCTCTCAACGATGACGGCGTCGTTGACTTTGACTTTGTCTATGAAAAAGACAATTTATAATTACTTTCATCAACCAAATCGCTAACAAAAATATAAATAATGTTTAATTGTTACAACTTACTCTTTTTTTTTTTTGAAAAACAAAAAGTGTGACGAACAAAACTTTGGATAAAAAATATATTGTGCTTTTAAAATTTATTGGATTGGAAATTTGATCGCCGAGTTGAAATTCTGCAACCCACCTTTCGTGCGCTTTATGCTTATCGTCTTGTTCCCCAGCGTCGTCAACAGCGTTCCATCTTTCAAGTCTTTGTCATACAGTCGGCCCTTGACGAAGTGATTGAGAAGGATTTGCAAGCCGTCACCGGTCGATAAATAGTTGTCTGGCATTTTATCCAAGCCCAATTCCTCGAATGCCGTATCAGTGGGTACAAAGAAGGTGTATCCTGTGCCAGAGACGTGCGGTGCTAAATCAGCCAGATTCAAAAACCGCGTGATATGTGTGAAACGTTTATCCCTCTCCAACGCGAGAAAAGCATGCGAAAGGAATTGAGCCCCAAACCACGGGAATGCCAACAGCGGAGGTGTCTCCTTGTCTCTGTGTTGCTGATGCAGCTTTGAGACAACTGATTCGCTCACGAAGAGTACCTCTCCGATGAACATTATATTGCCGCGAGACACTGGAGTGTCCCCTTTGACGACCATGGCCCCATTCACCGATAAGTTTGCTGGAAAAGGGGGAAAATCGAGACTGGGGGTGAAATGGGGGTAATTGGGGACTTGCATGTAATGTCACTTCAATTAAGAAAATTAGGAATTCGTGCAGATGCTCCAAACACAAAAGAATTTTAATTAAAACTGACTTTTAACCGTAATTAGCATTTTATTAAACACAGTGTCGAGTAGTGAAATAATCTTCGGAAGCCCCCATACATGCAAGTTCCCTATTGGGAAATACCTACGAGTCTTCTTAAAGACAATCTCTCGTCCCCCCAGCGTCTTAACCACCTGACCATCCTTGATCGTGTCCTGCTTAAGCCGCCCCTTGACGAAGTGGTTAATTATGATACTCTCGGTAAACTCGGGCACACTAAACGGGTAAAACCCCCAATCGATTGGATGCCACCTSTGGAAGGCGTGATCCGTGGGGACAAACACCGTGTACTCCTCCCCATCCTCCAACAACTTCGACACGTTGGACCGAGACAAGAAGTGCTGGAACACTCTAACCCCGCTTTTGAGAAACGACAGCACCTCCATGACATTCTCCACGAAAGTCGTATTGGATTGGTTTCGCGTCTCCGGGGTGAAAGGGACGTCCACGAGTTTCCCCTGCGTGGCATTCTTCTTCTCCTCTTCGGGGAAGAGGTAGTTGTCCAGGACCACCAACAAGCCGTTAGGAACGGCGACTTTTTGGACGATGTTGGCGTCATTAGCTTTCAATTTATCGGGTTTCGTGAGATGGACGTGGACTGTTCGACCTCCGAGCGTTTGAAACGACGTGTCGGAGGTGAGGTTTGTGAGGTCGAGACGTGAAAGCACCACATGGTCGAGAAGGAGCTTCTTTACGAGCTCGGGCTGCTGAAGCAGGGTCTCGGCACGCTTCGTCGCCGAATTTTGAGGGGCGAGGATCGTAAAAGGATCACCTGCGACAAAATTTATTATTGCTTCTTTTATTACACCTATCGAAGATGAAATATATTGAACTGTGTAGGTATAAACAAATTAAACCAAAGGGTCACTTGTGTGATCAATAAAGACGGTAAAGAAACTTACAGTTCAGTTTTTTTGTATTGTGTTCATTGAGAGTTTTCATGAAATGTTTTTATTACATTATGGAAACTGTGGCGTAATCCTCGTGTTAATTTACAGATGACAATTGATTACGTTTGTGCTTCAAAAAAGAACAGAGAAGTGGGCAAATGATTCCACAATTACTTATTTTGTCATTCTGTGATTTATGGATAAGTTCGAATAAAAACACTACCAAAAAATTAATTTCAAGTGTAGCAGTGTTGCAAAAAAGTAGGTAGGTACAATTGCGAGTATAAAATTTTGATACCTACGTAATGTGTAATGTCTTTTGTCAACAAAAAGAAGTTTCCCTGTGTAATTTTGTACGCTGTTAACGTTTTCAAAAATAAATTTAAATGTCGAAACACCACGCCAAAAAGTAACTGACAAATATTTTATTGTGGCACTGCAAGTCTTTTACTTCAATAAAGTGAAAACAATTAACGTGCTGAAAATATGATTTTCTGAAGTTGAGGTAGCTGATCAGTTAGGGCTTGTAAAAGTTCCGTCAATTTCATGATAGCTATATGACATCCATACGTTCGTTTTAACAAGAGAATCTTGTTAGGCAATGACAATGACTATAGTTCTTCTAGAAATAAGTGAGAACAGAGTCAATTGCTTTATTGCACCCTAAGAGCTGGGTATCAGTTAGTCATAAATTGTTTAAAACCCGTTGCAGCAGGTCAAAATGTTGCGATTTCTTACAAGCAGAGACGGACTTAGGAAATTGTTCAAGTCGAGAAAAYTGTTATTAAAAAAAAATCGCTACAACCAATAAAAAAAACATTTTGTTGCACAGAAGAAGAGACCGCAGTATTTAACATTAGCTATTGAATAGTTTAGTTTTCATACATAAAGCTTAGCATAAAGTGAATACGGCCCTGGAAACCATCCCAGCTGGCTAAGTTCGGAGATATTTTTATTGGGGGTTAAAACCGCCGGCAGCAGTCTGTGGGTTTACCAAGGATAGTATACCAAAATTTAATGCTCGCAAGTGTACTTTGAAGAAAATTTTGTCATATTTGTAATTTACTTATTAAGATTTGTTTAATTCGTTTCGTTTATTTGCTGTATTTATTGATCAAAAATGTATAAAAGTTGACAACAACTTTGTTCTGTGTTTTTACAATAATTCGAAATGTTTGACGTTTGTCACAATTTTGTTATAGTTATCGCACTATATTAAGTGTGAGAAGGATAATGCTTTGGTACTATTTTATTAGAGCACTAATTTGAGTGTTATCAACCGACAAAACCAATTTTAGGTATTCGCCAGTCCAATATAGTTTGTTTCTCTCTCCATCTTCGAAATTAACTTGTAGAATTGTACACAAACTTTAAACTTCCCTTTACGTGAAACCAGAGCACGTGTGACGTCAGTCCGACTCTCAAACTTTAGTTTCAAGCACTAGCAAAGTCCGAAAGAAGCTGTCGCAAACTAAAACTCTCGCCAGAAATTTGCCGGAGTATTAAAAAACAACAACAGTGAATTTAAAACTTGGAATCCCATCCAAGTTTCCCCTCTTCATGTATAATGCTGTTTTTTCTGGCGCGAGTTGGAATCGATTTTGGCAAAAAACTGACACGCAGTAACACCATCCGAACAATGATAAAGTGGTGTGTAAATGGTGGAAGTTAAATGAAAAATCATCGTGTTTTTTTAGCCCGGAATCGGTCAGGTAGCGCACCGAGTCTATAAAATCCAGGCGATTGCCAGGAAATTGAGTGAACTGTGGTGGAATCCGCGTTGACGTCAACGGATAAAGGACTCGAGCCGTCAAGACAAAGCGAAGGAAATGTTAAAAATACACTGTGTATCAATGGAATTGCGACATGGAGAAGTAGAAAAAATATATGTGCAAATCTCGGTTTGTGATTAATGACCGAAACCGCAATTTCGGCTTATCCCGCGACTGATGGTGACAAAACTTGCTCGTTATTAAGTGTCTGAATTTTTTCTCTGAAAAATCCTCTCGATTTTTTCTCCTCTTGTAATTACAAAACTCTCATCAATCACTCGGCCACATTTCAATTATGCGTCCCGTCTTCGTCTACATTCCTTTCGTGATGGATCAATTACGTGGCAGAAATCGCGTAGTCACGTCCCGAGGTAAAAATGACGAGGATTCTCGCGAATTTTCAAATCGTGTCGCTGAGATTTGTTGAATGCTTCGAGCATCCTCTTAGTGACGTTCAACGAGGGCCTCTTTATGAGAAATTCCGTTCAGGTATTAGACACGTTAGCACGTTCGCGATGGACTAGTACAGAATCTTAATTGCCACTTTTAATTGAAACTACTAAGATGGGAGGACGTGAGGAACGCTTCATTTCCGACGGGAGCGACACGCTAATGCGGTTACTTGATTAACTTCTTCAACTTGATTCAAAGATTGGGAGATACAGGGTACAGATGTCGACTGATAAAAGGGAAAGAGCGACTTCTGGCTAATGAACTTGTCTAGCGATGCAGACGTTGGGCAAAAAGATGGTGGAAAAAGAGGAAACCGATTTTGCCTGCGGCTTTGATGAATTGTAAAGCGCAAAAACCGATAACTAGAAGCTATTGATTCATTTCTTTCAATCGTCTAATTGGTTTATTAATTTGATTCCTGGCTGCAAAATTAAAGAATGAGATTTGAGCAGAAAACAACAAGACGTCAAATATGAGAAACAAAAGAATAGAACAAAAAAATTGTAAAGGAAGTAATCTAAAAAAATTTCAGTTTAGAGAAGTTTTTGAATAACCATGCAATCAACTTATTTATCCAAAAAATGTTAGCTTTTGCCTTTGTTCTCATTTGTTATTTACACAGAAAATTACTATACTGGGTGGTTTTGGAATAATAGGGAAAATGTTACAGGGTGTTAGATCATGACATACTGAACAAAAATGTCTCAATAAACTTTTTCATAACTCATTTCAGTGAGTATGTAAAAATACAACTTTCGATGAACCCGCTGTGTATCTCATCTCTGAATCGTTGCGAACAGTTTTCGCTGCTTCAAAAAAACATTCCCCTAATTGTGCTTTACGTTCATTTCTACATTGTATAGTAATATTTATTAAAAAGAAAACATTTTCCAAGTGTATTTTGTAAAAAATTTATATTGAAAAAAAAGTGCTTCAAATACAGAGTGTGACAGAACTCGCGCCCCAGAGAAAAAAAAACATATACAAGATCATCAGTATCATTAAATAGACATAAAAGTGTCAAATGTCAAAAACATAAATAGAATTTTTTCTATGTTTCTGGTACCTCTGGATGCGCACCTGTATAAAATAAATAAACTAAATCCAATCAGATTTCTAACATCTTGTTATAAAATGTCTATTATTTCAAAATCATCATATACAGGATGTTTTAAAACTCGCACCTCAGAGAAAAATATCAAGTAAAATAAGATGCCAGGAATATGAAAAAAAAAAAATGTTAAAAATATTTATCTATACTAATGCGAGAGTTGAGAAGACAAACTTAGGAAGCGTAAATTTGAGCAGTAAATCAATGAGAGATATACGAATATAGAGAAGGTTAAGACCGAAGAACTTGAAAAAACTGAGAATTAAAGATAAATTGAAGAAAACTAGAAAAAGGATACTAATAATACTATAATTTAAGAAAAAATCTAAGAAATATGTACAATGTTGTGAAAAATCAACCTAGAAAAAAATAAAATTGAGGAATGCAATAAAGAAAAAGAAGAAAAAGCAAAAAAGGAAAAAAACATGAATATTTTTTTCCTTGACGTAATAATTGCCTCATTGAATCTCAAATACATTTCAATAAATCCCTATAGATAAATTTACAAACAATAAATAAACTTTGCGTTTTTCCGCAAGTAAAATGATTTCATCGTGATCTGAAACATAATTCCTTTATTCCTTATACAGTATTGTTTTCAGTGTTATTAATTATTATTTATAGGCATTTTTATTTATTCTGTTTTTTTTAATAAGCATTTACGGCTTAAAACATTGGGCCCCACTAATGCTGTTGTTTGTCGCCCGACAAAAAGACCCCCATCAAAAGTTTGCACTTTGGCTATGTGAGTTCAGCTAATAATTAACTTTGCCATGTTTATGGTTTTGAGGGTGTTTTGAACAAGGCAAATCTGCCAAAAGGCGATGTTAAAGTCGTCCTTTGTTCCCAACTCTGGAATGTTTTAATTACATGCATTTCCGTTTCGAGTTTCTCCATTTCGATTTTATTTTCCGTATCAAATGATGCGAAAGGCATTTATTGCGACCTCGAGCATACTTTTAGTCTGATGCAGTCCGATTTTTCGGCGTACGGTATATTTTAATTAGCCGAAGACGAGTTTGGTGAGTAATTCCTGTGAGTCACTTAATTGCGTAAAAATTCCTCATACGTAAATAAAGATGATCGCGCTAATGCTAATGGAAAGTCGAATATTGTCCATTTCTGACCCGCTTTCCTGTCGTAATTATAGCGGACGTTTTTAATGACAAGTATTGACCGGTACTGCCGTCCCAAATGCTAACTCGTCACAAGCTTATCTTTTATCAACATGGACAGTTTCAGCGAAAAATGAAACACCCCCGGTGGAATTGTTTTCTTATTACGCGACCGGAGATAATTCATTATTATTTATTAATCGCAAGGGTTAGAAGGTAATTAAGCCCTCGACAGGGCCGCTACTTATTCATCTTTATTAACCGTTGATAAAATCCCAGCAATAAAATATTCATATTTTTATGGAATTATGAAGGGTTAGGAGCGGTCGATGCAACTTAAATATTCAAAGCTTGACTTTGCCAAATGTTTGGAAATTAGAGTTAAGGCGGAAAGAAAACTTGGACAAGCACGACAGATGGCGCACAAACTTTTGGGGTATACAGCATACGGACTTTTTTTCAGCTTTCTTATTACGTATTTCACAGTTCTCTGAATTTTCAAGTAACCCCTTAAATTTTTCATACTCTACCTTTTCTCATCTACTTTTCAAACCGTTTGCTTTCAGTTATTCATCCTTATAGTTTTCACATTAATCGTATATTCATCTAATTTTTTTTCTTAGTTTTCTTTCTATTCTCGTTTTCTCTTTTTTGTTTGTATTTTTTCTTGATTCTTTATTGCATTTCAATCAATTCAGCTCAATTTAGCTCAAATTTTTTATTTCTTATTTTATATATTCAGTGCTCTCTTTCTTTTCTCATTTCGTTATTTTTTCGTTAGATGCTTGGTTCTTTTTCTTCGTATATTTCTTTTTTTTTCTTTTTTTTTGTAGCATTATAAGTTAAAAATAAAATATTTGTGTTACAACCCCCAACTGAACTTAATTCACTAAATCTACGATTTGCAGTGATTAATCAGTTACTCTAAAATAGTGGTGGATTCCATAATGCCATTTAGAGACAATTTTCTTTTATTTCTCCCAACAAAAAAAAAAGAAAACTATTATTCTCTAAACCCCAGATCTAGAATATTAAATACAGAGTGTATACAAATTGGCGCATAAGCTCTTCAGTACGCAAAAAAAACGTTCCAATAAACTCTAGAAAAATAATTAAAAACTTCCTTCTCAACTATTCTTACCAGTATGAAGAAGTAAAGTTGAAAATTATTTTTGTTTATTTCTTTGTTTTTAATCGGCGATATAATCCGAAAGAGACTAAAATCTTTTATTTTTTCAACTTCAACGAAACTGAAAATTATTGGTAAAAATCGACAAAATTAAATTTTAAAAGTTATAATTTTTATATCAAGAAAGCTTAATCTGTTAACGTAGTTAAGAATCATCTTTTAAATAATGTTATCATTGATCCCTATGAAAATAATTATTGATACCTGTCAGTTTAAAAGCAGTTTTTGGTTTATTATGCACTAAAAAACAGGTATTCGAATAGTAAATTCGCCGATGTGATTTCAATATAAGGTACATGCCTTGGTTTATAAAGTTTATTTTACAACAATTGAAGCAGAAATATGGCAAATATACCGATATATTGACAATGTTGAAAATTTTGCCATACAGTTTTGGGCTAATAACTTTGTTTAATATAACAATGGATTTTTAATACATTTTGTCTTGGAAGACATCCTACACCATAGCAGAGAACTTATGCGTCATTTTGTATACACTCTGTATATAGGATTCACCTCTGAAACTACACTTCTCGTTTTTTTCATCATTTTAGTATACTACGTTACTGTTGGAAAAACCTGTAATAATATTTCTTGGTGCAAAAGTAGTCTCTAGAAATTTGTCACTGTCTCATCTCGTAATTTCTTCCAGCGTCCAAAAAGAATAGCAGATAAGTACTTATCCGTAATAAATTCGTATCGACATTTCCGGCGAGGATTTAACAACACTGTCCTGTCAATAATTCACAGCCGATCGCTTCTAATACGGAATTTATCTGTCGTGATCCAAACTTACAATTGTTTCCAGCAATCCTCGCTAGTTTAAACTCTTCAATCGTCTCAAATCTCATTTTTGTTCAAGTTTTCATCTGTAATGAATTAATCACCGCTCAAGCAACTCGCGTTTGAACGCTTCCACGAGCACAATCAATCATCTCATCTTTGCTCAGTCGGGAGCACCAGGAAGTTTTAATTTAATCCGTTAAGAGATCAGCTGTAACTCATTATGCCGCATGGCCGTATCAGACACTATTTTATTGCGTAAGTAAACTCGGGAGTTGCGTAAGTGTGCGTTAATGAGGTAACGTGGCCTGGGGCGGCGTAGAAGGGGCGAAATTTTTGCCTAGGAAATGCCAAGCCGAGCCAAATCGCAACAAGTTGCAGCCAATACGAATAATTTCAAGTCAACGTACTGCTGGAAATCCGACGCTTTCTCGTTATTTAAACGTTAATTATTATTATTGGTGCGTTTAATGGTATGTGCAAACTAACGGTGATGTGGGCAAAGAGGAATGTGACAAAAGATTAATAGTTAAAAGGCTAGATTTGGACGGGGAAAGAATTTTTTCGGAACGGTTTGTTTGAGTGCAAATAAAATGCGTAAGAAGGGGGCTCTAATGGTGCTACGAGACACTGATTAATGGTGCCGGAGTGGTGGTGCAATTTTTTGAAGGAAAAATTTTGCCTAAAATTAGGATAACAAACGATTAAAAGCAGTTAAGGGTCGATTTGGTTACCTTTTGTCTTTGATTGCATTACAATTGCACTGATTTATTATGAATGGAATTGTAAAAATTCCGGAATTTCCGCATTAACAATATTGACAGTACTTTTGTTCCGCAATGGGTTTTTGCGTATTTCTAGAGAAATTAATTTTATATCAATTAGGAAATACCAGTGGCGTCGCAACAACAATCATTAAAATACTAGAATTAGGTATTATTTAAAAACAAAACGATTTCTTTAAAATTTACTGTACATTTAGTGTACATATTTTTTTCAATTATCTCTCAAAAAAGCTAATGTAAAATCCAAAACAATTATCAATAAAAATAAAAGTTTTTCATTGTTGGTATTACATGCAAAAGGTAAAACTTAATTTTATCAAGAAGCGTAGGTCTACAATTTTTTGAAAATATGAAATTTGTCCCAAAACACTGATGTATCTACAGCCTGTCCCAACTAGTAGATAAAATCTTGAAATGTTTTAAAAAATTGTCTACAAAAATTATACAGGGTGATGTTAAAGTGCTGCACAAAATTAATAGCTCCGATATGCTCGAACAAGTCAATTTTAAAAAGGCTCTTTTTGGCATATATTTTTTTATTATACCTTTTACGACTTTATATCACTTTGTAGATAGATATCGACCCACTACATCGCCTGAAATTGTTTTAAATGAGTTACATGACTACCTACGTATGTTGTTTTTAATATTTTTGCATTTTTGGATATAGGTAGTTTTTTTTTTCGTAATGCTGATGTTATTTAAGATTGACTTTTAACTTTGTTTAGTTTTTATTCTTGATTTGTTTTCTATGTCAAAGATAAACCGTTTTAAAAAGTATTTTATACAGAAATTAGGAACAATGAAAGAAAAAACAAATTTTAACTACTTCAAAAAAGAAAATACAAACTTTAAGCCTATTATTATTTTTTAGCACATTACAATCACAGTGCTAAAAAATTAAGAAATTTGTTAAAACGTAAATAAGTTTAAAAAAATAATACAACACACCATTTTTCATTTTGCATAATTTAACATTTGAAGATCAATAATGCACTTTATTAATGTTATTTTAAATAAAAAATAGTAAAAAAGTGATTCAAATTGGTTTGGATAAGGCCAAAAACAGAGGCGTTTTTATTTTTCTGAAGAGGATGTAAATATCCCCAAAAAATTAATTTGGAATAGATGTATGTAACTGAACACCATATTCATTTGTATTAGACATTAACAATATTTTACGCAGAAGATCGCAATAATGATGCATTTAATTTTCAAGGTTGCTGAAAAAAGTAAACATATAGCTTACTTGACGTTTATTTGCATACAGGGTGAGTCTTAAAACTTAAACGCATAATAATAAGGTATGATAGGTTGTGACAAATAGTAGGTAACTAATAATCAAAAAATTTCTAATGAAAGTTTCTTAGTTACCGAAATATAGCTATTAGATTTTAAAATTTTAGGTAATTTGAGCAGATGACACTAATGCTGACATTACATTTGTTCACGCCATCACTGTCAATAACTAAGTGAATCAATTTTCTTTATTTTGGTGGGATTAAGTGGTATTGTTTATTGATATTAGGCAAAAATAAAAAAGTATTGGTTAACTTATTTTAAATTTTTTTACTCATTATTGGATCATAATCTTTCATTCCTAAGTTTTTGCGTATAAATTAAGACTCACCCTGTATACTTGTAATTGGACCTATAAATAAATATCGTTGAACTTTATCCTGCCATAATAAATAATTGCATTTGCGATGATGCAATTTGCACTATTTGCAAATTTCCCCTAACAAAGAAAATTTTCTCCAAAGTTGTAAATCACGATCTAACAAAGCGGTGGCATTAAAACTGAAAGTTTTCAGCTACACGTACTTAAAGGAAAGGTGAACAATTATCTTTATAATTATTATTCTCCCAGTATTCAAAGCTTAAAAGGTAAGTATAGATAGGGATTTAAATTACCTAACTTCCTCGCAACTGCACTCGTGTAAAAGTAGGGAGGCATTATCTGGAAATTTTCATCGCGAATGGTCAATTTTTTAATTAAATTTCCTGTTTTCTTTGACCACCGTATACCAAACCGTAAAAATGACAAAGTGTCAACAAGTAAATTAAAACCGAACTTTATGGCAGTGTAAATTTAACCAACGAATTGCTTTTTAAAGTAGAGACAATGTTGCCAACTGTCGTCGAGCGAAATTAAATTTTAAAACCTCGTCTATGTGAATTTTAAACTGCATTTGTAGAGCAACACTGATCTACATACACTCAGCGACATTAAAAATGTAAGAAAAGTTTAGCCTTTCTCTGGCGTGAAATTTTAATGCCTCGGAGGTTGTGTTAGGTCGAAGGTCGCGCATCAGGCGACCGGAAGCGCAATTACCTGAGGTCTTGACGTCGTCGTTGTTGAAGACGAGCCACAAGGAGAAGAAGTGGTCGACGCCGAGGTTGGCGGTGAGCTGTCCGTCGATGCCGGAAGTGTCGGGCAGCTCCAGGAGTCCGTGGCAGGCCTCGGCGAGGGCGGCCAAGAGCAGCAGAAGAAAGCCGGTCGGCATCACTTGGCCTCGCGACTCTCACTGACAAACCGTCGGTGACGGCGCACCATAACAAACTACGGGGAGTCGAGAGACGGCGGACGGACTCAGCGCGCAACAATCGATCCGCAGAGGCGGTGGAACACCTTCGGTATGTATGTGTTGTACATGCAGTGACACGCAGCGATGACCATCTATACGATTTTTACGACAGATATTAACCAGACGGTTATTGCGAGGGGCAAGGGGGCCATTTCAATCGTGGTGGTGGACTCCATGTGGACTTAGGTCGCAAGGGATTTCAGTTATAATTCTGATTCAATTTGGAGGGTATGTCCCTTAGAAAGGGCAAAAGATTTACAAGGTTCGTTAGGTAAAGTGGTCGTAACTTCGCAAAAGTTGGTGCTGCTGAAAAACGAACTACATATTTTGAATCAGGAGGTCGAAATCTATAAGAGTGAATTTTTTCAGATTTTTTAAATGATTTTTGTTAAGTGCGAAAAGAGGGTATCTACATAAATTTGTGTTTTAAGAAATGCGTCAAAGAAATTAGAAAAAAAATGTTCCAGAGAATTACATTGTGTTAAAGACGATGCCGTAAAACTTACATTTGGAAGTCGAACATTTTGTTTGTAGTTACACTTTGAAGGTAAAAACACGAAAAATAATTTTTGCAAAATTTGTGTAAGAATAAAAAAGCAGACTCTTGCTTAGGGCTGGGTAGGACAGTGCAAAATGCACCTGACCTGCAGGTCGGGAGGCCTTAATTGAATCCTTGCAATTTTTCTGTAAAAAAAAATAAAAACACAAGAAATAAGTAAGTAATGTAGCAAACAGAACAAAAAAAAAACTTTAAAGTTACTACTCCTATTTGTTTAGAGATAAATTTTTGACAACAGGTCCATAGTAATACTATAAGTTCTAAGAAAGATAAACAAAAGGTAAGCTGGTAAACATAAATGTGTAAATTTGTAAACGAAATGTCCCATAGTTAAAAGGACGCAAACAAGAGTCAAGAAGAAGAACAATAAAAATTAGTTGAAAACTAGAATAAAAACATTCARAGACTAAACTTAAAAATGAAACAAAATGTAATTCGTAAGCGTAAACCTTTAGAATTAAAGACATAGTTGTTTTCTTTATGTTCAATGAAAAAACAAAAGAGCACATACTGCAAACATAAAAACAACTTATGTTATAAGAGCCTAAATAACTTTTCAACAATTGATGCTGTAGCAAAAATTAGAACGTTAAAATTAAAATTGAAGGGAGTAATTGAAGAAAGAATCAATAAAGTTACCATAAAAATACGAAATTTTGGGTTTAACTTCTATAGAATTTTGTCAACTAAAAAAAAAGTTGTTGACATTAATGTTTCTTTAAAATCCGTAAAAAACACAAATGTACAAAAAATGCCGTAAAAGTTGTATCTACAGATTAAATAAAAGATTAAGTACACAAATCCCATAAATTTGTGGGGTTTTTTAAAAGGTTTTTGTAAATTATTAATACCTAAAATGAGCATTGAAAATTTTTTAAAAGAAATTAGAAAATAGGACACATCCAATAAATTTTATTGAAAATGATGCCGTAGTGCTTATATCTCTACAGCTTAAACTTTAAGTAATTAGGAGAATTAGTGATTTTATTCTTCATTTTATACAAAGACATGTTTGAAATTTGTTTCGTGTTACTACAGGCGTCCGAATAGTGCACGTCCGCGGTGGCATTTGAAACACTACCGCCAAGTTCACATCAATTTTTCCAACTTTCTGAATTTTTTCTATCAAATTATTCAAACCTTCCAACAATCCAATTGACACGTTAGAATTTTCTCGCCTCCGGAATTCAGTTTACGGGACATAAGTTCAAGGCTTCGTAATCAAAGTTTACGATCGGAAGCCATAAATCGATCCAATGACTTCTTCCGGGAGATGTTAAAAGCTCACTCCTGCTATCTCTCCACAAAAAATCTATTAAACTTTTAACACCCAGTGTATGCGTTACGGCCTCATTTGTAAATTTATCGTGGAGGCCGGAAATTCAAACTTTGGTAATAATCGGAAGTTGTGGTTGGAGGCCTCGAGGCGATTTAAAGCTTTCATTGGAAGTGAAGCTTGAATTTCGAGTAATTGGAGTTTTTATTCGAGACATCTGCAAATTGTTAACCCTGAAAAGTGTTAAGAGACGGAAAATTTTGGTGATTTCAGCAACTGAATCACCCTTTTTTTATTATACCAATTAGGTTTGGACCGCTTGGGATTCGATAATTGTGCGTTTCAGCGTTTTCATTGCATTATTCCAAGGTTTTGCAAAAAGTAAACACTTGATTTGAGTCGACTGACATTTCTCGTTGGTGTTTGAAGACGAGCTGTATCAAAGGTGAGTTTGAATTTTTAAACGATTCGTGTTTGCCGGGACGCTTGATTTAATTAATGATGGACACTTGGTGTTTGCTCTGTTCCGGTTTTAAACCGGAATTGAGAGAGTTTTTTATAGCCATTGATCACGTGGAGTGGATTTCACAATGATTATCGATTAAAACTGCACCGTTTTTTTCCATAAATTCACTTATCAAACTCGCCTACGGCTTATATTTTGTTTTGGAAATCCTCCCCCAAAGAAATATTTCCTTTGTCATCATCTCGATATCAAAGTTTGTGGCTTGAGCTCGTTCCTCCTCTGTCATATTTAATAACCTGTAACATTTTCGTTTACTGGGATGAAAGCAATGCAGATAAACATCTGAAAAATCTCATAAAATTTATAAGGGTCTCGGCCGCTGTCTTATTGTTTTACATTTTTACCTCTGAAATATGAGAGCGATTACTCGGCTAGAATATTGGTAAATTACAAGAGGCCGCATGTTATCGTCCAGAAACCGCCGACGTTTCCTTCAAAGGGATTTCCGGCCACAAATCCATGGCAATTTTATTTTTGCATAGTTTTATTTCGAATTCTTTTGGTAAAATACAAACTGGACGAATGTAGAAAATACCACATTTCATTTGTCAAAAAAATCAAGTATAAAGTTTTGTAAATATAATGTTAGAAAAATCGTTGTCGCATAATCCATTTAAAGCCCGACAATTAACTAAAACAAATTCTGTGGACTTAATCGAAAATCGAAAGAAGTCATTTCCTGTTCATTTCCTGCAAATCTTGATTCACCAACGGTCCTCCAATTCACATTCCCAGCGGCTACGACAGATATATATTTCCAAGAAGTTGATAAGTCGTCACCCCACAATCCTCCAGATCCCCAACTTTTCCAACCGACAAACTTTCGATATACACAGCCTGCATTTACAACTTCTTTTGAATTTCCACGAGACAAATGGACCTATTTGAGTATAGTCATTCACGCAAGGGTCCGTGAGGGGACCGATACTTTCCAGCGTTTAAATGGGCGTGACTCACAAGCATTGTCTCCAAATGCGCAATTATTTCACTTAGTTTGCATAAAAACGGATTAGTAATGATTCAAGGTCTGATTTTGTGGTGGGTTTAGCCCACCGAAATTTGTGTTGCAATTAGTTCGGGAAAAATTATAATCGAAGCAATTTATTTCGAGGCAATGGATTGGACTATAAAACAAATTAATGGACAATTTGAGACGAAGGTAAAGTGCGACGTTTATCTTCCGGTAAACGTTAATTACTAAGACGCTAATCTTTTTTCGTCCTATCTTGATCGCCTCAAATAGTTGGCCGTGACTATGATTACCCATCTTTTTGCATTGTGTTTATGAATAAAAATATATCCCAAAAATCCACTTTTGCGAGGTCATTGCTCTATATTCCACATTACGTGGCTCTCATACACATGTTCTAATCAAATCCGACATTTCCTCGATTTGAATATCTAATGCGACCCAAGTTGCCACCACATCATCACAAATTACCATTTTATAGCTTCAAAATAACCGAATTTATAAAGGGGCGGTTTAATTATCTCACTACAGGTAATAATTTTTTCCCACCCAATTTTAATTAAAATCGAGGATTATTCCCTGCACCCATGTATTTTTTTGTTCCGCCTTTTTACTTTTTGCGATTCAGCCGGTCATCCTTTTTAATTAACAAACAAATAATAAAAATTCGTAACTTGCTTTTATTTTCATGTTACGATGTGATAAGATGCAATCTCGTTTTAATTAAATGCAAAAAAGTGAATTCTTGCTGAATCACTACAACCCTGCTACATGCAGCGGAAACTAAACATTTAATAACGCATCAAAATCACAGGAAGATTTTCATGTAGACCTCAAAAAAGGATTATTTAACAGTTGTAGATTTTTTTGAAGAAATCAGATTGCTTTTATATTATTTTAAGCCACTGAACTAAGGTTCATCAAGCTTTCTTCTTCAAAAATCATGCGTTCAATAAAATTTCTAATAGAAATGGCCTTTGACTTTGAAATTAAGGTGGTGACACTGAATCATTATTACATTTAAAGATATGGCACGTATGACACTTTATACAGCTTGTTTGAAAAATTTGTTGCCAACTCTGAATTATTGATGAGATTTGATTACTTAGACTGTGCTAGCTAGCAGAAATGAATGATAATTCTGGCTATAAAATTGAGAAGTTAAAACTAAAATTTTAAGTTTGTGGTTTATTTGATGACAAAAATGACATCATTTAGTGTTGCCAACATAATTTCAAAGTTACAAGCCACTTTATTCAGAAATTTAAAAACGTGTAATATGTAACGTGTAGATACGGGGTGCACCAGAACTCGCGCCCCAGAGAAAAATGCCATGTAATATAAGATATCCACTATTTCTGTTAGAAAAATAATATTTCAAGTTTTTTTGCTATAGGCTATTAGAAGAGGAAACAAGGAAGCTGTATCCTAAATTGTAACTTTTTTTAATGTTGTTTGTGACATTTATTGGTATTTTTTTTGTACTTTTACTAAATAATTATATAAAAAAAAACGTATACAAGATCATCAGTATCATTAAATAGACATAAAAAATGATATACAGTATGTCCCCGGATTGAGTTTACAAGAGGAAAAATTTTTTTATCTTTGATTTTAGGCCAAAACTGCAAAGGAAAAACATTTTTTGCTTTACCTGAAACGAGCAAATCTGTACTTAAAACTTCATTATTCTGATTCAGTGAAAAGAAAAGTTAATTTTTCTCTTGATTTTGGGCTTAGAATAATTTTTCTCTGCTTTTTAAGTCTTATCACATTGCCGGTTTTAATTATTTGACAACTATATGTCACTTTGACAAATAATTTATTTTTATTTATTTGTTATGTTTTATTATCTACCTTAAAGGTGTTTCTTTAACTTGCTGTTTATTAAAATTATGTTTTTCACAATCATTTTTGTTACTTAACTTGCGTAAACTCATTTGTCAAAGTGACATCATTGTCAAAATAATAAAACCGACAATGTGATAGGACTTAAAAAGTCCTAAATCAAGAGAAAAATGAACTTTTCTTTCTACTGAGTTAGAATAATGAAGTTTTAATTACAGATTTGCTCGTTTCAAGTAAAGCAAAAACATTTTTTTCCTTTGCAGTTTTGGTGTAAAATCAAAGATTCCTCTTGTAAAAATCCGGGGACATACTGTAGAATTTTTTTAACATTTTTTCCATGTTTTTGATATCTTATCTTGTTTGAAATTTGTATATATGGAATTTATTATAAGGAATTTGGGAATATAAAATAAAACAACAATATTTATTTAGAAAAATATATTCAAAAATTCATAAAAAAGTAAGTTATGTTAAATGAAAAAACTTGTTGCAAAAACGATTTATTACCCCTGTAGACAAAAAAAATGTAAAAAATGTATCACGCGAGCGTCGCACCCACGACTCCACAGGTGTGTCGATATCCTTTTGCCCTGTCGGAGTAGACACGCACTATCGGATCGATCCCGTAAAAATCCCTTTCAATTATTAACGGGCGTGTGTCCCGTGTATCGTTTTGAACTTTCTTCTCAGCAGCCCTTTGTTTTTCTGCGACCTCTGGAACGGAACGAAACAAACTCCAATAATCAAATCATGAAACTTCAAAACTAACTTCGTTCTTGTTTATTTTCAATTTGTGTATATCCAGGATTCGATAAATGACAACAAGTTTGTTACAAAAGGGAAAATCCGATAAGGAAGTCGTAAAAGACCCCTCACAGCTGACAATACTTACCTCGAATTTGAGGGCTTGTTTCGACTCGTAATTCTTCTTAGCGAGAGCTACTCGCACCCACTCCGGCTTATCCGAAATGGTAATGTGGAGCAGATACCGAATTCCCAGTAAAACATGCTCCAAAAAGACGAAAAACAGGACCCATTCCACTGGCCCGACTTCTGGTGCTGACCTTTTCAATTCAGGAGTGAGACACAAAAGGCCACAATTGGTCATAATAGACATTGCCCCGATTATTTCGAAACAACGTTGCCAAGCGCCGATATCTTTTACTCTTCGACTCATAGGCCTTTGGTAGATTTTGCAAAGCTTGAAAGCGTCAGCTCGAATTTCTAAAATGTTATTGAAAAGCGCCCAAAAGGCAGCGATTGGATACACCGGCGAGAAAAGAAAAATGTAACCAAATTGGATGAAAAGTTCGAGATAGTCATCATATGTCCCTTCGTAATCTTCCATTTCTCCCTCTTTATTTGCCGAGTCTAGGCGAGAGTCATCGATGGGGATTTGAGGCAGGGATTTTAATACTGGCACAAGTTGGTCTTCGGTAGGAACTTTGTAAAATTTGGATTTTGAGTGTTTTTTTGATGAGAAGAGTTGTTTTTTCCACGAGGTAAACTATTGGTTACGATTTAAAAAATGTACATTGGAAATTCCGAACTCACTTTAGATCCGTAATATTTAACAGCAAGTGGCAAAACTGCTTCTTGGACGTGACTTATCAACTGAAATATTATCAGCATTGTCTGGAGTTGACTCCTCAACATTTCCATGTCTCGAACGACAAATGCAATGTAAAATAAAGACATGAAATTATTCACGAATTCAAAGAGGACTAGTTTTGTGACTCTATGTCTGTCATGTTGGGATTGAGTCCGATGATTTTCTGAAATGATTAATGAAGGGTTTGGTGCGTTTCAGTGGAATTTCTTTACCCCATTCTGTCAGAAAAGTAGCTAATTTTCGGTAATAGCAGTTGATTATGTAGACTAGAATCGAGTAAACTATGCTAGGAAAAAGTATGATTAAATCGTCGGAAGTTCGAGTCTGTTTGAAATATTCCTCGAGCCAAAACGAGGCCAACATCATGACGAAAGCTGCCACAAGACACAGAAACACGATAGGGATTGATACGCAATACATCTGAAAACTTTTCGTTGATTTTTTTATGTTTTTCGTCGGTGTTTACCTTGATATAAGTCATATATCTCGGACTCTGGGGTTGCAACTTTCCCGTAATGGCATCATACCCCATCGACCCCCTGAAATTCGGTCTGGGTTCATCCAGACTCGTCATCCCTATCGTTCCCCATTTAAACGCCAACTCGTTGCTTTTTCTCTTCCATATCTGCGAATTAATTAATCGATTCTAGAGATAAAAATTCGCTCTCTCGCGCCCTTTATAATCCTTGCGTCGAGTTAATCTCCGAAAATAATTCGAGCCACGGCTGCATCGGAAAGGCGTCTTTGTCGAGGCTTAATAAGAGTGTCTAAACTGAGAGGCCGAAAATACAAAAAGACTTCGTCGCACGAATACAATGCGACGGATGACGCGCCAGAGATAAATGGGATTCGTTTCGGCGTAACGTCACATTTCGAAACTTTCCATAATGGATCACTTTCCGTTTTATTTGGGGTCGAGACACCTTATTCAAACCACTGGAGGGATGAAGATTCGAAACACGACGTTTGCATTAGCCGAGAATACAGAGACGGTATTACCTCCAGGATATTAAAAGTTACGACGATGAAGAAGTCTTATAAGTGGGAAAATCAATCCAAAAATTATTATTTACTGCAATGTGTAGTTAAACATTTAGATTCTTTTTTGTTACAATGCAAAATTTGGTCTTGCTTGGAGACATGTTGATAAAATTTTTACTAAATTTAAAAAAATTACCGAAGCGTCAGCCGAGCCCAAAATACATGAAATTTGAAAGAAAACGGACTATTAAAGACGTCGCACGAAATAATTCTTACTCAATTGAAAAACTCACCTCTAAGACGAGGGTAACCCACACCACGTTGAAAACACAAAACAACGACATCGTCTCCGAGTAGATCATCAGCTGGAGGAGCCCCACAAAAACRGGTACYACCAAAGTTGCCGTGTAGAACCCCAAAAACGTAAAATACAATGCTATAGCTTCTCCAAAGTACAACCGGATTTCTTCTACAAAACGAAATCATTATTATACAGGGTTGTTCGTTACAAAACGAAATCACTATTACACAGGGTTGTTCGTTTTCGAGCTCCATCATGGGGATCTCAGTTATTATAAGAGATACGAGGTCGGTTAAATTAGGGCAAAGTTGTGCATGTTTGTGCTAAACAATTATCTGAAAGAAAATTTAATGTAGCATTTTTAGTTTTTGAATTATTGGAAAAAAACGGAAATTTGTACTTTTTGTTTTTATTTTTTTAAACAAAAACTAAAAGTCCTAGACGTTTTTAACTAGGACGTTCTTAAGGCACTTTCTTACAAGAGATCTAAATCTGTCATCGTAATTTCTAAGGCACTCTTGATGTCAGAGTTACAACACTCAAGATTGGATTTTCTTATGGACGTCATATTAGATTTCTGTATTTTTTGTTCATGATTACAACGATGTATCCACACGATATCATCAAATTTTACATGCTTATCAAAATTAAGAAAAAGCGTTTTTACGAAGAGTGCTTTGGAAAAAATGCCACCAATTTTAATTAAAAAACTTAATTTTGAAGCTGGTGCATTCGAGCGTCTTTTATAACTTTGTGTTGTTTTGTTTTGTGAAGAATAAATTCTAGATTAGCACGTTGTTCCTATTTCAAAACCTTTGTTTTTAAGTAGGTAAGCTTGAAGGAATTGTGACTTTCAGTTCAATTGAATTCAATTGAACTGTCAAAATTTAATTTATTAGTTAAAATAGGTGGCGTTTTTTCCAAAACACTCTTTGCAAAAAGAATTTTTCTTAATTTTGATCTTAAATTTGATCATATCATGTGATACATCGTTGTAATCAGGAACAAAAAGACTTTTCAAAAATACAGAAATCAACTATGGCATAAGAAAATCTAAAGTTGGGTGTAGTAATTCTGATATCAAGAGCGCCTTGGAAAATACGATGACAGATTTAAATTCCTTGTAAAAAAGTGTAGTGAAAAACGTCTAGGTCTTTTAGTTTTAGCTTGAAAAAATAATAATTAATAATTCAAATTCAAATAATAATCCAATAATTCAAAAACTAAAAATGACACATTAAATTTTCTTTCATGTTATTGTTCAGCTTAAAAATACGCAACTTTGCCTTAATTTAACCGACCTCGCATCTCTTTTAATAACTCAAAACATATTTTTGATCAAGAAATGTGAATTTGGAGCGTTTTGTTCTGTTTCCTCTTCATCACATAGCTTGAGAATTGATTCGCTGTCCCATCTAATTGCCCCCCGAGTCGGCCACTTTCATTAGCATTATCGTTGCGGAAGAGTTGGTGGTGGCATGGTTGGCGGCGGTAATTCCCGCACTAAGATCGCCATTTACAACCGCGACACGCTCCACTCCTTTTCGCCCTCTAATTGCCGCTTTAATGAACGTTATGCGCCTCATATAGCGATAGCTCACGCGTGTTAACACGTCATTATGTCGACGACTCGTTATCTGGGACTAATCGACGAGACGCGACGCTCACATCAACCCTTATCAACACACATTTTACTTCCGAATTTATTACATACCGATCGGTTGCTTGGCCAATAACGACATGTACCACTTCCTCCCCAGCTTCTTCAACGCCTCTTGATCGTGCAATGGATAAACCTTCATTATTATTTTATACTTGAGACACACTTGAAATATCGATTGGCCCTCGTATAGCGTGTACGTGGGGTATCCCGGAATGTGTTCGTCCTCCGCCAACGCTCGGATATTCTCCAATTCGTGGCGCACGATCGTTTGTTTCTCGGCGAGGGTTAACAAATCGTCGACGTGCATTCCATCCGGGAGAAAATCCTCCAGTTGTCCCACCGTGAACTCCCGCATCATTCCGGTCTTGTCCTCCTTCATCAGCTCCATCTCTTCGGCCGTTTCTAGGAATTTAATTTTCGACGCCGACAAGTGCAAAATCCAGCCCTGTTTCACAAGGGGGAAAAAATCAAAGTTTTTCTTATACAGTGATTAAGTACAGCGTGCGCCATGGTAAGATACCAGGAACATGAAAAAAAAATGTTAAAAAATTCTATCAATAAAATTCGAATTTCCTTTATTTTTTTTAATGTTATTTGTGGCTTCTATTGGCATAATAATTATTGTACCTTTATTAAATAATTATGCTAAAACATATACAAGATTATCAGTATCATTAAATAGATATAAAAAATGTCAAATGTCAAATATTTTTGACAGATAGATTTTTTTAAACATTTTTTTCATGTTCCTGGTATCTTATTTGAGGTTTTTTAAAATTTTTCTCTGGAGCGCGAGTTCTGACACACCTGTATACTCATAGTTATTATACAGTGTTATTCATAAATATGAAGCAATATTTGAACCTGAAAAATGACCTATAAAATGATGTTAATTTAAATAATAACTCGTGTCCGATATCTAATGATAAGAATTTTACAGCCCTCGGAATGTGGGTATGGAATTTTTTTTTTTTTGTAATAACTTTGGAACTATTTGACCAAATAATATTATAAAATTTGGAATAGTTACTTGCGAGAACATACCCTTTAAGCTAGTAATTACGAAAACCGGATATATCTACTCAATTTCCAGTTTCAGCAGTAGCAGGTCACATTTTCTGTGTTTTTCCATTTTTTTGGCACTAATTTTTTATTGCTTAAATCTAAAGAGTAATCAATTTCGATTAAAAAACGCATAACCTTTTATACCACTAAAATGGACCGTTTTAAAGATATTTTAATTTAAAGTGGGGACTGCACAACGCTGAAAATGAAAAATATGAATTTTGAATAAGTGGTATCCACGGCAACCAATGACCATGGTCACATAAATCCCGGCCAGGCATCTTTTAACTTTGACGATAAATTTTTGTGATTTTTTTATGAATTAAATGCTATGAGATCCATTTGGATTTATTCTAAGTTATGTTTGGAGTCTGAGGTAAACTCTTTTATTAAATATTTTCGATTAATTGTTTAATAATCGTCAATCTCAAGTTGACAGATGCCTGACAGCAAAATATGTGACCATAGTCATTTGTTGCCGTGGATATCACGCATTCAAAATTCATACTTTTTGCTTTCAGTGTTGTGTAGTCTCACTTTAAATTAAAATATCTTTGAAATGGTCCATTTTAGAGGTATTAAAGGTTATGCATTTTTTATTCAAAATTGATTACTCTATTGTTTTGACCAAAAAAATAATGTTAAGAGGTCAAAAAAACGAAAAAACACAGAAAATATGACCTGCAATGGCTGGAACCAGAAATTGAGTACCTAGATGTATCCAGTTTTCGTAATTACTAGTTTAAAAAGTATGTTCTCGCAAGTAACTATTCCAAATTTTATAATATTTGGTCAAATGGTTCCGAAGTTATTACAAAAAAAAAAAATCCATTCCCACATTGCGAAGGCTGTAAAATTCTTATCAACAGAGATCGGACACGACTTATTATTTAAATTAACATCATTTTACAGCTCAGTTTTGAGGTTCAAATATTGCTTCATATTTATGTAGGTACTGCATCTCCTACTTTTTGCAGTTAATGATTTTAAACTCTGATTTTACCCACTGTAATCTAGTCAGTGTGAGCTTGTTTTTTTCAATTTTCCCCTCACTGAGAAAACTCAAAACCACTCTCAAATTCAATAAAATTTTAAATGTTATGGCAAATGGAAGTCATTATGTGTCAATAATGAGCAGATGAGACATAAACTATTTTACTAACAATGGTAGAAAAAACAGTGCATTCTACTTCACCGCCCATTACACTCGTGCAAACTCATAATCGATAAACTTTCTTCACTTGTGAGGTAAAGTTAACTTACGTCGTCGGGGTCGCTTGGTTGTCGCATAACGATGAGCTCGGCGCCACCATCGCGACGCTTACCTCTAATCTTGTCAATCAGCCACGTTAGGGTGTTTTCTTTGATGTCCGAGGCGATTTTTATTACGAGGTAAGTGGGAGGTAACGAGGTGTTTTCGTCGAATTCATCCGACATTACGTCTGAAGCGTCTAATTGTTGTTTACTCATTTTACCTAGAGGTAAAAAAGGATTGAATACTGTGTTAAAACAGAAATGATGTTTTTGAGTCTTAATCCCACCGTACAATTTGCGTCAGAATGAAAACGACTGAATTGTCGACTTWTTGTTTCGTTATCTATGATAACATCAAAAACTCAATTTTGCACTTCAAAACTGAATGTTTTGTTTGGTTTATAATTGAGTAAAAAAACAGAATAGGCAGCCCCCATTACGCAGCCGTTTCAGGTCATTCCAATAAACCTCGCGAACATTCCACAAGCCCCGCTTATTACCTTTTGGACCTGTCAAGACATAAATTTTTTAACGTTATCCCATAAACCGTGCATGCTCGACGACCAAATATTTTACTTATTCACATAATCGTAAAAATGCGCTGAATTATGCAAAACAACGATTAAACACGCATCGTGCACCTCAACTGTTCATTAACAGAAGTTAAAACTAGCGAAAAAATAGCTTCATGATGGATGACCTTAAACTTAACCTGGCTTTATTAGAATCAATGTGTCTCGATCTTTTGTCCCTTTATTCATTCGGGTCGATTCAATTATTTACGAGGTGTAAAGCTGCGTTCACACGCAATTTTTCACCTGGACGCACGTTTATGGAGAAGTAACGGACTACGAAGATGTTTTTTTTAGTTGAACCGAGATTTATGAGGTCGTAAACACAACGTAACGCAAGTTAGTAGACGATTATTCGCGCTATTGATTGTAAAAAGTTGAGCTTTTTACGGCAAAGTTTGGATTAGCCAACAAGCACGTGTTTTAGGAAGCAGCTGAGATCAGTGGAGCTTTAATACATACAAAGCAGGGGTAGACTCGACGGTGAATATTTGAATTGATCCAGACCATCGAAGAATCCGGTTTATTTATTTATTTTTTACTCAAAGTGTAATAAATTGTTTCTCTGGATTTTATTTCATGCAATCCAAATATTTTTTTCTATGATTGTACATCATTTTATTCATACGCGTAATATGTTTTTTACAACTTGACTTCTATAATTCATAATTAATTTGATAACCTTTCAATATTTTTATTAAAATAATGATGTACGATTTTTGTTTTGTGAACTGATATTCTTGGTGATTCTGTGAGATAAGGGTGCAGACAAGGAAGATTAATTTGTGAAAGGTAGGCCAAAAATATTATATACATTTCAGAAAAGATTTATTGTGTAATATAAGTTTATACAAAGATTTTACATTAATAATTTATTTGTGTATTAGTTAAGATGGGATAAAGGAATCCAAGTTACGAGTATTTAAAGCTATACCAATAAAGAGGCAGTTTTTTAAAATACTAGTCTGAACTTATTCTTATTATCTACCTATTACATTACTTATGTTTCTATTCCGTAGCAATATTTTACTTTATTCTTAGAGCTTGTTCCATATCTAGTGGCGAACTGACAGAGAAGACACTTAAAATGCATGTGCGTAAATTTTTTTTTCTAAAATTTGTTTAAGTAGTCGTCATTTTGCAAAAGTTTGCAAAATATGTTTTTAATTAGGGAAAATCAATTAGATGTAAACGTCAATGAACTTATAATCGTAACGATACGGTTGTTAGCACAACTAAAACTTAAAATACACAATTTTAGCCCAAAACGCTTGAATTATCTTAATTTGAAACTCAAACAAAACTCACAGCAGTGCCACTACAAACCAACTTACCTCTCGTCGTTTATAAATAAAATAAACTTGTCGCATTTTGTGATTTAAGAGTTAAAAATAAGTTTCTTCGATGAACTGTTTGAAATTGTACCAATTACTGGCTCACAGTATTGACAATAAATTGTCGCCGACTCGGCATTGCATAAATATTTTTGTCAGCGTTTAAATGATCGTAAAAATATTTCATTATAATAAAATGAGTACCTCTGAGAGTGTGAATAGTTCTATGTATCGCCCACAATTTATGTATGTGGGGGTCGTCCTCTTCGGCCCAAGTCGAATCGAATTCAGCGTTTGGAGGCATTTGTTGCGTCGGCAGTGACAGATTCGAGCGATTAGTGTGGGATGTCATGCTCAAGGATCGGGATTCTGGAAGAGGGGTTAGATCCCAAGCCGGTTAAAAATCCCATTATGAATGTTTATTAGTGGCATAATTAAATTGTTAGGGTCGCAAACTTGAGAATTACTTACGCAACTATTTGAATTACGACATACTTGGGGCGAGTCTATTAAAAATTCGAAATTCGGGAGCTGCACTAATAATTCCTAACCAAAGAGTGCTGATCTGAATTTGAGTCCGGGAGGGCGCCACTTGCCGGTGCGGAGATAGATTCCTGCAGTGGGGGAATTCCTGCTGCGGAAACTCGCGCTAAGATGGTGCGAGCTTCAAAAAAATGACAAAATTTAAAATACTGCCAAAACAAGTAGCTTAGCAGCGGGATTTTTCAGTCGTCACCGGAATGTCACCGGAATCATGAAATTTTTTGTTCAGTAATGACGGTTTCAGATTGGTTCAGCCTGCGCAATTGGCTGCTTTTTCTCTTCTCTTATTTTGTTATCATTTTTTCTTTACTTGTGTATTTGAGTGCTTTGGGTAATAATAGGATTTTTTACCGAATTTCTGATAATTGATCCGTTTCAGATTTGTTCAATAAGATTTTTCAAGTGGTGGTTGAGAAGTTTGATGAATTTGTTTGGAATTTTGGCGACTACGACATCGAAGAATTTTTATTGTGGAAAAAATCGCAGAATAAATATTTTTGCAACATTGTAAATAAATCGTAAATTAAGGAAAAAAATTATGATGACGGAGTGAAATTATCCATACTGCTTTTTTATTTCCATAAGAAAACGGGAAAAGGGTGTTCCATTACATTAATTTTCTTTCTTTTCATCTTGATTTATTAAAAGTTGTTTTGTTGGCTAATCTATTCTTCATCTTGAGCCAACTCCAGATCAATGAATTTAAACTTTGAGATAATTCCTGGAATAATAGGGTTATGAAATGAATTTGAAAGAGGATTCCAACTCGACCTTATTAAAATGGGGCGAAGCTCGTAATTTCATTTAAAGAAAGTTAGATTTTTGATGTAATTTAACTGAGTTGAGGTCGGAGAACAAACAGATTTATGTTGTGATACATAAGTAATTTAACTGATTAAATCCAAAAATCCTAATTGTGTTAGAGGAAAACATGCACGTTGTGATTGTTCAAAAATAATGAGCTTATTCAGGCTGCTCCGGATAAACCTCACATTAGAAGTATTGGGAGTTCTAACAATGATATTTATCTAAAATTTTGTTTATAGCCATTAATCGGTTAGGTTCTGCTCAATGAAAATATTTTTCCTATTACACCAGAAGTGGATATCAACTTCGTTATTTTAAATAGAAAGGTACCTATTTTTTTACTGCGTTTTTGGATTACTCAAGTAATTTTGAAAGAGTTTTTACTAGCCTTTCCTATACGTAAGTTTAACTGTTTTAGAAATATTCAGACCTTTTTAAAATTTTCTGGATTTGAATGTTTCTATTCAAAAATTGATAACTCTACCATTTTTTGTTGAAACCGTATTTGGGTATACGAGAGATAAAACTTAGATCTTTTCTTTGGTGTATTCATGATTGGAAAAATAATTAACAAATCGCCAGAATGTAAAGTTACGTTTAGAACACTTTAGAACATCCTTAACTCAATTTTTCTAAATAAAACACCCCAATTTTTTCTTTACTATATGAAAGAAAATTTAATTCTGCATCGATCAGTTTTAACATTCCCTATACCTATGTTTGATAGTTTTTAAGTTATAGTAACTTCTTTTATTATTGTGATAAATTCATTAGCCATCATAGCTGCTTTAGCACAGATAGTCATAGAAACAAGAAAAAAATTGAATATCAAGGTTATTCAAATTTAGATTAAATAAATTTAATTTGTATTTACGAAAAGAATAATACAATTATAAAAAAACTTCGTGTTTTTTCAGTGAGAAATATTTCTATGGCAATCTATGCGAAAACTACCATGGATAATGATGAATTTCTTCCGCTGTAAAAAAAGTTAAAATAACTTGGAAATTATTAAATTTAGGTATAGGGAATGTTGATACAGCATTAAATTCTCTTTCATTTAGCGAAGAAAAAATTGGGGCCTTTCCTAATAGAAAATTTAGTTACGGGTATTTGAAGTTTCCCAAACCTTAAATTTTGGAGATTTGTTAATTATTTTTTCAAATAAGATCTTTCTCATATGCCGAAATACGATTTTAAAATAGTTAAAAATGGTAGAGTTATCGATTTTTGAAGAGGAAGATGCAAATTAAAAAATTCAAAAAAATCTAAACATTTCAGAAACGGTTAAATTTAAGTATAGAGAAGTCTGTTAAAAACTTTCTCAAAATCACTTAAGTAATCCAAAAATGCAACAAAAAACATAACTTTCTATTGAAAATAACAAAGTTGATACCCATTTCCGATGTAACCGAAAGTGCTGTCATCTTAAAAATATTTTCATTGAACAGGATCTAAACGAATATGGCTATAGTCAAAATTTTAGATAAATATCACTGTACGAACTTCCAATACTATGTGGGGTTTAGCCGGAACAGCTTGTATACCTACCTTCATATGCATATTCAAGAAGTGTTTAAAATCTAGTTAAGATATGTGGAAAATGGAACCACGCTGAAATGAGATCAGATATGTAAAATAGAGAGTGATAAAATGTGGACTCATTCGCGTGAATTATTGAAGCTGTGTACATGGCAGTTCCGGGGTTTATTTTATTGTGTGTGTAAAAAGAAATGTGTTGTTCTATGTTTCAAAAGAAAGCAGGTATTAATTTGCGCAAATCATACGCTAGCAAACAAAAATACAAGCAAAGCTTTTCTGTTTTATCGCTCAAGATTTCTTTTGTCCGAACGTAAATTCTAAATAAAAAAGTGTTCTTAGTCCCGCCAATGAATGCTCAAAAAGAGGTTGTAGAATGTGGTGCGGACCGACAGAATTTTTGACTTCAAGGTTGTAGTTAGACTACTTAGAATATAAATAAATTAAAAGTCCTCGCTTCTTCGAGGTGAATGGGGCAAAGAAGCCACCAAAAATGTGCCGTTTTATGATTCCCTACTAACTTATTTCTCGAAAACAGTGCATATTACAAAAAATGGTTATGCACAAAAATTAAAGCTCATAAAATGATATATTTTTTTGTATTTCAAATAGTTTTCTGGCAAATAACGCACGCACTCTTAAAATTTTTTTTGAAGCACTATAATAGTGCTTCCGGAAAAAGTAATTGTCGATCTTAAACGGCCTAATCACAATCCTTACAATTTTTACAACAATTGTTACGTTAATTCATTAAAAGTTTTTTAGAGAGTACAAAGTTTGTTAGCGAATATCTTGAAAACTATTTGAGATACAAAAAACCCGAGAAAACCATCTTGTAGAAAATTTTATCAACTTTAATTTTGTACATAATTATTTTTTAGAAATTTTKTGGATAAAAGGGTACCTTTTTGATGCCCTCCTGCGCTTTACTCWTCACAGACGAGCGGAAACTTTCAGTAAATTTACCTCCTAACGTATTCATTCTACAACTTGTTAACTAAAAATTAACAAAATGCATTTTTTTCAAATAGTATTAGATGAGTTGATCGCTTCTTGTAAAGTCGTTGTGATTATTTCYAAAAAAAGCCAATTAGTAAAAAAATGGCTCAGATCATCTYGTCTTTCGGAGCCAAATTAATTGCCTYGTTGTCGGAAGAAATCCTCATTACATCTTCGCTGATCAGAGACTATAATCCTGCAAAAACGGAAAAGCTCGCCTGATTGGTATTTCTTGCAGTATTATATTAATCGCCACAATGGACTGTCAAAACTTGGCGAATGCTAATAACGGCYTTTATCGATCTGAATGTTGCTTGACCTCTAAGATATTACKAGCTTAACGTCCGCATCGTGACAATAGCTGATAAGCRAGAACAAAAGATTGATTGTTGGCTGTTTACACACGGCGGAGGTGGATGATAAGGGTTGTTGAGAGACAATGTGTAATATGTTTCTTTAAAAATGAGATAAGACTGCTTTGTCTCAAACGTAGTTAAATAACAGAGCTTTTGTGGAGCTTTCGTCCCATAACCATATCAATCGCAATTCGCTAACCTGGCTATAAACCCAAGAGGTCATAGAGGCCGAAAATGAAGCGTTTTCGCTAGTTTGGACCGAGAAGAAGTGATTGAATAAATGAGATTTTCACAAACGGTGCGGTTACTATAAAAGCCGATGTATTATTCATGGGGGCGTACTTTTTTTCCTAGGGATTTTCTGTCTCTCAACTTCAACTCGAAACACTTGCGGGTTCTTTTATTTATGGAGTTTCCCCAGATTTTAAAGCCAGTATTGGGATTACTTAACCGTAATAATAAAAATCGCTTGTTTTTATTGTCAAACACCTGAAAAACAACGCAATTTCTGTGATCCATTATCAATATTTTACGAGCTTTGTACGGTTTCATTTTAGCCAAAACTGTTTCCCTTTTGATCAATATTATAAATTTTCCAATCAGTGAAATGAATTGAATTTTTAAAACGACATTGAAGATTAATACAGCGCCGATGTGAAAATTGATGTATCAATTAAGTTTTTTGCCCGAGTGGATATTTTGCGAGCTTTCATTTCATCAAATTTTCTCTGTTGTATTGAGGATTATAGAGTTTGCCAAGAATTAAATTTTCAACATTTTGAAACATCCGGAAAACGAAAGCAAATATTTTTTTAGGACTCAAATTTCAGCTCTAATTACTTTTGTTTTTGTGCCAACCTTTGTCAACTATTAAACACTTTTTTAATTATCTGAAAGCCTATCAATGTTTTATCAGTAGCAAAATTGTTTAAACAAAGCGTCTTGAAAAGCATTTATTTGGTTGCTTTGAGCGGTGCTGCTTCTTTCAAATCGGGTCTTTATCTCAAATGAAAAATGGTCAAAGGAGAATTTCTTTACATCGTGTCAAGTACTGAAAGGATTGAATTCTTTACAAGTTTAAATCGGGAAAAAAGCATTAATTTATTTAATTTAATTAAAACTTGGTATTTTTCCGTAAAACGAAGTGATTTATCTCGTGAGGTGAAAGGTCAAATTTATACGAGATGTATGCCCCTATAAACCCATCGTAAAAAAGACAGGGAGCGAAAAAGTCAAATCCGGCTGATTTCATTGGAAACAGTAAACGGCAGATTCGAATGACTGGTCTTGTGCCTCGATAAAAAAGCCCTAAGGTAAATATTATCAGCAGAAAAACTCGTAAACGGATTTATATATTAATTCAGTGAAAAAGCGGCCATCAAATGGAATTTTTCGTCGGATTGTTTCGCTTTTTGTCCAATTACAGTGGTGACATTAGCAATGATTAATCGCGGCCGGTATTGTGTTTTTCTTCGAGTTGAGGAGAAGCGAGAAACTTTAACAATTGCAAGTTTCGGCATTAAATTCAAATAGCGCTCGAGACGGTGTGAGGAACGTCGTATATATTTTGTTTGGCTAAAACGTTGTTGAAACGCCTACGAGATCGTCGGATTTACGTTTGTAACTGTAAACCTCGGAAAAATTACCACAACTTTACGCTACAACAAACTACCGTCGAGCTTTAAAGACGCAGATAAACCTTAATAGATGTTCCAGCTACATCTTATTCAAGAAGGCTTAACGCCGCTGAATATTTCCCCGTATTTTATTCGACACGAGAGACGAGTATCAATTATTAAAGCATGTTCACAAAGATGGCGAGATTGCTATTTGGGCCAATTTGGCTAAAGAGAAAATAAAGAGATTTTTTGCCGGCGAGTATCTACTTCAAGTTGCCTGGGGGAGACTGAAGGAAAAAAAAATTCAATATTTAATTGATAAAAAACATAGGTAAAATTGAGACTTTATTGCCCAGAGCAAGCGATAAAAATGGCGCTTGAGAATGCTATTTTTTTTAAATAAATTCATAACGACAGAAACAAACGATATTTCAATCTACTTACA